CTGTGGCCGAGACACAGAGCGGGCTATTCTGTAGGGGCACATGAGTATTCCCCTGAGTGGCAAAGGTGGACCAGTCAGCCAGGAGCCACCCTAGGTGGCTCATAAGTAAGCATTTACATTGCGTGTTTTTTTTACTTCATTGCACTACTTAACTGCATAACTGTATCTTGAGATCTGTGTTTACTTTGCGCTATCTGAAGTAATGTCTTCCAGAAAGCAGAGTGGGGGAGGTGCAGCAGGAAAGGGCACTAATGTACCACTGCCAGGTCCTGAGGAAACTAGCTGAAGGTCCCCTGTAATATCCTCTCCTGACAGGCCAGAAGCAATTGGGCAGTCTAAGCTGCTGTGTCTATCTGGTATTGTGGCTACTACTTGGGCTTCTGCCTCACCATATGTAACCAAGGATGATCTTGCTTCAGCCTTAGCGGGTTTAGGAGAAAAGATCGCTAGGATGATTGCATCGGTTGTCAGGGGACTAAAAAACAGGATAGATCCCTGTCACTAGAACCACCAATCCTGGAGCAGGAATGGGTGGAGCCGGAGGATGAGGAAGAACTGGAGGAAGGTCAGGTAGTAGAATTTCTGTCTGAGGAATCATAGCCTGAGGAGAAGCAGGCAGTCTCTACCTCCCAGTCTCAACCTCCCAGTCTCAGAGATATTTAGTCCAGGATATGGTAAAGTCTGGATTCGGGCTACCTCCGATGGAAACCTCTGAGGTTACTTATTCTTTCCTGGGTTCTTTGAAGCCTTCACAGAGTACTCAGGCCTTTCCAGTGCATCCTCTTCTGGAACAAATTATGGATGCCGACTGGGATCACCCAGACAGGGTTTTGGTTCCACCAAAGAGGTTTTCTTTCTTGTACCCCATGGAACAAAAGTTTACGAAATGGGGGTTGCCTTTAGTGGATGCAGCTGTTTCATCCCTGAATAAATCCTTAACATGTCCTGTAGATAATGTACAGGTTTTGAAGGACCCTGCAGATAAGAAGCTGGAATCTGTTTTTAAGGCCTCCTTCTCCCTGGTAGGTTCTGCCACACAGCTAGCTGTGGCAGCTATTGGCATTTGCCAGAATCTTTCTGACTGTGCCAAGCAGCGGATTGGTGGACCATCAGTGCAAGGGGAATGCTCGGCTGAGGATTTGGAGGATGTTCCACGTGCCTTGTGTTTCACGGTTGATTCAGTTCTGCTAATTTCTCGCTTGGCCCTCTTAGCAGTACACATGCAGGGTTTTGTGGCTGAAGAGTTGGTTGGCAGAACTACCATACAAAAGATTGTTGGCAGGTTTTTCCCTTTCATGGGTCAGGGGCTTCGGTTGCTGGGCCCTCCTCTACCAGGCAGTCATTTTGCCACACATAGGTTCCACCATCCAGAGGTAGATCTCAGAATCAAAACCCTGGGTGAAAAAGTAATCTAAGACAGATCCAAGGCCCACCTCCTTATGAAGGGACGCCCCCACTTGTTTGGGTTGGGGGGGGAGGCTTTTGAATTCTGTGGCTGCATGGAGGTCTCTAATCCAAGACAATTGGGTAATTTACACGATTTCTCTGGGGTACAGACTAGAATTTCGGCTATTTCCCTACCCCGTTTCTAAGATCAAATGTACCAATAAATCCAGAGGAAAGAAGAGCATTATTTCAGGCACTTGATTGCCTATTGTCTCATGGAGTGATGATGGAGGTTCCAGTGGACGATAGATTTAATTTGTTTTATTCAAACTTGTTTACAGTCCCAAAACCAAATGGGGATGTAAGGCTTATTTTGGATCTCAAGGTGCTAAATCAGTTCCTAAATGTCCAATCCTTTTGTATGGAATCGGTTTTGTCAGTAGTGGCCTCTCTACAGGAGGGAGATTTTTTGGTGTGCTTAGACATCAGGGACGCTTACCTACATTTTGCCGATATTCATTCCTCACCAAAGATTTCTGCGATTTGCAGTAGGGGCTCAGTATTTCCAGTTTATAGCACTACTGTTTGGGCTGGCCACTACTCCCAGAGATTTCACAAAAAGAACTCTGGGAGTATCAGTCACAGGTTATCTAGATGATCTCGTTTGCAGTTTGAAGGCCAAGAGGTATACTTCAATTTGCCTCTGTATGAGCTTGCTGGGGAAGATGGTGTCCTCGTTCGAGGCTATTCCCTATGCTCAATTCCACTCCAGACTGCAGCAAAGGTACATTCTGTCTGTCTGGAAGAAAAAGATTCTGGCTGTGGATTACTGCTTCTCTCTTGTCTCCAGAGGTGCTGCAGAGCCTGCATTGGGTGGTTGATAACTCACCATTTGAAGAAGGGAAGATCCTTTTGGCCAGTGGTGTGGAAGTTGGTAACCACCGATGCTAGCCTTTCAGGTTGGGGGGCCGTTCTGGAGGAGGGGAACATGGCTTCCATGGGAAAGGGTTCTTGCCATCAATGTCCTGGAACTTCGAGCAGTGAGGCTAGCTCTGAGATATTGGACATCCAGGCATCAGGGTTGGCCTGCAAGTATTCAATCCAACAATGACACAGGGCGATACCAGGAATTGAGGTGCCCAGCAGGAGTTGAACTACATTCTGACCTGGACAGAGAGATCTGTTCCAAGTCTGTCAGCAGTGTTCATTCCAGGTGTGGAAAATTGGCAGGCAGATTATCTCAGTTGCCGGCAGTTGATTCCAGGGGAATGGGCTTTGCATCTTGATATTTTCAAGGAAATCTGCCAGCGATGGGGTTGCCCAGATGTAGATCTGTTGGCATCAAGGTTCATCCACAAGGCTGGTCTTTTTGTGTCCAAAGTAAGGGAACCTCGTATGGCAGGGGTAGACGCCTTAGTGATTCAGTGGAATCAGTTCTCACTGATTTATGCCTATTCTCCGATCCAGCTGCTGCCATGTCTCTTACACAGGATTCAGGAGGAGTCTATTCCGGTGATAGTGATTGCTCTGGCCTGGCCCACGAGGGCCTGGTACACAGACATAGTGAAGATGGCAGAAGATGGGCCGTGGGACCTGCCGTATCAACCAGACCTGTTTCTCTTGACCTTGGTCCTAAATTACACCCAGCTTTACGGTTGCTAAATTTGATGGTTTGGTTATTGAAACCCAGATCCTGAAGGATAGGGGAGAGCCAGATTCTGTCATCCCCATCATGTTGGGTGCTAGAAAGGAAGTTTCTCGGAACATTTCTTACAGAACCTGGAAGTCTTACATTCCCTGGTGTGAGGTTCACAAATGGCAACCATGAAAGTATGTGATTGGCAGCATTCTGTCATTTCTTCAAACAGGGTTGCAGAAGAATTTGGCTGTTGGTACCATTAAGGGCCAGGTTTCAGCATTGGCTATTTTTTTTCCAGATGCCCATTGCGTCTCACTCTTTAATCCACACTTTTTTTTTTTTTTTTTTCTTACAAAGAGTGATGTGTATGGCTCCTCCTGTCAGGTTGCTTTTGTGTCCTTGGGACCTGAGATTTGTTTTGGAGTTTTTGCAAAAGCCACCATTTGCACCTATTTAAGAGATTCCACTGTTCCTATTGACTCGTAAGGTGTTGTTTCTAGTGGCAATCGCTTTTGTGATAAGGGTGTAGGAGCTGGCAGCTTTATCTTGCAGAGAACCATTTGTTGTTTTGCATCATGATAACGTGGTTGTTGTGACCTCATCCTGTGGTTTTTAGCAAAGGTGGTATCTAGCTTTCATTTCAATCAGGACATAGTTCTGCCTTCATTCTTTCCTAGGCCTCAGTCAGCAAGAGAAAAATCTCTGCATACCTTGGATGTGGTTCGTGCTGTAATGGTCTTCTTGGAGGCGACTGCACAGGTCAGGAGGTCAGATGCTCTATTTGTGTTGCTAGAGGGGCCTAGGAAGGGTCAGGCGGCATCCAAGGCAACTATTTTTCATTGGATCTGCCAATTGATCATTCAAGCTTATGGTTTGAAAGGTAAAATCCCACCCTTTCGGGTGAAGGCACACTCTTTCAGGAGTGTGGGGTATCTTGGGCAATCCGCCATCAGGCGTCAATGGCTCAGGTTTGCAGGGCCGCTACATGGTCTTCTGTTCACACATTCACAAGGTTCTACCAGGTGGATGTCGGAGCCACAGAGGATTCTGCCTTTGGCTGCAGTGTTTTACGGGCTGTTGAGTAGGTAGGTCCTGAGGGATTATGGATGGTGGCTATCATGGTGTCACCCTTCCCTCAAATTTCTTATTGCTTTGGGACATCCCACATAGTCATGAATAGCCTGCTCTGTGTCCTGTGATGTATGATAAAGAAAATTTGGATTATTTTCTGCATACTTACCTGTAAAATCCATTTCCTGGAGTACATCACGGGACAAAGAGGTCCCACCGCTCTTTCTGGAATTTTCATTGCTTGGTACAAAAACGGAAGTACTTCCTGTATAGGAAAGGTTATATAGGGCAGGACCTCCTCTCTGATTGATCAGCCAGTGTTCATTCACCTATAGGTGGCCTGTAACCACATAGTCATGAATAGCCTGCTCTGTGTCCCGTGATGTACTCCAAGAAATGGATTTTACAGGTAAGCATGTAGAAAAAAAATCATATTTTTTCCTAATCCTGTCTTAATAATGAATGAAGCATGTTCATGTGCCCATGTACATGAAAGATTTTAAAATCCATTTCCACATTTTTTTAGGCATTTTATTTCAGCCTAAAAAAATATACATTTTTAAATCTTGTAGCTGAGTATGCCTGACCATATCTTATTAAAGAAGTGGGCTGTAAGTCCACACAAACAATAAGAAAAATTTGCCCTCAAGTGCAATGTAATTTTCAGCTCTTTCAGACTAATCGGTGCCAAAGGTGCAAACTGGCCTGGAAAGGAAAGGGTAAACATGTGGTTTAGTTATCTAGTCAAGTCTTTTCTTGTATTTTGTGATTTTATTAATAGAATGGTAGCTAAACACAGTTGTATCTTGTCTAACATAACTATTAAATCTTCTGTTTTTAGCTTCTGGAAATGAAATGACCATAAGCCCTGGGCGTCGTTTCATGATTGACCTGTTGGTAAGCAGCTTGATGGCCGATGGAGGATTGGAGTGCGCACTGAACACTGCAATAACCGCAGAGATTCAGGTGAGAGCAAAAGTTTTAATATATTTGGTCTGCGGAGTAATTTTTCAGTAGCTCTTACAATGAACTGTTTAGATTTAAGTAAACCTAAATGCATTGTATTATATTTTCAGCACATGGAGAACGCCACACTTGACACAGGAATTTTTATGCCAAAAATACTAATACTGTCTTGTGCCAGACAATGTAAAATAAATTATATATTTTCACGTTAAAATGCTCATTTTAGGGTTGACAATTGACGTCACTCAGCTGGTCCAGGCTGGGGAATGATCCCAACTTGAAAGTCAGAGTCCATCCAGATGTCTGGACCGGCAGCTGGCTCAGCCTCTCAGCGATCCGCTGAGAGCCGGAGCCAGTTGATCCCTTCCCCTCCACAGCCCAGCCTTCCAGTGATGGGGGAGGAAGGGGAGAGCAGAGAGTGGTGACTGAAAGGGCAGCAGAGAGGACTGAGTGATCAGCAGTGTCTGATTGCTCAGTTCCCAGCCTTGGAGCAGGTGGGAACAGATACAGCATCGGACTGATGCTGAATGCACCTAGGCAAGTATGATTTGGGGAAAAAAAAAATCCCTTACTTCTCTTTTAACCATTAATAACAGGCCTAAAAGTATTGCTCTCACTCCAACGGCTGCAGCTATATATATATGTTTTCTTATGCATGCGCTGTATTGGAAGGGGGGGGGCCCTTAAAATTTGTTTTTGGTTTGTTCTCACTTTTAAAACGTTTTTGTTTTATTGTTTTTTTTTTTTAACATAGGGGACCAATGTGCAGTAGCATATAGTTTGTAACTGGTTCTCTTTTTATAAACATCATTGGTCAGATTGTGCTCCAATAACTGCTTCCCTCAACCGCTGTTACCAACTCCGATCCAGGAAGTGATATAATGCGGTGTTTGCGAAAGTGACAATTGGCTTAACACAAGAACATATACTATAGGCCACTATAGAAGCTGGGAGTGTGTTTAAAATGCTTTGATCCCAGTTCTTTTTAAGGAAAAAAAAAAAGTTTAAAATAAAAAAACCATCACAAAGTATCATGTGTTAAAATACATATAAAATGTTTCTATGTAAACAATTGTGTCCATATATACTGCAACAATTAAAGTGTTCCTAAACCCACAACAGTAAAATCAGTCTGTATATGCAGTTAAGCATGCTGGTTATACTCGCTGTGGAACCTAAGGGGTTAATCCTCTGCATTGTGTAAAAACACGGTTTGATCCTGACTTTTTTTGATCCTCTCCTTCTTGCAGTGTCTCCCTCTTATCTCCTGATAAGTCAAATCGTGTGGAGGCCCTCTGCACATGTTTAGTTTAGTGTGTATTGCTAGAGAGGTTTTTTTTTTGTCTTGGGAGAGTAGCCCTGTGCTGATCACATGCAATCAGCACTGTCCAGACAGAGGTCAGGGGTTCTGCATCCTCCTAGAGCAGAAAGAAAACTCATACAAGCTTTTCCCAGTGTTCTGCTGGACACTGATAAAAGTCACAAGACTGCTCTAACTGCTGATGAGAAAAAAGTTATTTAGCAGTTTATATTTACTAAAATAATTGCATTTCCATGGTCTGTGTATTGTGGGAGATCAGATATAGTGAATGCAGGGCCCTGGGTTTAGTAACACTTTGATTTCCAATGTGAAACTTTAAGTTCTGGTTCACACTGGTGTGATTTCTATGTACACTGCTCAAAACAATTAAAGGGATACTCTTTAATCAGAGTATAGCATGAAGTCATTGAAACTCCTGGGATATTGATCTAGTCAGTTAAGTAGCAGAGGGGGTTGTTAATCAGTTTCAGCTGCTTTGGTGTTAATGAAATTAACAACAGATGCACTAGATGGGCAACAATGAGACAACCCCCAAAACAGGAATGGTTTTACAGGCGGAGGCCACTGACAATTTTTCTCCCTACTCTACTACTACTACTGTTTTTCACTAGTTTTGCATTTGGCTAGGGTCACTACTGGTAGCATGTGGTGATACCTGGACCCTACAGAGGTTGCACAGGCAGTCCAACACCTCCAGGATGGCACATCAATATGTGCCATTGCCAGAAGTTTTGCTTTGTCTCCCAGCACAGTCTCAAGAGCATGAAGGATATTCCAGGAGACAGGCAGTTACTCTAGGAAAGCTGGACAGGGCCGTAGAAGGTCCTTTACCCATCAGCAGGACCAGTATCTGCTCCTTTGTGCAAGGAGGAACAGGATGAGCACTGCTAGAGCTCTACAAAATGATCTCCAGCAGGCCACTGGTGTGATTGTCTCTGACCAAACAATCAGAAACAGACTTCATGAAGGTTGGCCTGAGGGCCTGACATCCTCTAGTGGGCCCTGTGCTCACTACCTTGCACCATAGAGCTTGATTGGCATTTGCTATTGAACACCAGGATTGGCAGGTCTGCCATTGGCTACCTGTGCTTTTCACAGATGAGAGCAAGTTCACACTGAGCACATGTGACAGACGTGAAAGAGTCTGGAGAAGCCGTAGAGAATGTTATGCTGCCTGTAACATCGTTCAGCATGACCGTGTTGGTGGTGGGTCAGTGATTGTCTGGGGAGGCATATCAATGGAGGGACACACAGACCTCTACATGCTAGACAATTGCACCCTGACTGCCATTAGGTATCGGGATTAAATCCTTGGACCCAACGTCAGACCGTAGGCTGGTGCAGGGGGTCCTGGGTTCCTCCTGGTGCACAACAATGCTCGGCCCTCATGTGGTGAGAGTATGCAGGCAGTTCTTGGAGAATTAAGAAATTTGATACCATTGAACGGCCCCCACGCTTGCATGACCTAAATGCAATAGAACACCTCTGGGATATCATGTTTCTGTCCATCCATTGCCGCCAGGTTGCACCTCAGACTGTCCAGGAGCTCAGTGATGCCCTGGTCCAGATCTGGTAGGAAATACCCCAGGACATCATCTGTCGTCTCATTAGGAACATGCCCTGACATTGTCAGGCATGCATACAAGCACGTGGGGGCCATACAAACTACTGAGTACCATTTTGAGTTGCTGTAATGAAATTTCAGCAAAATGGACTAGCCTGCTGCATCATTTTTTTTACTTTGATTTTCAGGGTTTTTGATTTCAATCCTCTGTAGGTTGATCATTTTCATTTCCATCAAACGATGGGGCATCCTCACATTCCTAACACATTACCCAGTCCATATCAGTATAGATATCCAGCGTGATATTTTTCCTCCATTGAGAGATCTGATGTTTTTCAAAGTGTTCCTTTTTTTTTAGCAGTGTATTTTCAAGTGCAATTTTAGGAGCAGCTGCGGTGCGATTCTGCTGTGATTTTACACAGCTGTGATTTCTGTCCTAGCTAATTTTGTGACATTAGAAATAGATGAATCTCTCAGTGAAATCACAATGCATTTGAACACCTATGCGTTTTTCACTGCTGTTTCCATTCAAGTGTTTGTGGCTCAAAAACGCACTGCATAGCCCCAAACGTGCACAAGACTCTTTTGAAAATCACATCGCAATTGGAACGCATAGCTGGGAACGCATAGGTCTGAACGACCTCCATACAAAGCCATGTTCTCTCCCTTGGCATGCGAATCTATGTGTTCTGGAACGCATGAGAACCTCATCAGTGTGAACCAGAGAAATGTGTTGTCCTTTCACTGGCACAATTACTTTGCCCATAATAGCCAGCCTTAATGTTACTCCTTAAAAATCCATCCTCAAGTTATTGGGGCTACAATGCAAGTGTCGTTGGGTCAAACACAACCCAATTTCATGTGCCACTGCCTAAATTGACTCTTGTCTCTTTTATAGGATATTGAAGCAAAGAAAGAAGCCCAGAAAGAAAAGGAAATAGACGAACAAGAAGCCAATGTGTCTTCACTGCACAGGACCAGTACACCACTGGATAAAGACTTGATAAATACAGGCATCTATGAATCTGCTGGTAAACAGACCTTGCCCTTGGTGCAGCTCATACAACAGCTACTGAGGTAATGCCTATCACTATTTTTGCCCTAATAGCAATTCCTGAGCTCACCTAATAGAATGTGATTTGATTGGATTTTAAGTGTCTATCAAGAGTTGTGATAAACTGCCAACATAGAGCAGAGAAACTGAGCAAATTACACAAGTGCATACTGTATAACAATACTGTGACAGTTCTTAGGTACATTAATTGAACATAATTTGGATGTTAGTGGCTCTCTAGCAGATTTTTGTCTTTTTGTGACTTTGTAGAGGGATGGTTTCCCAAAGGGCACACATCTTCCAGACACAACAGTCGTTTGTAGGGAGAGGGAGCATTTGAAGAACTGCATTTTGTTTACAAAGAGTTCAGACCATTTCCTCTGGAGTGCTATTAGGTGGTTGATAGAACAGAGATTTTTTAAACTAGGAAATCTTTTAACCATAGCTACTGTCTTCACTTTCAAATGCTCTACAGTTTACCTTGAAAAGTCCATATTCAATATCTAGATGTTTCCATTTGTTCGGTTAATGAACATCTTCAGTCAGTCTATGAAACCTCTTCAAACTTTGGTTCACAGAGAATCTTCTCCTTTTGGAGTTGTGATTCCTTGTAACATCATTAGTGCAGATAATGGTACTTTTTAGTTTTTAACAATAAGCTTCAATTTCTACCCTTTATGATTTTGTCCCGGATTCTGTAAAAAAAAAAAAAAAAAGTTTTCTAAGAGCATAGAGTATTTGTTTTTTTCTTAAAGGAACTCCACGGGATTTATGCATATGGAGTGTGTTCTGTATTTATTTATTTTTTAAGTCCTAGTCTGTTGGGCGGTTATTTTTTGCAGGGGTAATTAAACATTTTAGTGCTTTTGCCTTACCCACTTTAAATTACAAATATAAGATCCTGAACAAATATTGTTAGGTCTTGAAATTCTTCACATTTTTATATCTTTTTTGTAACACTTTAACTGGCTGAATGTCCATAGGAACATTGCTTCTCAAACTATTGCTAAACTCAAAGACATGGCTCGACGGATCTCATCTAGTTTAGAACAAGAACATTTCAGTAAGGAGAGGTCAGCATCCATGGATCTTCTGCTGCGCTTCCAGCGACTGCTTGTTAGCAAACTCTACCCAGGCAGCTCTATGGACCAAACTACAAACACTCATGGTATACTTAACTTTCCTTCTGTTTTCGGTGATGTGCAAAGTTCAACTTTTATGTGGGTATTGATTGTCTTGTATTCTATCGAACTAGCTCCTGAACTGTTAGGTGTGGGCTCATTATTGAAGAAATATATTGCACTCTTGTGCACACACATTGGAGACATCCTTCCTGTCGCAACAAATATTGCTTCCACATCTCATAGACATTTTGCAGAAGTGTCCCGTATTGTGGCAGGAGATCTTACAGGTAACAAGCTCCTTTTTTTTTACTTTTTTTTAAAGAAACTGTATTGGTTTTGGGTCTGCTGTATTGTTAATTCTTACATTTTTACAGTTTGCAATCTTTGCTTTGCAGTATTTAATACACATAAAAGGATACAAAACATAAAGACCGAGAAGGCGCAAACACCTAGCGCATTATCTTTGACACTTTATTGAAGGATTAGGAAAACAAATGTTATACTCACAAACAAGTGAACTAAAGGCATGTAAATGCATAACGCACACAATGTATGAGTCTGCTCTGCACCTCCAACTGGAGACAAGATGTATTAATCCTATATGGTTTAGTTATAGTAGTAATATCCAGTCCTACTTAGTTTGGTACTTGTCTAGGCTAATGATTACCCATTTGGCCCATTTTCAAGTTATACACATCTTTTTCTAATTGTATAAATGGATCCGTTTATGGATATCGTAACTAAAAGTATGTGTGGATTTCATCCACAAGACTATTAATATGTATTTAATTTTAGCTTCGTTTATTTTAACGGTCAGGTAATACCCACACATTTTTTTAGATATACTTGTACTGAGGAGCGGATTGAGTTACTTAAGTATGCAGGGCTCAGTGGTGTTCACATAATGGCGATTTTTACATCTCTCTTCATATTACATTATCATTAACATCATCATTATGACTATTATCATTTCCATCATCATTATGGCTATTATTATCATTTCTTATTTTTGTATCTGTTTGTATTGCCTGTGGTGGACTTTGTATCATGTGCTGTTATCATACTGTTGATTTTATGCACGTGAAGTATAATTAGAAGGTGGGGTTTCCTCCAAAAAAACTCCCTTCCCCTTTTCTCTGCCCCCTGATGGTAGGTGAGCTCTTCAATCAACTGATGTCATTTATTTAAGGAGGTTGAGATTTGGGAGGCAGCCGCCTTAGCTCTGAGGGAGGGGATTGGGTTCCGGAAACACGTCAGATGTATTGTCCTCTTGTTTCCAATTGGAGGTGGAGAGCAGACTCATACTTTGTGTGCTTTATGCAATTACATGCCTTTAGCTCAGTTGGTTTGTGAGTATAACATTTGTCTTCCTTAGCCTTCAGTAAAGTGTCAAAGATGATGCGCTAGGTGTTTGCGTCCTCTCTGTCTTTATGTTTTGTATAGAGTTGGATTTCCCTTGATCTGAGGAGGACCACACTAACACTTCTTTCCAGTCCGGGTTGCAAAAAGACTATGTGGCATTTGGTTTTTGCGAATCGTGCCTCTACCTTTTTCTGAGTGCTGAAATGTCAAGTTTGAATTCCTTTTCCTACATATCAAAGGATTCCCAGAGCATGATGAGTTACTCAAAGGGAATACAAATGTAGCAGCCAGACCTTTTGGGGCTGATTAACTTGAAGTGGCCAGTTCACACAGAACTCTGTGTGGGAAATTCGCGTTCTGTGTGTGTTTTACACACCATGTTGAAAATGCACTACAGTTGCCATCTGCAGTGAGTGTCAGTTAAGTCAGTGACAACCCAAACTCAGCTCGCGAACACAGTGCATTTGCCTGCACCGGATCACATGGTACAGTAGTATCATGCGATCCATTTGCTGTGCATTATAAAAAGTAGTACAAAGACCGCTTTTGATGAATGGTCTGAAATTGCATTGCAGCTGGATCGCATGTAAATCGCACAGGAACGCACAGTGCGTTTGTGTGATTCAAGATGTGAACAGGCCCTAAATGAAATTTTGCACTAAATGGTTTGATAAGGGATGGAGCCCTTCTTCTTTTTTTTTTTTTTTTTTTTTTTTTTTTTTTTTTCTTTTTAAATAGATGGGTAAATGGAGAATAAAGGAGCCAGAAGTTCATTCTGCTGGCTCCAAAAGATAGGGCCAGATATGTGCACACAGTATTTGCAATATTTGAAAAAAAAGTAAATAAAGAAAATATGTTCAAAATGGCTATATATTACCTTTAACAAGTTGGCTATGTTAAAATAAAATGTAACACCTCTTGTACCAAAATAATAAAATGATTGAATTAGAAAATATACAGGATTTATATAGCACCATCAGTTACAATAAAAAGGGGTACAGTTACAATACAATTCAAGATGAGAAGGTTTGGAGGCCCCTGCCTGTGGGACCTTAAACCCTAAAAGGGAGAGTCAGGTGATGGTTATAACTGTCTGTAGATGAGCTGATGAAGAAAGTAAAATTTTAGTGGTTGTCTAGAGATGGATTCTCTGAAGAGACAAGTTTACATATATTGCCTAAAAGTGGATAGAGTAAGAGATAATCGGACAGGCTGGATTAGGGAGTTTCAGAGGATGGGAGAGGCAATGGAGAAGTCCTGGAAGCAAGCATGGTTGAGATGATGAGGCAGCTAGAGAGCAGGAGGTCTTGGGAAGCTTGAAGAGGATATATTGAAATTAACTTGTTGATGTAGCTGGGGGTAGAGTTGTGGGTGGCTTTGGTCGTGGTGGAGGTTGTTGTTGCTTTTGAATTTATTAGTATTTTGAATTTTATTTGTTGGAGATAGGTTACAATCAGTGTACCCTATTACAAAGTATTGCAGGTTGAATTTCACATACAGGCATTAAAGTGGTGATTGAAAATCATTGGTCCTATGAAGGAGCAGAGAAGAGATGAGATGAATTCATGATTTGCTGCCATGTCATCTGTTCAGAAATTATGGCCTGAGCAACCAAAAATTGGATTCAGAAGTACACGATTCACCAGTGTTCCCGTTTGACTGAGATGGGAAATTTTAAGCTTTGTCTCCAACATTTACTGAAGATAAGTGATAATGAGAGTTCTTTATTTGCTCTGTGAATTGCATTTGGGCTTGAGCTGATAGGCAAGTTCCTCATGCTTTCATGTGCACTCAGATTGTGTTTTTGCTGCCTTAAACTATTTGGAGTTACTTTTTTGTTCCCTCTGACTTGCATAAGGAGAAAAGCTACAACGCATGTAAACCAAAGTTGAATAAGTGGCTTTAGGTTGACTTGTGTGAGAAATTCAGTGGGGATTTCTACACAAAATGCTTAGAATTTGTATGCATATTTTAATTTCATCCTGTGAAACTTCTTCAATAAGATTTCTCATTTTACACTTGTCTAGGTGTTCTACTTCCTGAGCTTGTTGTATCCACAATATTGCTGCTTTGTAAGAATGCATGGCTCATGCAGGAAGCCGGTGCTATTCCTCTTCTGGCCAGTCTTTTGGAACCTCTGGATCGATTCAACCACCTTGCCCCAGGCAGAGAAAGAGATGACAATGAGGATTTGGCTTGGCCTGGCATTATGGGTGGGTAACACTTCATTGATTGTTTTTCATATAACTTAATAGTGTATGCTGAATAATGTTTTACTTTACTTAGTCAGATGTGTGGTATATTTTCATTTATATATATATATATATATAATTTTTTTTTTTTTTTTTTACACAAAAGGCTCATTTTTTGCTGGTCAGAGCTCACGGAATAATGAAGAAGTAACCCTGATACGTAAAGCAGATTTGGAGAATCACAATAAGGATGGAGGTTTCTGGACTGTAATAGATGGGAAAGTGTATGACATCGAAGACTTTCAGGCGCAGTCACTTCATGCTAATACTATACTTGGTATGAATTCCTTTGTACATTATGCTTAACTTTGTTTTAGTCATTCATTTGACAAGTTACTACATTTTAGGTGACATCATGATCTAAAAACAAATGTGTACAATTTCTCATTTAACATGGTACAACTTTTGTATGTTGACCTTTTTAACAATCTGTATTTGCCTCTACGTGTTATATTTATCATATATACATATGACATGGACATGTATGACTAATGCAGTACACGTAGAAATTTTTTTTTCATATTAATTGCACACTATTTAATACTACGGATTTATAGTTTCTTTTCTGTTGTCTGCTAGCTCACTTTGCTTGTGCGGATCCTTTGGTTGCTCTTGAGGCTGCCTTGCAGTTTGATGACACTAGAGAGTCCATGAATGCCTACTGCGTGGGTCACTACATGGAGGTAAGCAAGCCAAACTAATTGGAAATATAAAATAAATAATTCTTGACTCAAGAATATTGTAAGGGATTTCAGTATGAATGGAAATCTGTTTTATAACCCCTTTTCGAAATCATCTTTTTAAAGTGGTAGTAAATTTTCTTGAATACTTTTACCTGCGAGTAAGCTTATAATAAGCTTACTTGTAGGTAAAATGAATATCGCCTAAACGTGCATCGTTTAGGAGATATTTGCTCTTTTTGATAGACTGCGCATGCGCTCTGAAGGAACAGCATGTGCCGTGACCCAGGACTCTTGCGCAGGAGTGATGTCGTCACGGCTTGGCCAGTCAGGTGGCAAGAGCACATGAACCCGGAAGGAAGACCGGATGAAGATGGAAGCCCTGTCAGTGGTGGAAGTGCGCCGCTGGAGCACTTAATTTAGGGGCCAGTCCTTCATAATGTGATAGCATGCAATGCATACTAGCACAATATGCCTGTAGGTAGCAGGGAATTTTTTTTTCTGTTTGGATACGATTTACTACTGCTTGATTGCTTCTTAAATGGGATCTGTATTTATACATATTTTCTTTTGTTTATGCTTTTGATTTCTTTACAGTAAGATAAATATGAAACACTGTAACTATTTCATGTGTTACTATTCTTGCTTAGCAAATTAACAAGGACTTATGGAAAACATACTCTTATTGTACATTGTGGTCTTGATTCTTGTTCAGTCCTGAAAAATAAATTTTACAGTTTTTATTTCTCTTCAGTTCTTTTCAGTTCAGTATGAAACATTACACTTTTCATATGTGGCCAGTTTTTCTTGACAGATTAACACGGTGTTCCAGAAAAAACATGCTCTCTTTGTGACCATTTCAGTGTATTGGTGATAATGGTTTGATGGACAAATTGGGGTAGATTTTTTAAAACTGGAGCACTCAGAATCTGGTGCAGCTGTGCATGGTAGCCAATCAGCTTCTAACTTCAGCTTGCTCACTTAAGCATTGACAATAAAACCTGGAAGTTGATTGGTTTCTATGCAGATGCTGCACCAGATTTAGAACTTTTCAGTTTTTGTAAATATCTCCCATCATATACATAATAATTTTTCAGTTCGAGAACACTAGGAGCACTAGTCGTGCCACTTACGGCTTACTCTTTTGGTAAACATGGGCAACTGCAGGTGCCTTCTATCTATAATACTGTTTATAATTCTGAAAGTCACTGGAGTCTGCCTTCTGAGAATGTCTGCTGAACTGAGAAAACTTCAGTCCTACAGTGGCCACCTAATATTGCCTATATACATACTGCACACTATACGTTTTATCATACAATAAATATTAGTCACATCCCCTACATTTTTATAGAGTAATGTAAACTATACATATACTTCCCCGGTTCATTTTGTAAAATTGACACATGCTCATTACTCATATCTTGCAACCAATATGGATGAGATTTCAACAGGGAAATTCTGAGCACTGTGTCACAGACTTTCTGATACTATGACGTATTGTGCTGGGAACATGCTGAGAGGTGGTATGCACTACCAGGGACATGCTAAGTGCTCTCTCTGTAAAATCAAATTGACAGCTACCAAATATGAAGGCCTATGTAAACTGTCCATTCCATTTGTATTTGGTCAGACAGGCCCTTGCACTACATACTAATTTAAAAGAGATTTTGCAGTCCATTTGTATCTAATGTGGTGAGCTTAAATGAGACATGCTGAGCGTAAAAAGCATTTTGTCAGCGACTTGCTGACCACCATGAGCGCTTTCCAAGGGGCATATCTCTGTTCTCTGCCAGCAACAACTGAACAAATTAAACACTCTGAGTGCAGAGAGACAGATCATGAGTTTTGACACTTAAATCGGAGCTCCAGTCTCTGGTGAAAAAAAACTAAAAAAACTGTAGCTGCTGACTTTTAAAAAATAAAACAGCCACTCACCTGTCCCTTGACCCAGTGGTGTGCTCACTGCAGCCAAGTTCACCAGTCATCCTCTGTCCCTGGTGCTGGCTTCTTAAGTGTGGGCACCTGGCTGTGACAGCTTGCAGCTTCATTGTGAATGGTCCCGCAGTTTTCTGGGACCTGTCACGTGTCCCAGAAGACGGCGGGGGGGGGGGGGGGGGGGGGGGGGAACGGGAACAGAATTTCACCTTCCAATTGCCTAGGTGGCCAGAGCGGAAGTGGGAGCGCCGGTACCTGTTATTTTGGTGCTAATCCTTAACAAGGATTGCGGGACAAATTCTTAAAGCGGAACTTCCCCTTTTGGGTGGAGCTCCACTTTTAAGCTTGCTTTTTCAGATAGTATGTGTTTTGACATACAGATGTTTACTGATATAACAACATGTTATTTCTCTGGCATATGTGGTATGATTTTTTTTTTAGCATACTTTCTACATTTATGCTGTTCATAAAATATTTATATTTTTTTATACTATATCATTTTTTTTCTAGTGTTTTTGTATGGATATGCTTTTAGTTGGTTGTTAATAAAGTTTCTTTTCAATTTTACTTTTTTTCACAGCCTGATCAGGAAGTAATTACAGCCCCAGATATCAGCAGCCTGTCTTCTCCGCTCATTGACACTGAAAGAAACCTGGGTTTGCTGCTTGGTCTTCATGCATCTTATCTTTCATTAAGTACACCATTATCTCCTGTGGAGATTGAGTGTGCCCGTAAGCAAGATTTATTGTGTTTATATAGTATATAGCTATTGTGTATAACATAAGACTTAAAGTGATTCTATACACTCACTATTTAATTCACATTGTTCCTTCTCTTTTTGTATATGGATGATGGCACTGTAATTATTTTAATAAAAGAAAACCTCTAAGTACCTTTTTCCTAATTGATATATTGCTGTCATGTGACCCAGATTTTTCCCAGCCTGTCTGCAGGGTAACATAAGCAGGAGGAGCTTCTTGTCCTTTGTTGCTGGTCACATCATAAAAAAAAAAACCAAACATACAAAAAAAACAGACTTTGTGATACAGAGTAAAATCAGAGTAATAATTATTATCAATAGACTGTTTTAAATCTTCATACAAATATATATTTGAAATCAAATTTTAATTATATTTTGACAATAACATGGTGTGGACTGATTTCTGCTAGTCACAGGCCATGTTATGCCCCTCCAGCCTGTGTTCTAAGATAACAGGGAGGTGAAGCCTCCATCTATCAACATGTAATATTCCTCCCCCATTGTGTTCAGCTGGTATTGGGCATGGAGGAGGGAGAGAGGGAGTGGGCTGTCATTTACTACTGTGTATACCCTGGCATGTGTGACTGTATAGTCACATGGGCTGCTCAGATAGGATGGGGAGGAAATGCTCAGCATAGAAGCTCACTGAAAACTGAGCATGTGCACTAGCTGCCAACACTGTTCTTTAAAATCCCCAAATGCATTGGGCACATGGACAGAAGGGGGGGATAGAGAATAGCAGGATCAACCAGGATTTTTTACTGTTTTTGCAGAACAGTGACTGAGTAAGAACAGCATGTAGTATAGCATTTATTGATAGTTTATGATGTGGGTTTGTGACACTTTAAAGCAATATTCAACCCAAAATCAAACCTTTATTTTATTGCAGCTTACTAATTCTTAGATGTGATGGCTGAATTTTTGTCTTCTTCATGGTTTCTTTACTGTAGTTTCATCTGGTGGTCTAGCCAGCACATCTGTTATTTTTCCACAAAACAACCTCTCCCTCAAATGTAGCAGTAACTGGCTTGAGACAAACCTTTTAGCACTGACAGTGGTGCTTACAATAATCCGCTTTTTTTCATGTACAACCTTTATCCCAAAAGAAAAAAAACGTTTGCTCTGCTTGTGTAACTGTAATGTTAGCTGGAGTTTGGCTTCTATTTGTTGGTGTATTTAAATCTGCTAGTCCATCGAACACCCCTTTTCCCCTGCCTGGCAATGCTGCTTTCCAGAGGTGCCCTTGTGCTCCTTCATCCAGAGTGGGGGCACTCTTATACAGGAGGTGTGTTACTGGCCAGATCACCAGGTGATACCAGAGGGAATAAAGCCTAAAAAAAAAAAAAAAACAAATTCATCCACCACATCTAATGATTGGTAAGCTTCAATATATTACATTTTTGTTTTTGGATTCAATGCTGCTTTAAGAGTCTATTCCTGTATTTAACCAGTTGTCGTCCTGAGCCATTTTCACATCTGAGTTATGGGGAAAAGGGGTGCCATGTGCATTTGCAGATGTGAATGCTCCGTTAAAATCGGTTGATTTTTTAAGAAGTTATACAATACAAAGGGGCATTCATAAAGAATGTTAGCATTTCAAGGAATATCTGAAATTAGGTGACCTACTCCAAGTGGTATTTAGTAAACACTGACTTAAATAAAGTACATGCTTTTTAAAGTGACTAATTGATTTTTTTTTTTTTTTCTTTTTATCTAGGGTGGCTCAAATCTTCTATATTTTCGGGGGGGCTTCAAACTAGTCAGATTCATTACAGTTACAATGAGGAAAAAGATGAGGACCATTGCAGCTCCCCAGGAAACACTACACCCAACAAATCTCGGCTGTATGCCCATCGCCTCTCCATGAGTGATCATTCCCAGCCTTTTCTGCAGGCCATAGCTGACAATAATACACAGGACCACAATGTCAAGGTGAGCTGTTTTGGAGATGTAATTATGGTATATGTTGTGGTTTTTTTTTTTTTTTTTTTTTTTTTAATTAATAGTTTATTTCTCTCTCCGGCACAGCACATGGTACATTACAACAGTAAATAGGCTGTTGAACAGTTGGGATAACGTTATCCAAAAAATAACAAATAAAAATGCAGAGCACAGCAGGAACCATGTCATCTTATGCATCTGATAAGCCTGTAGAGAACTTAAAGCATAAAAAAAAAATATCAGTACGAATCCAGGTCCTGGGCTCACATTGCTCCTAACTGTAGAGTACTAGTGCATAAGCAAGGTCTGACCCATGTGGTTTAAGCCAAGAGAGAATTTTTAAACCTGATGAATAGTTTATTTGGGAATCATGGAGAAGTAAGCAAGAAAAAAGGGAAAGGAAAGAAATAGAGTAACAGAGGAGAAAAAAAAAAAGGGGGCAGGGGGAAGAGGTAGGGGAGGCAGGGACTGGTGCCCAACCAAGAGGCCAAAAATACAAAGTAGCTGGTCGTTCTTGGGTTGGAGCCTATATGACCTGAGAAGATTGATATGGAGCATAGTCCTATGAAAATTGGAACTCGTGACAATAATACCACTTTTACGGAATTTTTCCTCTTTATGTTTCATAGTTGATGTTAAACGTTCCATATCATTAATCTCGTTTACCACAGTCACCCATTGACCAAGCAACGAGGGTCTGTGTGTTTACATTTTGTGGGCTGCAAACCTTGGCAGCATTGAGCAAGTGGATCAGGAGGGATTTTTTTGTACCCATGCCTCGAGAGTGGGGGGTGATATTTAGTAGGAATGTCTCAGGATGCATCTCCAAGGAGATATCAGTACGTTTATGTATCAGCCATCTGAAATGTGCAGCAATGTGCCAGGTTCTTGTTGGTAATGCCAGCATAACGGAGATACAGTGGGATATATCTTATGTAGAAATGCAGGGGTCCTGTACCAGCGAGTCAGCAGTTTGTAACTGGCTTCCTGGAATCTGCTTGAAAGCAAAGTTATGGTATATGTTCTACTGTTATCTTTTGGTTCAGGCTATATTTTTTAATGTTGGGTAGACTTGCATTTAAATATACGTTTGTAATCGGTAATTTTAATCCTGATCCTATATAATGTTTGTTTAACAGCTCCTGATGAAACGCTAAATGTCCTATTTATAGCAGAGAGCACATACCTTTTTCTGCTGGACACTGAAGTGTTTACACAATCTGCATTTTATGAGCCATTCATAAAATGTAGAGCACAGTTTGGAGCCTGCGTGTCCCCCACTACTTGCTTTTGCATAAAGCAGATTGGAGGCAGTAGTGATTGGAGGACAGTCACATGACATAGGGCGGCGGGCCCCTGCTTTATAAGTGGACAGCTAAGTATATTCTAGTTGTATTTTCATGAGGTTCTAAGGTTGGCCCTTTGTTATGTCCCACATATTGTTCTTCAGATATACACATTCTATCTCCAGCGATTGGCAACTGATAAATGTTCTGATTCTTTGCCAGCTACTCCTCTTAGCTCATGCTGTGTTGTTCTCTATTTTTTTGAACCTTGTCTCACTATAATCCTCAGGTTGTTTAAAGTTTAAAGCTTAAGTTTATTTTTTTTTTTTTTTAACATTCTTCTTACCTGCTCTGTGCAATGGTTTTGCACAGAGTGGCTCTGATCCTCCTCTTCTTGGTTCCTGCTGGCGCTTTAGGCTCCTCCTCTTCTCAGTGCACCACCATAGGATCCTACTTCCCATGAGGGTGCATCTGCGTGCTTGCTTCCATGCCAGGCTTTGTGCCTCTATAGACACACAAAGTAGGGCTCGGCCCTGCCCTCAGCTCCCTTCTCACTGAATTTGATGGACGGCAGCAGAAGCCAACGGCTCCTGCAGCTACCGAGTCTCCTGTGAAAGGATAGAAGAGCAGATGCAGATGGGCACAGCACTGGATAGAGATTGGGCTCAGGTAAGTATAATAGGTGGTGAGGGGGGTGATACAAACACTAAGGCATCTTTTACCATGATGCAGGGACCATTTTAGAACCACTTTAAGCTTGATCATGTAACCACTCTAATGACCACTTCATTTGAATAATGTTCTGAGCAGGCTGTGCTAAGAAGAAAGAATTGCATTGTAATAGGAAATTATACTGGTCAACTTTAGTAGCAGTGCACTGTCAGTAAGGTTTTATAGAAAACATTTTTTTTTTTAAATTTTTTTTTTTTTAGCATGGGAAACTTGTATTACATTTTTAATTTTTAAGAGTCAAAATAACTTGTGTGCTTTTTTTTTTTCCAGGACTTTCTGTGTCAAATTGAGCGATATTGTAAGCAATGCCATCTGACCACCCCAATTACCTTTCCTCCTGAGCATCCAGTGGAAGAAGTCGGGCGTTTGCTACTCTGTTGTCTGCTGAAACACGAAGATTTAGGTGTGTGGGAGTATGAGAGAATCTATTGTTTACATCATATTTTAAAAATTACTTTTAAGCAGATCTGTTGGAAACAATACTGTTTCACCTTGCAGGTAATATTGCTCTTTCTATGGTTCATCATGGTACTTTGAATGTGGATCAGGTCAAACACAAGATATTGCCAAAGTCTGTGGTTGATGTCTGTCGTGTGGTTTACCAAGCCAAGTGCTCGCTTATAAAGGTTAGTGTTACATGTTTAACTTCTTCTAAGGCACACTAATAGGATTGAACATTTATATGATGAGGCTCATTTTAATGTTTTCTCTTAGACACATCAGGAGCAAGGACGTTCCTATAAGGAAGTATGCGCCCCTGTCATAGAGCGCCTCAGATTTCTCTTCAACGAACTGCGACCTGCTGTCTGCAGTGATTTGTCTATTGTATCCAAGCTAAAGCTACTCAGCTCTGTACCTCGCTGGAGGAGAATAGTGCAAAGGATCATTCGAGAAAAGCGAAAAAAGAAAGGTAAATATATAACCAAAAAACTGGCACACTTGATTACCTCTTGATTGCATTTTGTATGTGAATGTACATTTTATTTTTGCTTGATAGTTCCTAAAAAATCTGAATCGGCAGATGTGGATGACGCCAAAATTGGTATTGATGAAGGTGAACAAGAAGAGCCTTTTGTTGTACCTTCTAGTCCTGTGTCTGTGGATAAAAGGCCCATAGCAGTTAAGTCACCTAAAGTAAGTAAAATGATTGTGCTATTTCATGTCATGTTTTATCATTTTTTTTCTGTGTACAGGCATACAGTATTTAGCAAAGTTCCACATTTTTGAAAAGTGGTTACTAGCTAGTGGCTTATTGCTGTTTTTGATGTTGTCTTTAGGCTAGTGGCTTATGCATCCCATGTCTGTTAAGCTGCATGTATCTGCATAGATCAACACAGGCTCAGTCCAAGGGCACAGAGAAAACAATTATTTTCTGTGTGCACTGTTAACACAATATATGAGGGATGGTGTGTGCTGTGTAAAATTTTTGCATCTATGCATTTTTATGTAGCTCAACTAATCATACCGTAGTGTGTTTTCAATATGCTGCATAGAGTTACCCTTCAAAAAGATAAAAAAAAAAAAAAAGTAAACCGTGTGATGTGTTGTAAAATCACACTACCCCTACACAACGCAACACCAGCCTGAATGCATTTTCGTGTGCAGACTAGTGTGAACGAGCCTATAAAGCTGGTGTGCTGTGCATGTATACCAGAACACATTCTGTTTTTTGTTTACGCACAGGATGGGGATGCATGTTGTCACATACTTTTTTGTTTGGGGATTCATTTGCACACTTTCATTTGGTCATCCCTACCTTCTTGAAGGCTAGGAGGTTGACTTCTTGCAAAGTCTACTATCGCACCTAGGAAAGCCTTTTTATAGTGGTGCGAGACCAGGAAATTTCATCCTCGGAAGTACTCCATGAAAACACATCCTGCTCTTCCAGTCTTGACTGGACCAACAAGTGGCAAATCTGTTTTAGAAACCACTGGCCTCTCATTCCCTAGTTTTTTTTTTTTTTTTGAGATCTTTTTTATTTATTGAAGCTTGGATCCATGCATACATCTAATTTTACAACCACAATCTCCAGCTGAGTGCTGCGTTGGTAACAACAATTTACAGCTTTACAATGTGAAAAGGTACATAGTTATGTATACCGAAGACATAAACATAGATTCCAAACCACATTTTCCAAGTCCTCTTTTTTTTTTTTTTTTTTCCTTAAGAAAAAACCTGCAAGACAAACTGGGAGAAAACAAAAAGAGAGGGGAAAAAAATGGCACGAAATATAAAACCAAAATAATCTAACAAAAACCAGCCTTCCTTTGAACTGAACTCTGAGAGTCAAACCCCTTTAGCTCATCCATGCGCAATAAAGTAGATAAAAGTTCCAATTCAACATCTGCCAGAAGCAAATTTTTACCATATGTATACATCTATATCCCCAATTCCTATTCAAGGGTTGATGGGACAGTTGTGATCTCACAGTAGGCCCGAAGAGAGATTCTACCACTTAATAGCCTGTCCTTAACTAATTGTGTTGGTGCTAATCCTGGTATACCCAACCAGGCATCTCAGATGTTCGTAAATTTCCGGGCACATCCTGTATGTTAATAAACTAGTTTTTCTCTAATTAGATTATCGATAACAGCTTTAATCCATTGTATATGTGAAGCAGGCTTGGGAGATAACCATTTCTGGGCTATAAGCTTCCAAGCAATAAACCGCACTCTAAGATTGGCTATATAGACATTTTGTTTTTTTATTTTTATTTATTTCAGGTACTTATATAGCGCCATCCATTTATGCAGTGCTTTACATATATATTGTACATTCACATCAGTCCCTAACCCTCAAGGGGTGTACAATCTAAGGTCCCTAACTCACATTCATACATACACATACTAGGGCCAATTTAGACAGGATCCAATTAACCTACCAGCATGTCTTTGGAGTGTGGAAGGAAACTGGAATACCCGGAGGAAACCCACGCAGGCACAGGGAGAACATGCAAACTCCAGGCAGGTGGTGCCGTGGTTGGGATTTGAACCACTGATCCTAGTACTGCCAGGCGGAAGTGCTAACCTTTTAGCCACTGTGCTGCCCATAGACATGCGGAGTGTATAGTTCCTCATCCAGTGCTCCAAATAGACAAAGCTTGGGAACTAATGGTACATTAAGACTCCAGATCTTATTGATCATTGTTATAATATGGGACCAATATCTTACCAATTTGGGACATTTCCGTAGGATATGGATAAGCGTGCCATTATGAATTTCACACCTAGGACAGCTGCTGAGGAGTTCGGTAAGTACAGTGGATAATAAAAAGCTGGGTAAGCTTCTGAGCTGAAAGACAAAGACTTTAATTACATTTTCTAATATGATGGACCATTCCTCATCAGAAAAAGTAGCGAAGTCAGTCGAACATTGTGCCTTACTACTGAGGGACATTGTCTTAGAAACTCTGAGCATAATGGATTGTTACATAAAAGATATTTTACCCTTTCTTGTGGTCGAAGATATAGTTTAAGTATTACCGGTTCAGTAAATGACCATGAAGAGGTTTTAGATTGTGCAGAAATAGCATGTCTAAGCTGTATGTACTGGAAAAAAGATTGTTTCGGCAAGTCATATTCAAGCTGTAAGGTACGGAAATCTTTCAGTAACTGACCATGATATAGTTGTGGTATATATCTAATGCCCAACATCATCCAACCAGCAAAACCCTGCAACTTCTGCAACTCAGAGTAATTAATATTATGGAAGATACGAGTGAATGAAGTATAACCCGATAATGAAAGAGACATTTAGCTTTGGACCAAATTCTATCAATCAACACTAAAGTGGGATATTGGAACATAGTTCAAAACTCACCCGCCTCCAAACATTCCACCAAATTATCATTGGACAAAACACCCATTAGAAGCAGCTTAACAGTGTCTACATGCTCATCGTTCTGCCAGGCAGGAAGATGTTGAATTTGCGCAGCTATATAATAATAAAATGGATTAGGCACCGCCAATCCCCCAGCCCCTCTCTAGATTCCTGCAAAGTTTCCAATTTTATACGAGGAGAGCATTTTATTTCCAAATCAAAGATTGAAACCCGGTATCAAACTGTTTGAAAACATACATAGGAATCCAATTTGGTGCATTATTTAAGAAATATAGTAACTGAGGGGCCCAGATAATGTTTATGAGGTTGCATCTACCAACCACTGAGAGCAGTAATATGTTCCAACTAACCATTTTCTGTCTGAACCTAAGAAGGAGAGGGTAGAGATTAAACTGGACATACTTAGACAGGGCAGGATGTACATGAATTTCCAGATAGGAGAGGGTAGAGATTAAGCTGGACATACTTAGACAGGGCAGGATGTACATGAATTTCCAGATAACGGAAGGAGTTTATCATCTGGATTTGGGATGTGACCTGCGGTAAAGGGGCTGGAATCGGATCTAGGGGTAACGGTGGATTTATCCCAATTAATCTTGAAACCAGAAAAGAATCTGAATGTATCAATAAGGGACATCAATCTCGTAAGGGAGTGGGTCATATTACCCAGGAACAATAGAGCATCATCTGCGTATAAAGTTTTTTTTTTTTTTTTCTTCAGCCTTGCCTCCTTTAAATCCCTCTATATTCTGATCCTCCCTGATAGCTTCTGCCAATGGCTCTATCGCCAAAGCAAAGAGCAAGGGCGATAGTGGGCATCTTTTGTTTCGTACCTCTGCAACATAAGGTTGAAGATAGGGCATTATTTACCCGTATTCTAGCTGTGGGAGCCCTATAGAGTAGTCTAAGCCAAGAGATAAACTCATTCCCCAAGTTAAATTGATCAAGAACCTGCCATAAATATTGCCGTTCCACACTGTCAAATGCCTTTGAGGCATCGAGTGAGAGAACAGCTTTATTGCCCATATTGTCCATCGGTAACTACAGATTAAGGTATAACCTACGTAGATTAATGGATGTCTATTTATTGGGGATAAATCCCGACTGATCCGGATGTACGAGTTTAGCAATTACTTTAGAAAGGCATGTTGCGAGTACCTTTTGTAATAATCTTTAAACCAGTAGGCAATAGGGAAATAGGGTGGTATGATTCAGCCTGAGTAGGATCCTTTCCTGGCTTCAATAAAGCTACGATGATCGCCTCATTCATAGAGTCTGGGAGAGTGTCCTGGGCTACAGCAGCCCTAATTGTCTGCAAGAGCTCCAGAAGAAGTATTTCCCTGAACATCTTATAAACTTCTATGGGCAGGCCATCGCTACCTGGAGACTTGGAATTAAGGAACAAATTCACCGCTAATTGCAATTCCTCCAGGGATATTGGAGCATTCAGGTTCTTTCTATCTGCCTCTGAAAGCCTATCTATGGGGTAGGAGGCTCTAGAGGAGAATAAGGAAGAATAAAATTAATTAAAGTCCTGTAGAATGTCAGTGGTGTCCGTGACCACCTGCGTTGGAGACAATTTTAGTGCTGAGACATAAGTTGAAGGCTGTTGAGACCTTACTATAATTGCCAACAAGTGATATATTTTCTCTCCCTCCTCAAAAAAAGGTCTGAGAGGCAAAAAATTGTTTATTTTCCACCTGTTGCATTTGTAAAGAGTGATAAAATTGTTGTGCGTTAATCCAAGCCTTTTCAGTCATAGGGGTAGGATTAGACAAATATTCCTATTCTGCGTTATCTACTGCTGTACCGGCATCTTTTGCCTATCTTCTGGTATTATTTCATTCCTTAGTTAAGGCCTTCATTCCCCCTGTGCATTCCCCTGTGACTCTGTGAGAGCTTGGATCTTTAAATTCTTAAGCGGCCTCTGGACCTATTGGGGATATTCCTCAATTACAAAGTAACCCTTGTCATGGCTATCACTTTTGTATAGAGGGCCTGATTATGCAGCCTTCTCTTTTAAGGAAGATTTTCAAAGACAAGGTTGTCCTGAGGCCTAAAACTACTTTTTTCTGTTTCCCAAGGTGGCTTCCTCCTTCCACCTTCATCCAGACACCAGGACGTTGTCCTTCCTTCTTTATGTCCTGCTTCTCCCAGTGAAATTTGTCTCCAATGTGGCATGTGCGGTGAGAGTCTGCCTCTCAGCTTACAGCGTCCTATTGGCAATTGGCAAACTTCCTGTCTGTCTTTTAGAAGGTTTCATGAGGAGCCTCCCTGCTTTTCCCTCCATCATTGCTAGATGGATGAAACAAGTCCTCATTTAAGCCTGTGATCTGTGTTAATCCACACTCTGCATCCATTGGTGCTTTATGGGCTTTTCATCTTTAGATATTTATTTTCAGATTTACAAGGCTCCCACCTGGTCTTCGGGTCACATGGTTGGTTCGGTTTTGCCAAGAGGATGTTCAGGCCTCCTGTGATGACATTTTTGGGTGCAAGGTGCTACAAGGTGCCCTCTTGAGTTCTGTGAAGTCCTTCTTTACAAATGTTTCTGTGTGTGCCTGTTCATGTTTGTTTGCTGTGTTGCCCACCCTTGATGTGGATTGCTTTTGGATGTCCCATGTTTAAACACTAAAACCAATGTATTACTCTACACAAATAAAAGTAGCATGGTGTATGCAAATTTTTGATCATGGCTATTCAACAGTTACAATACAAAACATAGGAAAGATTTCATGCTTTCTATAAGCCTACTGCTAGAGTTTTACTTTTTTATTTTTTTATGTAAAAATAAAATAAATGTCTTGCTTCATGTTTCTTTCACATTCATAAGAAAAAGTAAACAAGGAAGAGTAAGTTAAAAGTTGACCATATTGCATAATGCTCTCCTCAGTGAACTAATTCTGAAGACTTACACAGTCTGCCTTGTTTGTCAACTTAAAGTATTCTGATCACTGTAGTCTTGGGCATTCGCAAGCTGTGTTGTTTTATAGTTCACATTTCCTGTGTAGTCACTGATTTGAGGAATAACAGCCTAAATTCACTTTTTATAAATCATATTTGGTCTTCAGTCCCTAATGTAATCTCTAAGTTGCTCTCTTGAATGTGTACTGCTTGTCATAACATCCCTTCCCTTCCTCTAAAGGAATGCCTGGGGACCGTCTTTCACTGTATTTGGAGAAATGAATGCTGTTAGCATCTTTTGTATATTTTTTATTTTTTTTTGTTTATTGAACGGGACCATAAACTGATGGCTTATATATGCCCTACAAATTTCAAGGTTGAATGTTGAGAGAAAAACATATGCCCCACCTCTATAAATACACCCCTTTTCCAGGCAATAGATCCCTCCAAGTCTTAGATTAGTGCATGCAGGAGGTAGACGCTGCACACCCAGTGCTCAGCATTTGTATCTGGTAACCTGGATACAGAAATATGGGATGTGCCTTTGCTGGCTTATTAAACATACAGGCTTTATATCTGACACAAAAGGTAGTGAGATCTGAACCCTTAAAATGTTTATTGTAGGGAAAAAATCAAGGTCTGCTATTGCTGACCACCTATTAAAGCTTAAGTGCCAGAAATATCAGCACAAGGGACCTAAACTACAGACAGTATGGTGTGTCCCTTTTGCTAATTCTTCTTTTAGTAGTAATCCTCCTCTGTCCTGCTATGGAACCCCTAAGGGGCCGTCCCATGCTCTCGCCAAGAGAGCCTGGCTGTGCCAACCTTTTCCTCCCAGCTGTTCCATTCAAAGAAACCGTACTACAGCTTCTTCGAACGCGATCTCTGAATGGTGGGGGCAGTGCTGTCAATCATCCACTCATCCTCAATTCTTAGATCCTGTTTTTCATAGAAGCTGTTGTACAGCTTCTATGAATGTAGCAGCTGGCAGGAAAGTGCAGGCATAGTTGGATTGTCTTGATGAGAGCCTGTGACAGCCCCTCATTTGTATTAACCCCTGCTTCATGTGAAGATTACAGCTGTGGGGGGGGGGTGGGACAGGGGGCGATTACTACTAAAGGAGAAGAATCAGCACAAAGGACACATCCTATTGACTGTCAGTTATATCCCTTGTGCTCATATTCTGTTTTTAATTTTGGCTACACTAAATCAGCCCATTTCTTCCTTCAACCAGCTATTGAGCTATTGTATTCTGACAGCTCAGAGACTTCCCCACCATCAGAATACACTGATCTGTGCTGCTGGCTGCAGTCAGTGGCTTTGATTGAGTGGGGGAAGTCTGACAGGCTGGTTGTACGAAAGTCGATCGGTAGATCAACTTCTGTACAACCAGCCTTCCCATATACATGGATCAAAATTCAGCCAGTCCCTACTAAACTGGTCAAAATTTGATTCATGTGTGTCTGGCTTTACTCTGTAAGAATACCAGTTATTTGTCTTTCTGTGGCTAAAATATTATGATGGGAGTTTATCAAAACTAGAGCAACTGTGCATGACAACCAGCCAGCTTCTTTTTTTCAGTTTCAAAGCTTAACCAAACAAGTTGAAGTTAGAAGCTGATTGGTTGCCATGCACCATTGCTCCAGATTCTGGCTGCTGTTATTCTAATAAATTTTCTTCTATGTATCACTCATCTGGAACAAGCTTGCAGATTTCCATGCAGAAAAAAGTCAAAATTCCTAATGTGCACATGCTATAATATAGATCAACATCGTAAACCGTAAAAATATGAAAATGTTGGGATGATGTATTTTACATTTTTGTTATGGAAAAATGTTCTAAATAAATATATACTTTTTTTTTTTTTTTTTTTGCTTTTTAACAGGATAAATGGCAGCCCATCCTCAGCTCTGTAACAGGTGTCCATAAATACAAATGGTTGAAGCATAATGTGCAGGGATCATATCCCCAATCTGCATTGCTGAACACTATTGTGGAGTTTGACTGAAGGAGGAGCCAGTGGATGTAGAGAAAATGAGGAAGTGTTTGCTGAAGCAGGTATGACTCCATGCAGCCACCATCAGTACATTAATTTTTTTATTTGTCTCGATTTATACCTGTACTGGATTTTTTGCATTCTACTCTTTGTGCGAGGGATTATGATTTAGCTTACTAAATCTGCATGCAGAATGCTTACCAAATCTGCATGCAGAATGCAAATTACTAATCAATGTTTTTTTTTTTTTTTTTTTTTTTCCCATTTCTGGCTTACCATGCCTGATTTCACACTGTGTGTATGTGGAGAAAAAAGCTTTGCTTCCTTTGGTCAGAATTTCCCTCATGATGACTGTTAATCTGCTGAATGGTGCGATAGTATTCAAGAAGTAGTGGGAGAAGTGCAGAAAGCACAGATCCACAGAATGAATGAAGCAGAGAGACCCTTGCATTGCGATTGCTCAGATACAGCTCTCAGAACAATGCTGACATCAACAGATCTTGTGGGACTAGTAGTCAGGCACAGTGCCTTACACCCCTTTCACAGTGGGCAGATTCTATTCTGATTAGCAGGGATTAGCTGTATCGGCAGCCAGGAGTAAATGGACTCCTCTGTCTCTTTACACTGACCACTTCCAATCCGCTTTGCCTGAACAGAAGAGGACTGATCACTTTTGTTTTTTTTGCAGACCAGATCAGACCCGGAGGTAGGCGGGTGTAAAAAGACAGTTCAGTCAGTTTACACATGCCTGTCCATAGGGACAAATGAACCCTTCTCATCAGGTCAGCCTGAAAAACTGACAGGTGGACCTAATTGGAATACTCATGTGAAAAGAGATACAGCTGTAGCTACAGAGCTGGAGTGCCTAGGCACAGTCACGTCACAAAGTACACTGTAACATTTTAAGAGAAATTCAAAGCATCTGATTGGGGTTTTTTTTCCAGGTGCTTTTTAGGCAGACTTAATTTCTCTATATTCCCACGGAGTTGCAGATTTTCACTGTTGCCATTTTATTAACATGGTGTAAAATATTTAATTTTGAATGATTTGTTGTATTTTGTTTGCTCGTAGCTGGAGAGAGCTGAGGTTCGTCTAGAAGGAATAGACACCATGTTAAAACTGGCTGCAAAAGCCTTTCTTCTTCCATCTGTGCAGTATGCAATGTTTTGTGGTTGGCAGAGGCTAGTCCCAGAGGGTACCAATCTGAGGTACATTGCCATTTTCAGCCAGTATTATGTACTGCAGTAATTTTGTGTTTTCTATATTTTAATTGCTTGATATGTTGTAGTGAACCTCTGACAGACTGCCTGAAGGATGTTGACCTCATTCCACCTTTTAACCGAATGTTACTGGAGGTGACATATGGCAAACTGTATGCTTGGGCCATTCAGAATATCAGAAATATATTGCTTGATGCCACCGGTAGATTTAAAGAAATGGGTATGTACCTTGGAGGGAGTGTGGCTTTTATTATAAGTAGTAATGATTCAACTGGTTAAACTCATGTTTTGTCATCTTAGGAGTTCAGCCTGTCCCCCTGCAGACAATCACCAATGAAAATCCTTCAGGACCAAGTCTAGGGACCATACCACAAGCCAGGTTTATGCTGGTAATGTTAAACATGCTGACTCGGCAACATGGAGCCAATAGCCTTAATCTTCTTCTCAACTCTGGCATGCTGGCCTTGACTCAGACCATCCTGCGGCTTATTGGTAGGCAATAGTAATGTATCAGATGTTTTTATGTAAAAAAAAAAAAAAATGTTAAATAGTAAGATATTCTCCATCTGGAAAGTTCTTTATAGCCAGGTAAGTCTGTCCTATGTAAATATGAAATTATTCCAGACCTTTTCTTGGAGGTTTATGGGGTTACAAGGAATGTTGCGAAAGCATATGAATGGTTGGTGTCTTTGTATTAAATGTATAGCTGTTTTTTTAATGTACATGACATAATGAATACAGTAAATTGCAAGAAAAAATATGTTTTGATTTCCCAGGTCCGAGTTCTGACAACATTGAAGAAGAATCAAGTACATGTATACTGGGAGCATCTGCCACCGTGTTGGAAGAGTCCAGAAAGGAAACTACACCAGTGCAGCTGCCTGCCTCTGGACCTGAGCTTGCTGCCATGATGAAAATTGGAACCAGGGTGATGAGAGGAGTTGACTGGAAGTGGGGAGACCAAGTATGTTTGTATTTCTGTTTTAATAAACTGCTAGCATTGCTCAAGCTATGGGCTCTTTTATTTGGGGTAATTTAGAGTAAACATTTTAAGGTGATTCTGGTCCTCAACAGCTTTGGATAAGTATTCACCCTTTTGAACTTCATATGTTTTGTAGTGTTCTAACTTGGAATTAAAAAGAATTTAATGAATAAATTGACACTGATTTTCACAAAATAGTCTATAATGTGTAAGTAGATAAACAATCTGCACAGTTATGGAAGACGGCAGTTTCTTTAAGACCACAGGTCCAAATAAAACTATACAGCTTGGAACTGGACAATATGCATAAAAATGATATGGTCAAAACACACACTTGCCTAATAATTGTGCACATCGTGTAATACTCTGGGGGTTTTGAGTAGTGGAGCCCAATAGAGTGCAAATTTTGGGGAAGGAATAGGGAGACAACCTGGCCGCCAGCATGGAACCAATCCTTTCCTTTTGGAGTAGAAGTGCACCCCAGTCCACCGTAGTTTCTTTTTCGCTTCTGTGGTCAGAGCTAAATTCAGTGCCAGTCTCGCAGAGTCTAGCTTAGCCTGGGTCTCAATTGTGGGATTCTTTTTGTGACCCTTACTCAGGAGATAAGTCATTTTCCAATTTATCCAAATCAGCTCAATGTTTACGCTGGGAGACTAGCTGAAGGAGTTTTCCCCTGATTTCCGAATTGTGTGGCCCACAGTGTTACAGGGGAGACTTCACCAATGTCATTTGTAACAAACAACTCCTTTATCTGCTTCTCCAAAATGGCACATTGGACAGGGTCGCTAAATAGAGATTTATTCAGGCACCAACGGAAGGGTCCCCTAGGACCGAGGTGGTGCTTCATGACCAAACCATGGAGTGATCAGACAACACCGTGTCCCTAATGAGTGATTTGGACACTGCAGGAATGTCGAAGGTTGAGAGGAAAATGTGATCTATCCTGGCAAAAGTCTGATGAGGCGAGGAGTAGTGTCCGTAGTCTCTAGCTGCCTGATTACGTTCCCTCCAAATGTCCACCAACCCATGGGTGTGCAAAAGTTTTGTGATACGTAGGCTCTGTTTAGGGGTTGCCTGAGGCAAGATTTCTCCTTCCCCAATTTGTTGAGGGACTGATATAAGGCTAAATTGTAGTCTCCCCCCAACACAACCTTACCTTCTACATGAGGGAGTAGGGTTTGCAACATAGAAGCGAACAATTGTCCTGACCCCAATTTGGTGCATATTAGGAGATGAATGTGTACATATACCATCCAGGGACAAGAGAATATATCTGCCGTCAGGGTCCTTGATCTCCCATGATATAGAAAAAATCTAAGCTTTTGGCGAAGAGAATAGCTACCCCCCTAGTTTTATCGTCAGCATTAGCGAAGTAAAATGTCAGAAATTTTTGATGGATAAAAGGACTATAATGTTTAGGAAAGTGGGTTTCTTGAAGGAGCACATCAAACTTTTGTGAATGATAATGCTGAAAAACCTTACAGCGTTTAATAGGGGAATTATTGTTGGGAAACAATGTGGAGAGGAGAAATAACCAGATCTTTTAGAGTCCTGGAAAGGAGAGGAGGAAATCTAAGTAAAACAACAAAAATCTGCCCAGAGTGTTTATAGTTCGAGCCAGTATGGACCACAGCTGAGCGGATAAACTGACCATAGGCTAGATGAAGCTTGCTGGTGACTGCCTCTCGGTGACTGAAAAAAAGAAAACTAAGTGGGGAATAAGAAAAGAATTGAAATAGAAGAAGAAAAATAGAGGAGAGAAAAACATCCAGACAACATCCCAAATGTCCCCAAAAAGCAGGGAAGGACCATCCTATCCCTACTAAGACATCTAAGCAAAGTAATGTCCTTCACAGGGGAGGACGTACGCCTGCCTCCACAAGAGGAAAAATCTGTGTTGTCATGGCAGGTAGAGGAGCATGAAATCTGTTTCAGCCTACAAAACACCATTTTAACAGTACCTCAAAATTAATCATTCAATAACCATAGTAGACCATAGTTTACAATGCCTCCCGGGGAGATCCCAGCCTGGAAGGTGGTGCCTCAGACGGAGACAGCTCCCCAAACTAGGGTCTTCTGGGGAAAAAGAAAATGCACAAAACGTGAAAGACCTTTTAGCTACTTCAGATAGCGGCCTCAAAAGAACAAATAACAAACGGGACACTGTCCCTAAAAATTAGGTTATCAAGTCAAAAAAGAAAATGCCTAGGGTAAATAACAGCTCTTTGTTCAGAGGGAAAGGACAAAGGGTTAAAATGATAGAATATCAAGACAAAGAGGGGTAAAAACATTTTTTTTCTCTCCATGGGCAGTTCCAGTGGAGTGAGAAAAGGCGATACCTCATCTTGAAAACCCAGGGTCAAGGAGGGTGAGATTCTCGAGACTTCTTTGGCTGTTTTTTTTGCCAAATAGGAGTGAGTGGACTTGGCGGTGAGGGCCTCTTGGATGTTCCGGGGCCTCTGTGAGAAGAAGATGGGTGAGGATCTTGGGAGATGAGCCCCAGTTGCAGAAGTTTGTGTTCTCCCTCAGCAAATGATGAGAGCCCATATGATTTGTATTGGTAGAGGAATTGCAGGTGGAATGGAAAGGACAACCAATATTTCATTGCTTTCTGAGACAAGCTTGCAATGAATGTTTCAATTAATGCCTTTTCTGCATTGTAGTGGGGGAAAGATCAACAAAGACCTGTACAGGATAACCCTGGATGGCTAGGTGCTCTGTATTTTTGGAGATTCAAATGATTTCTTCTTTCAGCTTGTAGTAGTAAGCTTTGACCACAATATCCCAGGGAAGGCCATTTGAACACAGAGGCTGCAGGGCCCTGTGAGCTGTCAAGTTCCAGGTGATGTTCAGGTGTGTCAGGGAGGAGTTCTTTAATAAAGGAGCAGATTGCAGGGTGGATATCCTAATGGTCTCTGGAAGACCTCTGATCCGAAAGTTGTAGCGTTGAGATCTGCTCTCAAGATCATCTATTTTAGATAAAGCGGCGTTAAGCTGCTCCCGAAGATCCTGTATACTAGCCATATTCTGATTGGCTGGGGATACTGTGTGATCAACTTTCTGCTCTATGGCCTCAATCCATGTGCCAGTGTGCTGTAGATTTGCCTGTATTGCTGAAGTGATCTGTGAGGTAGTTTTGAGCCAGGTTGTGTGACAGCATCTCAGGAAAGGAGGCCATGAGGGATATTAAATCTTTATGGTTAACGGAGAGCTGTGGAGAGCCTGAGTCAAACTGTATAGGGGAAGCGGCACCATTTCCCATAGGTGATGTCAACAGTGTGCCAAATGCTCTTTCCAACAGGAAATCAGTGGAGCCTGGGGAGGTGCCAGGGTAGAGTGCGTACTCACTGACAATCCCTGTGGTGAGCCAGCCGGTTGGGTGGCCGAATTCATGTCAGCAATAGACTCCTCTCCTGCTGTGCCATCTCCTTGCTATGTTGTGGGCGCCATCTTGGGAAGTCCAGGTCCCTGTGTACAGGAGTTAAGCTGATGAGATAACATCCTCCAAGCTGATCCTCTGAGCATAGGGGCAATCCGCACTGACTCCTTGATCCCGGGTTATAAGTGACAAACAGGGCAGAGCAAACTAGCAGCTGTGGTAGATCGAAATTGACTGGAGCGGGACCAGAGCTCCTGGACTATGCTGCCATCATAGAAGCTTCTGCGCATGCACATCAACTTATTTATTTTTATTTTTTAAATCTTTTCAAGTGATTGTAAAACGCTGAAAGTAAAAATTAACATAGCATTACTTTCTATAGTGTGTACTTGCTTCAATCCAAAGCACTTAGTGTCATTTCTGTCTGCTGTCTCCTTCCTCTGCTATCTGCATGAGTCACTGCTGACAGGTTGTCCTGATTCCAAGCAATCACTGATGACAGGGGAGGAGAGCTCCAGCACACAGTCTATGCTTGTCAGCCTCAGCTGTGCATGTTTCCTTATGAGACTATGTAACAAGGGTGTGTCCATTCCCTCCTCCCAGGCCTCAGGTTACACTCTGCTTTCTGTTCATTGCTATGGATTGTGTGGCATCAGATCCCCACTCTCTGCCTCTAGAAGCTCAAAAATACTGTCTACATTTTAGCATTTTAAATGGATGTAGGGGAGGGAAGGCTATATATAAACAGATGCATTTTATTTAGGAGGATGTGTTTTCATCTCTGTCACTTCACTGGGTATTTGGAAGGGTTTGCAACCACTTTATTCCTGTTGTTGGTTGTCCAGGCTGCCTCTGCTACACAGAAATCCCAAGCAGCAGCATTGCTTGATTGCAGAACTCTACCTATCCCTATCTGTATCTCTTAGCATGCAGGGTGGATCATTCTAAAATATTTGACTTTTCAAATACAATCTTGGTCATTTATTTACTGTATTTCAGGAAAATGATCCTGCATTTGGTGAACAGATAAACTCTGAATGTTGCTTAGCTTTTTGTCAGTTGGGTTTCTAATATATTGGAATTCTGTGTTTACTTATCCAACCTTATCTTCTTGATTTCTTTTCCTAAGGATGGCCCACCACCTGGGCTAGGTCGTGTTATTGGAGAACTTGGAGAAGATGGCTGGATTAGAGTTCAGTGGGATACAGGAAGCACCAATTCGTACAGAATGGGCAAAGAAGGGAAGTATGATTTGAAGCTGACCGAACCTCCGCCTGCTACTCAGCCCATGGCAGATGACTCTGACACTGAAGATGATTCAGGTTAGCCTTCTGTTTGTCTCCACAAGCTTTTATTTTGCTTGATCCAGTGTGAGTTGTTTGTCTCATCTGAGTCTTGTTTTCATTGTGTCATTCAGAGGGAGAGCAGGCAGACAAGAATCTCCACCCTACCTCTATGATGTTGATGAGTACTGTAAACCTTCTACAAAACTTGTGTCTCTCAGCTGGGGTCAATGCTGAGGTTATGCAATGTGAAGCAACCAAAACTTTGTGTGGATTACTGCGCATGTTGGTGGAAAGTGGCACCATGGATAAAACAGGTGTGTTGAGATTTTTGCAGGGACAGGGAAGTTAAAGCGGAACTTTGCTCTCTCAATCAACATTGAATACTTTGAATATTTTGAATCTTTATGCTGCTAGCATTAGTAAATAGATAAATAGGAAAGTATATTATATTTACTTGTTTGAATCTTTTTTTTTTTTTTTTTCGCATTTCTTCAGTTAATTCCTGGGTTCCATGCCTAGGCAATGATGTCATACATCCCAGGAGTCTTTGAGGGGTGGGTGGAGCTAGCTTTCTCGGCTAAGCACACCCTCCTGTCTGCATGCCTGAGCCAGGGGCAGATGGATTCCAGAAAGTATACTAATATGCCCTTACTTAAGATGGCCCGGCCAGAAATTCTAGAGGGGTGTTTTTAAAAAGTGATTTCTCAGCAAAATAAAGCATGTAGACATGCATGGATGGGGGAGTTTGCTTTGAATTAAATAGTGTTTTTGGTTTGTGCTGCTCAGATACAGTGCAGTTCAGCTCTATAGGGTATTTAGATTTTCCTTTACAAAATCTCTCCAGTGTGAAGTGAATAAAGCACCCAATTGGAGTTCAGCTTCTATCAGTTTATAATGGCAAAAGCAATAAATATTTTTTCATGGCAGTTTTATTGTAATGCCATATTATTTTACCCTGTCAAAGGTGTATTAGGAATACACCTAACATTATCCTTCATTTTTTTTTCACAGCACATTATTCCTACAACTGTTTTCTTTTTTAATGACATTTTTGTTTTTTTATCAGCAGCCTGTTCAAATAAACTAGTCTATAAAGAGCAACATAGGAGCTGGTGCACCTTGGGATTCATCCGCAGCATTGCTCTTATGCCACAGATGTGCAGTACATTAAGTATGCCACAATGGATATCCCTGTTAATGAAGATTGTGGAGGGACCAGAATCCTTCACTGCTGCCACGTTACAAAGACAGGTATTTTGATTGCTTTATCATCAGCTAATAATTTAATTTTGCTTGTTTTGTTTTTTCATGTATGTTATATATCTATCAGTCTGTCTTGAATTAGTTTTCACTGTCAAGACTCTTTGGCATGACACTGATAACTTTTAGCTCCAGTGCTTAAGGTGCTTAAAAAGAAAGTCTCCTTTTTTCCCCCCCTCCTTGGAGTTGTTTTCTCCAGTAGGAAAACATGCATGTTTGCTATTACACCACCATTAAGCCTTCGTTTTGGCTTCCTTTCCTGGGACATGGACACCATCAAAGGTTCAGGGTTGGCATATGTGCTTGGCCTTCTCTACCCCTGCAGATAAACTGCTCCATAACTCTGGGGACAATTGTCAGAAGAACAGTTCTGGTAGTAAAATAGTCACTGTATGTGGTTAAAGGATAAGTTCACCTTTGGGAACGTTACACCGTTTTTAGGGTGGAACATGTAACATGTTCCCATAGTCATAGGAAGTCTCCCCGTACTATCTTTTTTTTTTAATTAGAATTCTTTTATTTATACAAATTACATACAATAAAAACCACAAAGGATGTCGGCCATTGTACAGAGAATAACAGTGCAAATGTCAGAGCAGCAAATTAAATAAGAAAACAGAATACATTCAGGATTATCCAGTCCACAAGAAAGGTCAACAGACCAGGGACAAATGAAATCACAGTATGCAAAAGACATGACAGGACCAGAACAAATCATGGTACAGTAGTCGAACATCATCCTAGAGAATAAGGGAATGTAACCAAACCTAGATAGGCTGGACAGATTGACAAGTTACGGGAATGATAAATGCAACGCAGAAGGGATAGCAAACCTACATAGTTGGAACCATACCAATGTCAAAAGTAACAGGGAGGAGTGATGGGTGGAAGAGGGGTATGGAGGTAAACCCCACGAAATGACAAATGCAGGGTTCCCGGGGTGGGGCAAGAAAATGAGAGAGAAAGTGCGGGGGGGAGATAAAGGGGGGAGCAGGGCTAGGTCCCATTAATTGCATCCCCTCCCGGGGGAAAAAAGGCAAGACAGAGGAAGGTGATACCCAGGGGCGGACTGACAACTCATGAGGCCCCCGTGCAATAGGGGATCATGGGGCCCCTGTGCCCTCGCCCGCACTCAAACCACACCCAAAAAAGCCTTTGAAAGGTACCAGGGGCATCTCATGAGGCCCCCTACTGACCCTGGGCCCTCAGGCAGTGCCCGAGTACTTGAATGGTCAGTCTGCCCCTGGTGATACCTCACTGAGGGGGGATGAGTTCGTTCATATATGCATATGTAAATACAAAGTATTGCCAGGGGCACCAGGTGTCCTGAAAGGTCTCTTCCTTGTTGTACAAAGTGGCAGTAAGTTTCTCCATGCCCCTAAGCTCGTTCACCCTAAAGAATTACAGAGTGGGAGGGTGGATGCCTTTCCACCGCAGTGGGATACAGGCCTTGGCTGCATTAAGTAACTGGATAGTGAGGCTGTGTATTTTTTTTTTTTGATCGGGCTCCCCGTAAGATGCAGCAGGCAGCTTGCTGGGTCATCTCGCAGGTCTACGGTGGTAAGTTGTTTAATAGTGTCGGTCACTCCTTGCCAAAAGGATTGGAGCCTCAGGCACTGCCAAAAGATGTGAAGAAGAGTACCGCCATCCGCCCCACAGCACCAGCATACATCTGGGAGCTGCGGTGAAATGCGGTGGAGGGCACCCAATGCTGACGCATCAGAAGTTTATAGTTGGTCTTCTGGACTTTGGTGGCTAGCGAGGACTTTTGGGCAAAATGCAGGATCTTTTCCCATTGTGATATTGTAAAAGACACTCCTAGATCCATCTCCCATTTAGAGAGGAATGGAGGAGAACAACCGGTGCCCAGAAGGATGAGGGAAGAGTAGATGGTAGAAAGGCTGTGTTGTATAGGTTCACCCTTGTGGCATAAGACTTCGAAGGCAGTCAACTTTCGGGCAGCGCCAGGGGATCGTAAAAGAGAATGGAGATACGAGCTGAGTTGAAGTCCTCCCCAAAAATTCAAAGGGGGATCTACCAGGTGAGTAAAGTCATTGGCAAAAAGGGCCCCAGCAGGGTTGAGAAAGTCCACCAGGTGAGTGTGCTGGCATGGAGATGAAAAAATTGGTGATCCTCTTGTCCTGGGGGAAGTCATGATTTCCCAGGATGGGAACAAGAGGGGAAGGCGCAAGAGAAACGGATGTACTGCGGAAGGCTTCACGATCGACTACCAGAGTGGTGCCAAGCGTCGGGTGTACAGCAAGGTTGCGAGGCAGGGTGCATCGCAGCCATGGCCAGCTCAGGGCCATACCTTCAGAGTCCTCCATCTCCATGGCAACCCAGTGCCAATCGACCAGGCAACTGAGATGAGAAGCTCTATAGTAAGAACGAATGTCTGGCAGGCCCACACCACCACAGATCTTGGGTAATATCAGTAAGTGGAAGACCAAACGTGGCTTGCCATGGGACCAGAGAAAAGCTCGGAATAAGGCATTAGCGTAAAGAAACATACAGAGAGCTTATTTGGGAGGGCTTGTAATAAGTAAAGTATGCGAGGCTGTACAGTCATTTTAAGCGCGCTGTAACAACCAAACCATGCCTTCCTGTACTATCTGTCAAATTTGAAAACAGCGTGGCTGCGCGGAGCTCCGCCCGCACGGCTGCATCATTCATTCACGGACTTCCGTGTCTGAATGAACTGCAAGTCCCGGCAGCCTTAGCAGCTGTCAGCTTATAGTTTTTCAATGAACTACTGCCCGTACATCCCATACGGCAAGAAGATATTCTGACAGGTCTGCAGGAGACCTGCATGGCATTAGTGATCTACTGATTGCTGGTGCAATGCTTTCCAGGCTCCTGTAGACAAAAATAATAAATGCACTTTTTTTTTACCTGCAAAAAAAATGTGCATTCATTATTTTTGTCTAAAAGGTGAATATCCCTTAACCGCTTCCCATCTGCCCTATAGCAGAAATGCTGCTATAGGGCGGCACGGGTGCGCAAATCACGTATGTAATATAAAATTTTATATTTATATATATATATATATATAATGGGATTTTGCACTTCCAGGTAGGGGGCGTGCACGCACCCTACCCATGCCGCTATTCGCAGCCATGGCTGTTAATCACCGGGTCCTGGACAGTGATTGCCGAGGATCTCCGAACGGGGAGGAGAACATTTTGTAAATATTTTTCTCTTCCATCAGCTCGTGCACACTGCTTTGCATGGCTCTGTCTTATTCTTTTTTTTTTTTTTTTTTTCAATAGCACAAAAAATAAAAAACGCACAAGCGATCAAATACCACCAAAAGAAAGCTCAATTCGTGGGGAAAAAAAGATGTAAATTTCATTTTGGTGCAGTGCTGCATGACCGTGCAATTGTTAAAGTAACACAGCGCTGTAACACAAAAAATAGCCGGGTCATCAAAGGGGGTAAATCCTCAAGAGGGCAAGTGGTTAAAAAGGAAAAAAAACCCAAAAAACTTACATCTCTGTTGATGTCATGCTTTTAGCTGTCAGTAGGTGGTGCACACGTCTGTAGAAACTCTTGGTCTGACTTCAGTGTTTTTAGAAGCAGACTATGACTTTCACATTGGTGTTATGGAGCCCAGCTCCAATAGAACCGCTTCTTATTTATGCAAATATTTTTGCCTATCTGCAGTATTGTGGTTATGCAGACATAGCTCTGCTCCACAGAGCACCTGTAATGTGTTTTTTTTTTTTTTCCTTATCATTATTTCTTCTGCAAGCAGGCTAAAAAGTCTTTGGAACTAGTGTGTTTAAATTGAATGCCAGAACAATGAAAGTTCCCCGACTGTCTTATTTGGCGCTCCACTGCTTCTGAAGACATATGGATTCCTTTTGTATCTTGGGTGGGACAACGTATGGTTGTAAGGTTCAGGTTATACCTTCTCCTGTTAAGGTGCACTTTACTAGATCTGTGAGTGCTTCTTATTTTCAGCATCCTGAAACTTTTCTCATGTTGCAAATTTTACTAGGCAAATATTCAGGCCTTATTGGCTTCCTGAATTTGAGTGTTTGATCCTTCAGGCATCTCCTTGAGCGGCAAGCAGTTCCTGGTTTTCTATGCCCGTCTTGGGCCTGTTAGCCTTTCTTGCTGTGTTGCCCACCCCTCTGTACAAGTATATATGTTTTAAAAGGTGGGGGTCTGCAAACCATATTTATCAAAGTTAAAACTGTTTAAACTGACCTTACAGAAAGCTAGGTTATGTCATACTGTATACTGTCAATGTGCATTTCAAGAAAAATAAGCAGTTGGGGGATTTTAACCATCCCCTACTCCATCCAAAATTCAAAAGTTATTGCTTTAAATCTACTTTTAAAGGAGCACTAAACCCAAAAGCAAACATTTCTTATCAGCTTTTAGGCTTTCTTTCTCTTAATTTCACCTGGTGAACTGGCCGGTAAGTCTGCTCTTTTTCAGCAGAACAAGCTGTCTTGCAGATGTACAGTAGCAGTTACAGGGTTGAGACAAACCATTGACCACTGACAGGGGTGTTTACACTGATCAGTTTTTATTTATATAAAACCTTTATTCCAAAAGGAAAAACATGTTTTGTACTGGTATTTGTCTAACATGGCTTCTAAAGCGGATAATGTTGTATTAACGGGTTATACACAAATGCTATGGGGTTTATTTTTACATGGCCCTAAAATATTGACTTTTATATGAAGGTCCTTTGACTCCTTCTCCATGCCACAATTTAACTTGTTTGTTGTTTGTTAGATACTGGCAGTTCGACTGTTGCAGGCCGTCCTCCCTTCCTGGGACAAGAATGAAAGGTCTGCAGATATGAAACTTCTAGTGGAAAAACTCTTTGGGTTTTTGGGTAGCCTGCTGAGCACATGCTCCTCTGACATCCCTCTTCTGAGAGGTAAGTAGGTAATTTCATCACTAACTCAATTGTACTCTATGGGTCTTCACAGTGCCAATAATGCTATATGATTTTTATAGAATCCACATTGAGGAGGAGGAAAGCAAGGCCGCAAGCCTCCCTTACTGCAACTCACAGCAGTACCCTGGCAGAGGAGATTGTAGCTCTGCTCCGCACTCTTCATTCATTAAATCAGTGGAATGGCCTTATCAACAAATACATTAATGCCCAGCTAAACTCCGTTACCCGTGTTTTTGAGGGCAAACGTAGTGACATGGTAAGATATGTATATTTATTACAGCAAAATACTTGTTTCTAGAAAACAGGACTAATGCAAATAGTTTTTACAATGTTTAGAATATGTCAGAAATAAAATATGTGCTAAATGGCGTAGTATCACATAGATGAAAATATATACATATGCCAGTTGTAGAAACATTTTATTGCACTATCCAAAAGAAAGCATGACTTGGAATGTTTCATACTACACAGCATATATTGCAGAAGTGAAACCTATGCATACCCAAGCATTGACTTCAATACTAGAATGAGGTCCAACATTTATATACTTTTCTTAAATCTGTGCATTCTCTTTGTTGAATTATGCATAGATAAATAAATCATCAAATTTGTTTAACAATATGAATACATATTTAATTGTATCTAGACAACTCTGGATAAGCAAAAATATCTAAACCCAAAAACAAAAATGTACTTTTTCCCAGCCTACCAGTACTTAGAAACAGTGACTGCATTTGTTTTCTCTTTTCAAGCTTTTTTCACTTTATTTAAACCTAGTCATCCTGCCAGCAACATACTTCTGTCTTAGGTTGACCACACTTCATCCCTCACTTGTATCAGGACAACATAAGTGGGATAGTACAGGGCCCCTTTGATATTATTCATATTTACACCAGCAAAATAATGCTGAAATTCATCATAATAATTATTGTTCACTTGAACTTGGGTTATTTGGCAGGGGGTTGGGGTGGTGGGCTTTTGGATAAGCCAGCCCCAAAACTGAGTGGGTTCTTAGAAGCCATATTGCTATTGCTTGTTGACACTGGCAGGTCTCTGAAAGTAGACGTAAACCCTTAGGCCCCTTTCACACAAAGGGTCTGATCAAGTCACCTGTCAATTTTTCAGATGGACCTGATCGGACCCTCCATGCATCCCTGTGGACCGCCAGATGTAAGCGGAATTGTTTACACCCACCTACCACCGGTTTAGCCCACTAAAAAAAAAAAGGGGGAGGGGGATAACCTTGATGGGCAGTTGAGTGTAAGTGGACAGTGGAGTCCATTTACATCTGGCTGCCCATAGAGCAAAGTGGGTTTGGTCCATGTCTGCTATGCATAAACTGAGGGGTCACGGACCTGTCAACCGCCTCGCTGCTTTAATCAGCAAGAGATCAGCAGACAGATACCCTGCTGAGCAAAACCGAGTCCGCCCCATGTGAACAGTGCCTAGCTGAATGCCCCGTTGGTAGCAAAATGCAGTATATTTTGGAGAATTTTGGGGTAGAGACGGGTTTTACCATTTTTTAATCATATGTTACATCTTAATGTTTCTGATTGACTTCAGCCTTTTATAGATGTTTCTATCCACTTACACTACAGTGATAATAGGTTGCATGTGTCTTTTCACTGGGCATACTTCCTGATTGTTGCTGGCTGCAATCGTTTTCTCCATAGGCCTGATTTTGTTTTATTTTATGAACATGAAGATATATGAAAATTTATTTTTCAGCTTTGCAGGTTTGACTATGGAGGGGGGCACTTTCAATAAAGTGCAATATCTATTTTCATGGAAGCTCCACATAAAATGGTGACAAAAGTAGGATATGCCTGGGCAATTTGCACCAGCAACCAAAGTTTACAATTTTGGAAACCATGTGATAGGTGCTTTAAAGGCAGGAGATTGTGGGACACGGGCAAGTGTTGTCACTCCACAACACAATGCTCAAAGAAGGACCTTTTTATATACAAAAAATATATTTACAGTACTGGTTACAAACCGAACACAACCTCCAGTGTACGACAGGGGATGTCTGCCTCTAGACTGCTCTCATATGTTTGACCATTGAGGAAAGATTTGAGGATGACCAGTTAACATGGTTGTAGGATCCTTTGCTTAACCTTTTGATGCTGTCTGCCCTTCCCTTTAGCTATGGAATCCTCTACCTGCCCTTCTCGCTATATTGTGGATTGGCAGTCAGCTTGTGGCCATAGGTTTTCCCCTTGGAGCTATGCCTCCAGTGCCATGAATAACAAAATAAATAATATGAAGCCTGCCCCATTTTCCCAGCCTCATCATCTACACCCTAACACTCATTCCTTCCCTTGCCTGCAAAATAATGACAGCTGGGGAGTGCCCTTCTGGGCAAAATGACGATGGAGAACCTACCACTATGGTGTTGCATAGCCTAGAAAAACACTTAAAGGGCTTTTTTCCCAGGAGGTGGAATGGGAGCAACTGCTAAGCCTGCAGTTTGCCCAAGCTAGTGGTGATTTGGGGACATTTATTTATTCCCCTCCAGGAAAAAATACTTTAAATGGTCTACACTGCAGAACTCTGTGGACAAGCCTTGGGGATAGCAGTGACCATTTAAGACCTCATAGCCAGGGTGGGATTATCGGAGGGGTAGGAAAAGGACGTGGTGCTATGTGCCCAGGGGTGTAAAAAGAGAAAGAGAGGCCTTGTCAGTCTCTTCACTACCACTGGTATGATGAGCCACTGGCAGAGTTAACACCTTCACGCCTAAGGGTAAAACAAATCTAAATGCCTAAGCACAATTTTGCAATGTTGACATGTGTTAGTAAAACCGTACGTATCATCACAACTACTTTGTACATCCAGGTGAATTATACCACGTTTTTTCAGAACAAATTGGGCTTTCATTTGGTGGTAAATTGTAATGGATATCTCCTGATTTTTTTTCATTATCAAAGGAAAACTGGCCCAAAATAGTAAAATAAAATTTTTTTTTATTTAGCTGTGTGTTTCTTGTTACTACCATAACCTACCACCAAAGAACAAACCAAAATAAATTCTCCAGCTCTTGACGATCGCAGCGCAACCATATATGTGTATGTTATTTGTTGTTTGTACCTGTAGTATAACCCAGAAACAATAGTGCGCATTTTGTTTTTATATTTTTTTTTTTATTACCTAAATCCCCCTGACATTGACACTAACTGACACCACTTTTTTTTTTTTAAATCCTGACCTTTGATCCTGACCTTTTGACACTGACCTTGACCCAAACACTAACCCTGGCACTGAACTAGATCAAACCTTGATCTAGGTATTTTTTCTTTTATTTTTTAATTATTTATTTTTTTACAAACTTTTTTTTTTTCTCTCTATGCCAGGAGTTAGAGAGATACAATGTATCTCTCTTCTCCATTCATAGAGAGAGAAAATAACAAGGGAGCCGGGCTGCACAGTGACTGATCACTGTGATAGCCAATCAGAGGCTCTCACAGCAATCATGTGACCTGGAATCGGGGGTCCCGATCGTTAGAATGGGACCCGGGGCTCTCAGTGACACCACAGTCTTTGTGCTGGGAGTGCGCGTACCTCGGACACGGCCGATGACAGATCTGAGTACCGGCCCCCGTTACATTCATAATATGCTGTTGTACATACTATTCGTAATGTTTGGTAACATCACATACAGTTTAACGGTATCTTCCAAGCATGGTACTTTAAAGGATTTGTGTTTTTTCCTATGTAACACTCGGATTCACATTTTAAAGTACCCTCGCCCCGCCATACAATATTTTATAATATTTTTTGCCATAGTAAATGTCCTGCATGATCAGCTTTCCAAGCCCTGTTTGACATTAGCTTATTATCCATTTTATCCTTGAAAAAAGCCAGAATTTAGTATCCAGATTCACCTGACATAGAACTCAATTGGGTTTGGTGCTCGCAAACTGATTATGTGCAGATTCACTAATCCCTAGTCCTCAGAGATAGCTGGAAACATAGTAGCTGATAAGAATTGGAACAGGCAAGGAGCAATGGGAGTTCACAAGATTCCTGGCAAGACTAACATGCACTTTTGATCTTATCAAGCAGATATAGCAACACTTTCAATGGTATAGTTAACTGATCTGATTATAGAGAACTTCATTGTTTGGTTTATGAATTCAGTAAATCTGAAAATAAAAACCCTGACTACTGTGTCTTTGCGCTTTATTATGGACAGCTGTGCTTTGTTGAAAAATATTTCCAAATTTGCCTGACTGATAGAACATGGAAACTGCATGAACAGTTATATGGGGTATTAAGGGATCATATGTTTACTGAAATTGCTCTGTTTGTTATATGATCAATGTTAATACAAAGTACTTGTCAGAATTTGGTTACCTTACTACTGATATATATATATTTTTTTACTGTGCCACCATTATTACTCAGCAGGCTGTATTGGAAGATTACTTCCCTGACTCTGAAAATCCTGAAGTGGGCAGTTTAATGGCCGTGTTGGCTGTTATTGGGGGAATAGACAGCCGGTTACGTCTTGGGGGCCAGGTGGTACACGATGAATTTGGAGAGGGCACGGTAACCAGAATAACACCAAAAGGAAAAATCACCGTCCAGTTCCATGACGTATGCACTAGCCGTGTTTGTCCCTTAAATCAGCTTACTCCGGTAAGTGCACTTAAGCATGAAATTCACATTGTTATGAGAGTGCACATAGTGTTCCAGAAACGTATTTGCTGTGTTCAAATGCAGGTGTGAAGGACTTAAATATGTACTATTTATGTACAACTTTTATACTGCATTTAATTTGCAAAGTTCCCTTAATTTTCTTCTTTAATGTTTTTAGCTGCCCGTAGTGCCATTTTGTGTGAACAACTTGCCTTTCACTGATTCGATGCTGTCTGTGTGGGCACAGCTGGTTAACCTGGCAGGATGCAAGCTAGAAAAGCACAGGCTGAAGAAGTCTCTCAGTCAGGGGCTTGCAGGTATAGTCCACTTGACTTTCAGAAATGCATAGGCTTGAATAGCTTGATTGTATAAATCACAGCATGAGTGAAATCATTACTGAAAATTGTTGCATATTTACCCCCTGTTTTACTGGTAGGGGAAAGCCAACTGCCTACACTGTCACTTGGTATAAATGTAAAGTGTCTTGAAAGACTCTAAGAATAGCAGTGATTATTGCAGTTTGAAAATGATTATCCATTCGATAAAAGGAAGCTCCAGCACATCAGGAAAAGGATTAAATTGATTGCCGCCTTCACATGGGAGATATTATCTTTACCTAGCACTGCTGTGTTTTCTGCTGGAAGCAGAAATAGCCAATGTTTACAGCACTGAAAATGTCTTCTGTCTTAAAGGGCATCTGGTCCCATCATTTTGTTTAACATTTTATCAGGTATATGTAATAAAAGATAAATATAGAAGTATTTTTCTAAATCCTTTCTTTGTTTTTCCTGAATCTACTTTTGGAAGTTATGTATGTATCATTGTATTATTAGGTATAAGATCCTTTAAGTCCCCCTTCCCCCCTCTCCCCCGAGAGATCTCACATCTATATTCCTGCCCTGCGGTCAAAAAATACAGTAGCCTTGCAGGTTTCTATAGTAATCTTATAAAAGCTTTATGTGATCCGATCATTATATCATTGTATGCGTGGTTTAGAAGGTTGGGGTCCATAATTGTGGCCATAAGGATGAGAGATAACAATTCCTGGTTTTGAGACTACAGAATGGAAAAATGTATCCAGTATGCATGTATGCAGTTAAAGTACAGTATATGTCTAGGGAGAATAAAAAAATTACACATGCAGTACATCCTTGCCACACATGCACATTTCTCCATTTTTTTAATCCCTTTTAAAAATGCTGCTTGTACAGAAAAATGCCTGTTGACCTGTCAGAAATTCAGTGATTACACAACTAATCTAATAACAATACTCCTGTTGCAGTTAAATCCCAGGATTTCTGGCAATCAACAGGTATTTTCTGTACTTGCAGTGTTTTTAGAGACAGACCATAGATAAATATGCATGTACTGCAGAGAATGATATACTGAATATGTTTATATTATTTTACCTAGACATGCACATTGTACAGTATAGCCAGGTACTTTGCCCTTGAGGTGCTTGTGCCTCTTAAGTGGTTCATGCCATAAGGATTTTTAAATGAACTAGCATTATTATCTATTAACAAGCACCATAAGAAATGCCAGCCCTGGGAGCCCATAAAAACGTTTGTAGCATATTGCATGCACTTCATTAAATTGGTTATTGTCGTAATAATCACGAGTCCTTTTTCTGAGTCCATTGAGAGTCACAACTCTGAAAATAAAGCCCAGGTGTAGCTAATATTAAAAACCCAAAAATCAGCACAAGGGACATAACCAGCAATCAGAACAATGTGTCCCTCGTACAGGTAGTCCCCAGGTTATGAACAAGATAGCTTCTGTAGGTTTGTCCATAAGTTGAATTTGTATGTACAGTAAGTTGGAACAGGTACATTTTTAAGTGTAACGTTCAGTCCAAAAATTATTTTTACAGTTTTGGATAGGTTAATTGGCCATGGAGTGATGTGGAAATGCTGAGCGGTGCACTGGACAGTAGGTGGCAGCATGCGGTGAGCAGCAAGATAGGCGCCCGGCAGTTTCCTGGACCAGCATGACGTCACACTGCCTCCATTCTTAAAGCGGAGCTCCACCCAAATGGGAACGTTCTGCTTTAAGGGCTGTTCCCCCGCTCCCCATTAAGAATTGGAACCTTTGGGGGGGCGGGGAGGAACGGGTACCCGAATTTGACAGGTACCCGCTCCCACTTCCGGTTTGATCGCCTAGGCGATCGGAAGTGGAAAGGGTGCTCCCTCCCTCCCTGTAGTCTTTTTGGACACGTGAAAGGTCCCAGAAGACTACAGGACCATTCATAAAGCGCAGCGCTACTCGCGCATGCGCAGTGGTAACCCGGCTGTGAAGCCGCAAGCTGTCACAGCCGGGTACCCATACTGAAGATGCCCGCCTTCTGGAATACAGGACGGATGGTGAAATGGGCTGCAGGGAACACACCAAGGGATCGAGGACAGGTAAGTGACTGTTTTTTAAAAGTCAGCAGCTACAGTTTTTTTAGCTGCAGGCTTTTATTTTTTGACAGGGTGAGTGGAACTCCGCTTTAAGTACGAGTCGTATATAGGTATGGTGTTTGTAACTAGGAGACTGCCTGTAGTTGAAAACTTCATCTGTCCCTGAAAACTGTGTTCCAAAAAGAAGCAGTTGCTGAGAAGCAAATCTAACCAGCCATCACCACATCCAAATAACCAAGAGAAATCTCTTTAAGATGAACCAGAGCCAAACACAGAGAAGGCAACACAATATCTTCATTAATATGAAAGTAGAGACTATCTTGGACAAAAGATCTCTTTGGTCTCAAAACAACCTTGTCTTTGCCTATCCTTACAGGATACCTCCAAAGACCCTTCTAGCTGAAGTATTAGCCACAGGAACTCTACTATATCCTACAGGATAACAACTTTAAGGAAATATAGGAATTGGTTTAAAAGGCAATTCCACTTTTTTGGGAAAAAAATGGCAAATGAAATTATATATGCTATATTATTTTTTTTTAACACAAGTTATAATTAAATGTTGTTAAAAATTACCTTTACTATTCATTCTGCAGAGCTGTAATTTTCTGTAAATTGTAATATGGCTACCTGGAGGTGTTCTGTACACAGATGGTATACAGAACGCCCCCCCCCCCAACAACGTAATTTCCTTGATTGACTCACTGTTTTTTTTACTGCTGTGGGTTTAGTAATACTTTAAGATGGCTTTTTTAAGTCTTCTAAGATCATGAATCTTAACACCTAATGCTTCTTGGTTTTTCAGACCAAGTGGATCTAGACCGCTTGAGGTGTCAACAACTAAAGCTTTACATACTAAAAGCTGGCTGGGCCCTTCTCTCTCATCAGGACAGGCTGAGGCAAATCCTCTCCCAGCCATCGGTACAGGAGATTGGATCAATTCCAGCAGGTATGGTGCTGTACTTTTTTTCATTGCGGTTTAAGGGCTAGTTCACACTAGATGCAGTTCAGTGCGCTTTTTTTCTGTATCAAAAATGCATGCACGGTGTTTTCCATGTATTCCAATGGCCCTGTTTCACACCGGTGCACTCAGTTCCAGTCAATTTCCGGTGCAGAAAAAAAAAGTAGAACATGTTGCATTTTATTTTGCACAGAACCATACTGGAACACAGCAAACTTCATTAAAACTGCACCGGAACTGTGTGTGGTGTGAACTGTCAGCAAAAACACATCCAGAATGTATCTGGAGTGTGTTTTTTGTAGTGTGAACTGGCCCTGAAAAAGCCATGTAAGATTTCTGAGCAGTATCTTCAGGTTCAGGTGCAGATTACAGGCTATTGACTTATATGGCAACCGTTTCTAAACCGCGTATATGTGAACAGGATAATATCCTGATCTGAACCTGACATAAAGCTGACATTAACCACTGAACAACTACTGTATCAATTAGCTGTGAAACCTGAGCTTCAATCTGCACTGCACATGTGAATCGGCTCTAAAATATGCATTATGTCTTACGTGTCTTTGGAGGAATATGAAATACAAGGAGACAAAATGTCTCTTCTGAAAGATGTAAAAGTTAATCTAGCCAAAACCATTTTGAAAAAAGTTTGTTAATCCTGAAGACGTCCAGTAAATATTAAAATGACATTTTTCTCATTTAGAAGAAGGTGCTGCTGCCTCTCCTGATATTGGGGACATGTCCCCAGAAGGTCCACAACCAGCAATGATACTATTGCAACAACTCCTGGCTGCCGCTACTCAGCCTTCACCAGTTAAAGCAATATTTGACAAGCAAGAGCTGGAGGTAAATGTTAAAATGTTTTTTTTCTACTTTATATGGATTTCTACATATGTGGCAGTAAAACAAATTGGAAGTGCCTTTATGGGGAATGTTTCTTCAGGTTGGATATCTGAGCTTTGCACACAGCCCTGCAGTTCACATTTCTGAGGATTTGTAGGGCTTGGACTGCTGGACATTACACTAACTCTTTCCATCCTTTATTGTTGAAAGGAAACCAATGCTGACTGAAATCTATAGGGCCACCATTGGTGACTTCCAACTGAGAATAATAGTTTATTTTGCTGTTCCTAAGACTTTAGCACTTTAAAGCCTAAATCTACCTTGGGCAAATATGAAAACCATTACTTTCATCTTATTAAAAAAAAAAGATCTCTGTCCTGTGAACATAAGGGGCTGAGGACCTGGATTCACAAGTGAATGATACAGAGCACAGTGCCACATAATTATGTGGCTCCACCTTTCCACGGTGTTCATGTTTCACTTCCCACCAGAGGAAGAGCATGAACTGTGACATCAAGTGACCAGATCAAAGATACCTCAAGAAAAGGATTTTATAAAGATATTGTTTTTTTACAAGTGATATTAAACACAAAACCAAAATCGTAATACTGTATATTGCAGCTTAGCAATCATTAGATGTGTTGGCTGATTCATTTTCTTTTTTAAGCTTTTGGGCCCTCTCTTTTCACCTGGTGATATTACCAAAAATACACCTCCTGTATTAGTATGCCTGCACTCTGGATGAAGGAGCAACAGAGACACATTTGGACAGCAGCATTGTCAGTTTTCTTACTTTTGGCATAAAGGTTTTACATGAATAAGTAAAAGCTGACCATTGTAAGCACCTCAGTCAGTGGTAAATGGTTTGCCTCAACCCTCTAACGGCTACATCAGCCAGGACAGCTTGCTCTGTTGAAAAACAGACTTGCTGGCCATACCACCAGGTGGAAATAAAAGAAATAAACCCTGAAAAAGAAAACAAATGCATCTGCTACATCTAAGAATCGGTATGTTCTCCCTGTGCCTGTGTTGGTTTCGTTCGGGTACTCCGGTTTCCTCCCAAACTCCAAAGACATGATGGTAGGTTAATTGGATCCTGTCTAAATTGGCCCTTGTATATGAATGTGAGTTAGGGACCTTAGATTGTACACCCCTTGAGGGTTAGGGACTGATGTGAATGTACAATATATATGTAAAGCGCTGCGTAAATTGACAGCGCTATAGAAGTACCTGAAATAAATAGATATGTTGCAATTTAATTAATGTTTGCTTTTGGGTTTTATACAACATTAAGGGTTTGGGTGTGCTCTTATGGAGCAGTTGATCCTGGAGTTGAGCTTTAAGGCACTGACACTGATCTAGAATAAGTGGTAGGTAATTCAGAACTGTAGAACTTGTTCTAGGTCAGTGACCCAATTTTAAAACCAGAGGGATATGCATGCAAGCCAGCCAAATAGCATCTTCTGCTGGTGGGTTTGGCAATTGCATATTTTTTTTTCCAGCACATGGGTAAAACCTTTAAAAAAGGAAAATCATCTTGTAAAAACATTTTAATTGAATCAAAGTAAGCAACAATTAAAGAATGAATCTAGTATAAAGTAATAATGGATCTTTTATGAGTAAGATAAAATTATGCTTGATCTGAATTGACACCTCAGTGTTCAGTGCTAATTGTGGTTTAAATACGGGAAGTGTATTTTTTTCTTTTTGTCAGTAAATTGGTTTGCCATATCCTAGGTCTTCAAGACAAGAGATCTATGTACTCTGCTTGAATCATTTGTGTATTTCTCCCATATCTGTGCAGGAACCCAGCATGAAACTTTTCCGCTCTGCAAAGGCTTAGTGTAATGAAAAACAGTCACTGCTCCTCTTTGTCCTTCTGCAGGGTTACTGGTCTTGTATCCACCCTCTTCTGTGGCTTTCTGCAGTCAGCCTTTAGTGGGTGTTGGCCGGGTCCCTCAATCAGCTCTGGTGTCTGCACAGGCTATGTACAGAACAGTGATATCACTATTGATATTTGTATATGCTAGTTGGGTTTTGCATAGACATTTGGTGCACATAAAGTGGATTTGTATCCTTTGTGGCTGCTTATGTTTAACCACTTGCCCTCTAGAGGATTTACCCCCCTTCCTTGCCAGGCCATTTTTTGCAATATGGCGCTGTGTTACTTTAACTGACAATTGCACGGTCATGCAACACTGCACCCAAATGAAATGTGTGTCCTTTTTTCCCCACAAATGGAGCTTTCTTTTGGTGGTATTTGATCGCCTTTGCATTTTTAAATTTTTTGCACTATAAACAAAAAAAGACCGCCAATTTTGAGAAAAAAAAAACAGTATTTTTGACTTTTTGCTATTAAACATGTCCAGTAAAAAAATTTAAGAAGTCAAATATTGTCGTAAATTTAGGCCAAATGTATTCTGCTACATGTATTTTCTTAAAAAAAAAAATCCCAATACGTATAAATTAATTGGTTTATGTGAAAGTTATAACCTCTACAAATGGCGTTATAGATACTGGAATTTTAATTTTGTTTATTTTTTTTTATACTAGTAATGGCAGCGATCAACAACCTATAGCAGGATTGCGGCGGGCATTCTGACACTGGGGAGGAACTGACCAATTGTCACTAACAGCCCCAGTGACACTAAAACAGTGATCAGTGCTAATAAAAAAAGCACTGACACTGTACTAATGACACTGGGCAGGAAGGGGTTAACATCTGGGACAATCAAAGGGTTAACTGTGTGCTTTGTGTGTGTTTTACAGTGTAAGCACGCTGCTTTGTATTGCTCTGCTATGCAGAGCAATACAGAGCAGCGTGCTGGAACTGACAGGGGAGCGATCTGTATTGTTTACATACAGATCTCTCCCCTGTCAGTGATACTCGGCGATCGTCGGGTGCTGGCGGGGAATCTTTGGCCGATGATCGACAGCTGAAGCTGCCAATGGTATATTTACATGATTTGTGCAGCCCTGCCGCCCTGTAGCAGTAGTTCTGCTATAGATCAGTCAGGAAGCGGTTAAATTAAAATATTTGTACGTGGGGTTCAGCTTAAAGTGTTGTTAAAGGCACTTTTTTTTTTTTCAAATTAAAATATACACTTTATACTCCCCTGCTCTGTGCAATGGTATTGCACAGAGTGGCCTGGACCTCCCCTTCTAGTGTGCCCCCCCCCCCCCCCCCCAGCGCTTCTTGCTCCTCCTCTTCTGGTTCTGCCCCCCATAGCAAGCACTTGCTATGAGGGAAGACAGGTGGGCTCCTTCCCTAGCTGGGTTCTGTGTATCCATAGACACATACAGTACAGCCTGGCCCCACCCCATGCTCCCTCCTCAAAGGATTTGAATGACAGTATCAAGAGCTATTTGCTCCTGCTGCTGCCTCCCTCTCCTGTTTGGAGAGATCAGCAATGCTACTCTCAGGCACGGTGCTGGATCGAATGAGGAGCAAGGTAAGTATTTGGGGGGCTGGGCCTTCAGGACCACTTTAATCGCCTCCCGCCCGCCATATAAGGAAATGATGGATGCAAGACAGTACTCTCGTTCTGGGAGCACGTCATATGATGTCCTCCCACTCTAACCGCGCGTGCGTGCCCCCAGCAGCGCGGTGATCAGTGGTGCGCTGTGTCCCTGGGACACAGTGGATCACCGATCAACAGAAAGAGCCGATGACGTCTGCTCTGTCATTTGATCATCTGTGTTCAATCACAGCTGATAGCATGTAAATAAGGAAATGTCCATTATCGGCATTCCTCTCCTCCTCGTGCTGACAGCTCGTAAGGAGAGTGCCGGCAATCCGCATTATTCAGAGGTGACCTGTCAGTGCCCATCAATGCCACATATCAGTGCATACCAGTGCACATCAATGCCACATATCGGTGCCCATCTGAGCTGCCTTTCAGTGCCACCTATCAGAGCCAGTCAGTGCCGCCTAACAGTGCCAATCAGTGCCATATATCCTTGCTGCCTTTCAGTGCCCATCAGTGATGCCTGTCAGTGCCCATCACTGTAGCCTCATTAGCGCACATCAGTGAAGGAGAAAAATCAAAAAATCATCAACATTTTATAACAAACTAAGAAAAAAGTTTTCTTTCAAAATTTTCATTTGTTTTTGGTTTGTTTACTAAAAAATAAAAAACCCAGAGGTGATTAAATACCACCAAAAGAAAGCTCTATCTGTCTCAAAAAAAAATTATAAAAATTTCATATGAGTACAATGTTGCATGACCGCACAATTGTCATTCAAAGTGCTACAGCACTGAAAGCTGAAAATTGGCCTGGGCAGGAAGGGGGTATAAGTGCCCTGTAGGCAAGTGGTTAAACTGCTTTTTCAAATGATGTGTTTTGTATATGCTCTCCTATAGATAAACAAGTATGCAAAGTATAGTATAGTATGCAAAGTTGGGAGCAGCTCCGTACTTATCACATGGTCTCTAAATGTGCATCTCTGCTCTAGACACATATGCAGACAAGTGACTGACCTGAACTACACTGGAAAAAGTAGCATGGCTTGTATATTTGTAATTCTAGCGGGCACAAAGAAATACCGTATTTTCCGGTGTATAAGGCGACTGGGTGTATAAGACGACCCCCTAGGTTTCCAGTTCAAACATAGGTTTTGGGCTATACTCGTTGTATAAGACTACTCCCCTTCTGAGGCAACACCATTTAAAAACATCAGATTTGATTAAAAATACACCCAGTAATCTGTCAGCCCGCTGGATTTGCAGTAATACTGTATGTACGGTAGCTTCAGCTACATACAGTATACTGCGCTGAGCCAAGCTGGCTTAAAACTAATGTCTTTAATCTGTCAAGCCGCTGGATGTGCGCTAATACTGTGTGTACGGTAGCTTTGGCTGCATACAGTAATACAGTATACCACACTGAGTCAAGCTGGCTCAAGACGAATTTTCCTATGGTAATCTGTCAGCCTGCTGGATGTGCAGTAATACTATATGTACAGTAGCTTTAGCTACATACAGTATACCGCGCTGAGCCAATCACGGCAAGTGATGTATTCTATTAATGAATACAGAGCCTGCTCGAATTGGCTGCATCAGAGAGGCTGGCTGATGATGTCACAACCACAGCCAATCCGAGCAGGCTCTGTATTCATTAATAGAATACATCGCTCGCCGTGATTGGCTCAGCGCGGTATACTGTATGTACCCAAAGCTACCGTACAGTATTACCGCACATCCAGCGGGCTGACAGATTAGGGATGTTCGTTTTGAGCCAGCTTGGCCCAAACAAACTAAAGGTTCACATTGTATACCCCACGTATAAGACGACCCCCAATTGTTGGGGTAAGTTTTTAAGTATAAAAAGTCGTCTTATACGCCGGAAAATTCGGTACCCCCCCAGACTCGCTTCTAACATAACTGTTTTTATCAAACAATATATTCAGATCAAACTATATGGAAAATCCTGTGAGCTCCATGTTTAGCATACATGCTAGATAACGTATAACTGTCATATTGTATGGTTATGTAAAATGGGCTATTCATGCAGATTGTGATTTCTCCTTTTAAAATGCTTGGCATAATTCCTGCTCAGCCATTATGTTACTTAATGTTCTGTCTCATCTGTGTGGAATTTACAGGTGCAGTTTCACAGGGTTTGAACAGCAGGTGGTAGACACAAATATGCATAATATTTCTGAGCATGTTTAATTAAGATTCGATTTTAGATCAAGGAAAGAACTGTTTGAGTGTATTTTTTTTATTTGTTTAATGTAGGCAGCAGCGCTGGCTGTCTGTCAGTACCTGGCGGTGGAATCTACACATCCATCAACTCCTCTGTTTGAAGACTTCTGCAGTTCAAGTGAGGTCTCCTCTCCTGTCACAGTGCAGCAGATTTGCCCAGCTAAAGTCAAGAAGCGCAAACAGTCTCCTATCCCTCCAGTCCCAATTGTTGTACAACTGATGGAGATGGGTTTTCAGAGAAAAAACATTGAGTTTGCTCTGAAGTCACTGTCTGGAGCATCTGGCACTGCTTCTAGTTCACCAGGTACACAGTTTGGTTCAGTCATATCCATTGTTTAGATAATTACTTATAAATGAAATGCTAATCGTGCTAATTTTTTGTAGTATACAGTTAGTGTTTTGAAAGGTTTTTGTTGTCATCTAGGGTAAATAAAAAGCTAAGGTATACATATGGGGTGACGGTTTATATACATGTGCCAAACTCCTATCCAAGGATACATTTAGTTTCCTGGTAGCAACACAGAACATGCTGGGGTTAGATCCTGTTACTAGAAAGTCAGACACCAGGAACAACCTCCTCCTCTCATACGGTACACAATGAGCTTCTAGCTTTCTTCTCTCATCCTGCTGTGAAGTAGGGTCCTACACATTTTGCCTTATCTCGGGCTGATAATTTTTCCTGGGAGATCAAAATCCTTCTTGGTCTAGAGTTGACCCTATTGTACCCCCCCACAGATAGGACCCTAAAATCATTCAGAGCATAAAATGCCATTTTTTTGTTTTTTTTTAAGCCATTTTAGGTCATAAAAAGATCTTGGGGCACTGTGAAGAAGGTGGGCCAGTCAAAATTCTGTGTTTCATTTAGCTATGCTCGATGGCCACATACCTAGGTACACATATGGATACATGTGCCTTTAAAACATTCTGAATTTTTTTACAATGATCCAGCAAAGTGCTTGAAATGTTTCTTTGGGAATTGGTCTGTGCTGACTTACTAGGCTCACTATTAGATCACCACCGCGAACTTACTGACACGAGAGAAAAACCCATGTATTCATGCCCTACATGCTCAAGACGGTGCTTATTACCATTTGCATGTTGTGGAAATGAAGATTTGCATGTTTTTACATCTTCAGTTGTCTAGTTTTGGTGGTCCAGTGTCCACTGTAGCCTAATTTTTCTGTGCTTTTGCCTACATGACTGGGACCTTTTGTGGTTTTCTGCTGCCATATTTGATTTTCTTCCAGGTTTCGTAAAAATGCCGGGAAGTTACAGATTCTGAGATGCTGCAACCACCCCCTGGGGTCAACAATTATTTGATGGCCAAAATTATTTAGAACAGAAAATATCTGTGATCTAATGTTTGGTTGAACAACAGTCTTTTGATCTGGTCTGCTTACTCCAGCTGGCCTACATTAAACACGGTTATGTACCCAGGTCTATTTTTTTGTGTGTTCCCAGGAGTGGAGGCTTTGGTTGGATGGCTGCTTGATCATCCTGATGTCCAGGTTACAGAGTTGTCAGATTTTGAAACTGCTTCTGAAGAGTCTGATGAAGAGGTTGTGGAGGAAGTGGAAGAAATTGAAGCTGTGTACCCTGATGTAAGCTTTTTTTCACTGTTCAAATTAGGAAAAAATGCAAACCACTTAATCTAATTATCAAAATGCACATAATGAAATAAAAAATAGGTGATAAATAGTTCACAAAATGCCTCTAAAGTGTATCTAAGGGTGAAACTTTTTTTCTTTTCATTTTGATTAGAGAGTGGTTAAAGATGCCTGCGGTTGGTTTTGTTTTTAATCTCATCATGGGGGAGATCTCCCTTAACCCCTGTCCCAAAGAAACAGGAAGTGAGGGAAAATTTCCTCTTAGCTGGAATATTTCCATTCTATTTCTGTGACCAATGTAACATATGGATTTCCCCATCATGTTCTGTCTCTGTTACAGTGGTAATTGGTACAGAGATGCAAAACAAAACAAAAAACCCTGACAAGTGTTTTTAACAATTTCATATTCATTTTTTTTTTCAAATTATTTTTTATTCCAAATTTTTCAAAAATTTACAAAAAATCCAAAAATTAAAAAAAAAAATCCAAAACACCAGGCAGATCATGACGTACAGTAGCAAACAACACTTTCATATTCAAAAATAAAAGAAAATGGGATTTAAACACCAACCTTTTCTCCTTTTACTTGTCACATCAGATCTCCTCTCCTTACCACTTTTTGTACATAAAGTGGTAGCCTAATATATTATTCGCTTCTATAATGTAAAAAAATGTGTTCATTTGTAAACTATCCTTTCTGTTATTAGCACGTGTGCGCCGGATGCCTGTCCCTAGATTTATATATTGGTGTAGGCATGTGTTCTATTTTCCATGATTAACGAGATTTGTCATTTTTTGCAGTCTAGCGGTGCTGTGGTGACAGAAAGCCAGACCTACAAGAAAAGAGCTGATTTCTTAAGCAATGACGATTATGCGGTATATGTGAGAGAGAACATACAGGTAATATGACTTACCCCCCCCCCCCCCCCATCATGTCACTGTCCAGATTTCCTCACCTAGTTGAACTCTCCTGATTCTGTTTTTCTTATTCTTGCCTATACCAATCCTGTTTGTTTGAAGTTAACATTTTTTACATTTTTGTTTGCATCTTTTAAAGGTTGGCATGATGGTTCGTTGTTGTCGCACGTATGAAGAAGTGTGTGAGGGCGATGTTGGTAAAGTCATCAAGCTAGACAGAGATGGACTGCATGACCTTAATGTTCAGTGTGATTGGCAGCAGAAAGGTGGAACCTACTGGGTGCGATATATTCATGTGGAGCTGTTAGGTTAGTTTTCTTTCTTTGCCTAATGAACATCTAGTTGTAGCATATGTAGGCTGGCTATATATAAATATGTGCTAACCTGATTATTATTAAATTGACAGGTTTTCCACCTCAGAGCTCCCATTCGCACATTAAAATCGGTGATAAAGTCAGAGTGAAGGCATCAGTTACAACACCCAAATATAAGTGGGGATCAGTTACTCATAGAAGTGTTGGTGTTGTTAAAGGTAACTTTTTGTTTTTAGTCCTGGACTTCTACTCAGAGTTTTGGGCAGAAGACTGTTGCCTATATTTTTTGCCACATTGGCTTTCAATCACTAGCTGTTGGAAATGATGCATACTGATAAATTAATGTGGAGAAGAAGAGGAAGGCTGTAGGTAAGACATTGCAGTCAGGGATAGAAGTGATCTCCTCTAGCATCATACATGCAACTTTTTGCTCTGTTTGGATCTGTATCATTTTTATTTGGGGAATTGCATTTCACGCTTGGAAGAATAGCTGGAACTTGGTTGCTGTATGCCATTGAGGTGCATGTATTATGGGGAGTAAGTGTTCTTGTTCTGTGTGCCCAGTTTGCTGGTGCCTTTTTAGAAAAATATTTTTTTTTTTTTGATTTTTGTCTATTGACCCCGTTTACTTTAGTACATCTAAAGATCTTTAAATGACATGTCCCAAATCCAGGTCATAAATTATGCGCAGGACTCATTAAGTGAACAAATAACTTTTTACATCCCCTTAATGAGACAAGTCCTCCTTTGTGTCTCACACACTCCAACCCTCAGACATTGCAGTTCACAATGGGAGGGTTTGGGCAGTAGAGGCAGTACTGTCAATCTAGAAAGCAGTAGGTAGGACAAGAATTAACTACTGATTGACAAGCTGCATAAAGAATTGAGAATCCTCAGTGGCAATGCTGACAGCCAGGCCCCCTGTCACATCTTTTAATTCCACTTTAGCTCAAACAGGCACTGCCTACATGAGTGGCAACTACACTCTGAATTCAGGAACAGTGCAGCATTGTTGCCGTACCATTCAAGTGAGCTGCATTGAGTAGACCTCACTGGCAGGCTAAACAAGTGTTTTGTGGAACTATATAGGAGAATTAAGGAAAGCTGTACGTGCAGATGCATTTTTAAATTGATGGCCATAATTTTACCTTAATAGCCACTGTAAATTGATGAAATATAAAATTTGAATTGTGTTGCTTAGGTTTTCACGTATTGAATTATCATTTGTCTTTTGGGACACATGACTTTCAAACGTTTGTGTTGGGGGGGCTGTTTCAACATGTTTTGGGCTTGTGTTGATGATATTATTTTGACATCCACTTAAGTTGCTTCTAAGATCATTCAGAATTTGTTGATGGGTGCATTTGACTTGCAGTTTACCTCCTCCTGACCTGCATTTGACTTGCCTCAAGTGGGTTTTGCATTCCCATAGACTTGTGTAGGAATGTCAAACCCATCTGATGCAAACAAAAGCCCGTTGCCACAGGTTCTTTCCCTTGGGTACTATATTTCGTTTATCTTGTATGTAATATGTCAGATGCATATAAAACCTCAGCCTGCAAACATTTGCATTCTTTATAATGTATTGTTGGGTTATATTAATAAAAAATATTGTGAGAATGTGAGCTTCATTTGTTGTGATTTTTATGCACTGATTTGTATATTATTCTCCGATTTTAGCCTTTAGTGCCAATGGAAAAGATGTGATTGTGGATTTCCCCCAGCAGTCGCACTGGACAGGATTGCTGTCAGAGATGGAATTGGTCCCCAGCATACATCCTGGAGTCACGTATGTTATAGCAGCAGCTTGTATGTGTTTTGTTTTATAGGAAACCTGTAGGTCTACTTTTAAAACATTTTCTTTTTTCTTCCTTTTTACAGCTGTGATGGCTGTCAGATGTTTCCAATTCATGGGCCACGATTTAAATGTCGCAATTGTGATGACTTTGATTTCTGTGAAACCTGCTTTAAGAATAGGAAGCACAATACAAGGCATACATTTGGAAGAATAAATGAGCCAGGTATATTGTTATACCTTTCTGTCGGAATTGCTTATATAAATATAAACTATATAAAAGTTTAAGATTTTGTATTATTCTAATATAGGCCAGTCTCCAGTGTTCTGTGGACGTTCAGGAAAGCAACTGAAGCGACGGCACAGTGGCCAGAGGGGCATGTTGCTAGATGATTGGTCCAGGATTGTGAAAAATCTAAATGTTTCCTCTTCTGCAAACCAAGCATCTCGCCTTATTGATGGTAGTGATCAGTGCTGGCAATCATCTGGCTCACAAGGAAAGGCAAGTCAAATGTTTATGAATAAAAAAAACACACTTATTCTGCAAATCATTGCAAGGTGCAGATTTTAGCACCTTCAGCAAACCAATCAGAATCCATCCTTTGCTGGTCTTTTGTTTGTAAAATAAAATTGGATTGATTGCTGTGGATTACTGCACTTTGTATTTATTTATTTATTTTTTTGTGTTTATCAAAATATGCTCACTGAAATAAAACCTTTAAAGTGTATTTTTACTTTTGCAACCAGATTGGGATAACACCTACTTTTATATTTGTTACATGTTCTCATTCACATAACATAACTGAAATATCCTACTTGGTTCTCTTTGTTTATGAGAGGGGCTGGAGAGCTTTGTTTGCCCTGTCTATACTGTGCTTGTGGATCTAATTATCAGTTGTAAACCAGATTAGAACATTTTCTGTCCTAACAAAGGGTTACTGATTTAGAAGCTTGCATTCTATATCATGTGTTACTGAGAGGAAACATAGCTTGTCCTTGGCCTTTTTGTTGGGATAAACTCACTCTGACTTGTTCAAAAAGGTATGCTCTGTGAATGAGAGCACAAAACAAAGTTTTATCAAATTTGACTTCGAAAGTGGATATACACTTCAAATTTAATTCACATTGTAACAGAACCTGGGCATGTGATATTTTTTTTCTTATTTTCTCTGAACAGCACTGGATACGGTTGGAGATTTTCCCAGATGTTCTAGTACACAGATTGATGATGATTGTCGATCCTGCAGATAGCAGTTACATGCCTTCTCTTGTAGTTGTATCAGGTATGTATCAGGGAATGTTGACCGACAAAAACCGAATAAGTTTCAGGAAATCCTCCTTTTAGTGACACAGAGGGTTTCCCTTTTTTGTGGGGCCCTCCTCACAGAACAATTTAGGGCTACATTTCAGCATCACATTTTGTTAGAAGTTGTTCTGTAGCATATATGTCCAAGTGTGTGATTTGAGTTGCAGCACTTTTTTCTGGAACCTCCAGCCACATAAGTTTTTTATGTAGTAGTGGAAGGTTTTATCAAAAGTGTTTTTCTACTAACCATAAATGGGCAAACAAATGGCAGACATGCAGTACTGAGTTGAACATAAAAGAAGACAATCAACTAGTCAATGCAATCAATAAAATGAGGGTCAGCCAGGGTGCCTGCTTGATGCACACTTAGTGATTGTGACCAAGTAGAAAAGTCTGGGAAATAATAACAGTGGCTAGTAAAGGTTGAAGGGTTAATCCTGCTAAGGAATAGATAGTACGACAAAGAGCTTCCAACTCGTTGTTGCCGAAGCCCATAAAGGACAGAGAATCATCAACAGGGATGGTCAAGGTCTTATTAAGAGACCTCCTTGACCAGGAGTAGACTGTTTTTCACAAAATCCTCTGGAAAGGACAGCGTGTCATAAATTGTTTAGTGACCAGGTTTGCTTGTCCAGAAATTCCCAATCATTACAGATAAATCTATCATAAATACTATGAATAGCAAAAACCTTTACAGCAGTTTCAGAGTTATGAGGGTCGAGACTATTGAACTAAGCCCTAATTGTAAATCATCATCTTTGGCAAATAACAAATCTATACTGGACGAGGGTGCTTTTCCCTACGCACCATCTGGCCAATTGATGAATCTAAAATATATAACCTTTATTCAAATATATAAAAAAATGTATGCTCAGCTGTAATTAATGCCTATTGAAGTGGAATGTACTGCGCACAATATAACTGAATACCATTGCAATTATTTACCTTACATCCAAATGGTTAATACCACCAGACCAAGTCAAATACCATACCGTTTTAGATGGAGTGACTGCATACAAAGAGGCCCTGTAGTTTGATCATAAGCCTATCCACTTGAATATATAATCTCTGTTATGGAAATATTGGTACCCCATGGACAAAACTAATTAGCTAGTATAATCTATCTTGCTATAGATATGTAATACGGGTACACTCATCCTCGGGCTTAAATGTCAGCCCCTCATGGATAAGCTCCATACGTCACCATATCCACTCAAAAATACCTGTCTTGAGGAATGCAAATGATGCACTGTATAATGCAGTACAGACCTCTCCAAAAAAAGGAGAGAGAGGAGTGAATACCATATGCATTCAAAAAGTGCTCCCAAAGAAAAAAAGAAACTACATTTTTTGCTCCAGAAAACAGAGCTTTGTCAGGAGTATAAAGAATTAAAATATGTCACAGTGCCTGGAAGTTGTGCTCAGCTGCACATGGTGGCAAAATGGCACCTATCGTTTGTTTCACCTCTATATATAGAGATGGCCATTAAAATGGCCCCCGCACATGCTCAGTTCCTCACAGACACCATCTTGTAGACAAAAAACTGCACATGCTCAGTATCTCAACAGGCGCCATCTTGTGGACAAAAAACACCACAGCAGCACATCAGTCCACAACACAATAGACACTGCTGGTGCTCTCAAACACTGTTAATGCCCCGCTAATTAAGGACCAAAATTACAAGGGTCGAGACTAGACACTAGAGTAGAAGTAACAGCAAAATACTCTATTTTTAAAACGGTGCGTACAGCCTCATTTTAAAAAGAAGACTGTTTCCTTCTGGTGCTTTGACACAAAGGGAGACTGAAAATTATCTAGTGAGGCTTCCTCCTCCAGGGAAAGAAGAAATTCGTATCCAATAGCGAGTCCTCTAGGTAACGGCTGATAGAATCAGAAATATTAATCATCTCTTTGTCGGAGGCTGCAGGTGAAGGAGATTGTGGGCATTTTTAAAGCATAACTGAAAGAAAAAAACTTTTTTTTTTTTAGTTTTGGATAGAGAGGAGATGGATTAGAACACCTATTAAGTTTTTATTGCTATCTGTGCCCTCATGAGGGAGATTCGCTCTTTCCATTTGTCCTATCTACCATTATCATTGAAAGTGAAAGAAACCTCAACTTTTGGGTTGTCCCTAGAACAGTAGTAGAGGGGACACTAGTTCAGGGAAATTTGCCTTTAAAGAAGAAGCTGTCAATCTCTCCAGGAATCCTTACAGACCCAAGCCCATGTACCCAGGGGTTAAGCAGGAGAAGCAAAGTGTCAGTTCAGGCAGCAGTCAGTAGAAAAAGTAACACTTTCCAATTGCAAATGCCAGCAATGAACCAAAGTGAGCCGCTGTCATTCCCTCTGAGATCTGCGTCTGCCTCCTCACAGCCTTTGAAGTGCAGGAAGCAGTGATAGGTGTTTGGTGAGACGTGCTTAGTAATAGCAGACCATGCGCAAGAGGAGTATCGAGCAGTGGGAGTGTCAGTATTTCTGGCATGAATTTCTCAGCAGTGTTTGCTGACTGGAGGAACTTCCAGAATTTCGGTATATCCAGCATGAATCTTCCAGTAGCTGTTGATAGTAAAGCAAAAAATCCAGCAGATAGGAAGGAAACATTCATTTTCCTTGGGGCACTAAGCATTACTGAAGATCTTTGATGTTGGAGGGGTAAAGGGGGGCAGGCCTTCAGTTTTTTGTTTTTGTTTTGCCTAGTGTCCAGTTCTTTTGTAGGTGTCAGTATAAGTTAACCTGTAGGCATATGTAAAATCCTATGTTTATCAGAGCTGTGTCAATCATTGGTTGATAGAGAAATATTAATGTTATAAAATGTTTTCAGTTTTTAATTCTGCAGCTTCCATTAAATTAATACCTGGAGATTCTGCCATGAAGGTCATTGTTTTGGTTCTTCCTGTCGCATCTGCCTCTGGTCACACTGACACACTGTGTGCAGGATTGATCCGCTTTTTTCACTGATGGGAAACTGGACCAGAGTAATGATGTCTGCAGTCAGTGCTGTAACAAGTGCATGTAGACAGGAAATGGTTGAAAATGGCTGGAGGACATTGGTAGCACAGAGAATAAAACAAAGGAAAATAACCAGATTGTTCTGAAAATAAACAATGGCAGTTGTATAATATTCAGTGCTTTAAATTGGTTCTAAAGTTAAAATGTTTTTTACCTTAATGCATTTCCTGCATTAGGATAAAAAAAACCCTCACTAGCTTTTCCGTAAACACTTGAGTCCTCTCTCGATCCAGCGCTGTGACCATGTGCAGCTGCGCTGCTTTCTCTTCTTCTCACTGGCTACACTGATAGCAGTGGGAGCCATTGGCTTCTGGTGCTGTCAGCCAAATCGTGTGAGTACCTGCTCCCGAAGCAGACAGTGCAGGTAGGGGACTGAAAAAGGGAACGTTAGCCACCGCTATGCAATATCCTTGCACAGAGCAGGTCAGTATAACCTATTTTATTATTTAATAAAAATCTAAGGTTTAGTATAACTTTACCAAACTAAATGCCGCTCAGTTGGGGGTCCCATAATCACTTTTTCTTTATCTATGGTTCAGGTTTATGCAAACTTATTTTTTTGTTTTAGGGGGAAACTCGCTTAATAACCTCATAGAATTAAAGACAATCAACATAAACCCTATAGACATGAGTGTGTTGCTGCTTAGTGACTGTACAGAGGTAAGTAGGTTCTGCAGCTCCATTTTTGCCAGGGTTCTCTGTTTTTAAATTCTAAAAAGCTAATGTGTTTTTTTTTTCCTTCGCCAACTTTAGTATCACAGATATATTGAGATTGCCATTAAGCAGTGTCGAAGCTCTGGCATTGACTGTAAAATTCATGAGCTGAGTATTATCGGACAGATCCGAGCTGAAGACGAGGATCTAGCAACAGTTCCATTTCTGGCCTCTGATAACGAGGAAGAGGATGATGATAAAACTAGTACTGGCAGGTAAGTCCTGGCATGGCATGTGATTCCTGTTAGATTTGATGGAATTAAGGTTTTAATGGGATTCTTTTTGTTGCCCGTACATCGTCCATTCCTTTGAATTACTTTGGAGACTTTTTGGTGTATTTGTTTTATTTTTAACGTGAGTCTGTATTTTGTCCATGTGTGGCAAGGCAGCAGTGTTTTCTCTAATTATGACCCCCCCCCCGATTGCTGATAAAAATAGTTAATAAAAGCTTGCCTTTCCTTTTATTTCTCCATCCCTGTGTTAGCCTAAGAAAGTGAAGTTACCTACCTAGTACAAATACTTACAGTATGTGATTCCTACCCCTCCCACTTGTCAGTGCTTATGCGTGGCAACTGTCCTCTCAGACAGTTTTCTTTTAATTCACTTTCAGCGGTACACCGTTAACATTTATAGAATAACAGTTTTGGGTGTCCCCACCACTTTTCCATTTCAGATTGTGACACGGTGATGTAATGTACAGAATTTATTTATGTATCTGTGGAAATGATCTGTGAGACGGTGTTAAAACCTTTTCTCTTTGTAAATGAATAGTATGAAAAGTGATGCCTAAATAGACAGCGCTTTATAAATGCTTGAAATACACGTATAGTTGTGTAATTATGTACATGGGGGCAGTGATCTTTGTATAAAAAGGCACTCTGATTTGCAGTGATACACCTGATTTTGCTTTACTGTTCATTTTTTGCAGTGTAAGTTGATCTATGTGTAAATGTACTGTCTATGTGGCTGATATGGTTACATAAGAGCAGTGAGATATTGCTGCAAAAGGCAGTTATCCCTCCATTGGCTACTCTACGAAATATATTTTTTTAACAAAAATATGAAAACGTGTGTATATAAAATGTGAATGTCTCATCAACAATTGCTACAAAATAGCCCCACTGATGTGCTCACGGAAAATGCACTAGATTTTTCCTGTAGAGAATAGTGATAGTTGATTGAATTGTAAAATACTGTTTAGCTTTGTTGTGCTTTATTAATAATAGAATAACTATCTGTGTCTATTTAGCTTTGTTAGGAAAAAAGTAGCGGCTTCAGAATCTGCAGCAACAATCAGAACCAAGGTTTTTGTGTGGGGTTTGAATGACAAGGATCAGCTGGGAGGATTGAAAGGTTCCAAGGTAAGATCTGTTGCAGTGTATTTTACTGGCAAATTTTTTATTTTAATCTGGTTTAGCTGTCATATTGTATCTGTATTCCTTGTGACATGAGTATAAACAAAGGCTGCTGCACAGCTTCTGTGTGGTTATTGACAGTGTAGATAGAGGAGGATGTTGCAGGCCTTTACCTGGTACAGACATGGGATATATATCTTACCCTAAAAAAAAAAGTGTAATTTGCCTTCCAAGCTTCAGTGCTGGCTACTGCATCTTCTTCCATCCTCTGCTGCTGCTGGTTTTCCAGCTGTTGGCCATCATTCGGCCCACTTCCTGGGTGCCCAGGCTGTCCTAGACACAACCCATGGTGGTGTGACATCTTGTCAACCTTGGAGAATGATGCAGAGAATGTAACTTGTATCACTGTGAGCATCAAACAGGGCTGCTCAAACTTGAAGCAGTAGAGGAAATACCCAGGTATGTCACATAACCATCAAGAAGAAAACCCAAAAGAAGCTATGGATACAAACAAATTATTTACAAATGAGCATTGGGGATGGGAGTACTGCTCAACATGGAATGCTGTTGTTTTGGTGGGTCCTCAGCCAGCTTCTCTACTAGTGAAAGTATCCAATACAAACCACTTACCAGGGTTTGTTGTGTTATTGAATTTCCAGTACTGATACAATACCACCTCCAAAGTATGAAGCTTGTGTGTATCTCACATACCAGATGTAACCCAATGTGTGTCACCATATACTTGACAGCTAGTAAGAGAGTGCAAAATACCAGAGCAACAGCTGAATTTGATTGGATGCAGTAGTTTTTCATCTGATGATATTCAGCTCGATTTTTCATACAAGGGATGTCAGATAGGGTAGATAGTGGAGTGAATTCAGACAGTTGCTCAGTAACTGGCCAACATTTTTACCGTGTATGGCCAGCTTTAGTCTTATGGAAAGTCTTTCATGCTTGATTATATTTTCTATTGGGACAGATATATTATAAATGGACATCTTGGGTTATTTAAACAAATAAGTTAATACAAGGAAACCTAGTGCCATGAACAAAGTAAACTTATTGGAACAGGCAAATGGTCAGGCATTTCTGGTAGGTAATGTCTGGGCAAGTGGAAAACTTTAAAGCCAAAGTTCAGGTTTTCTGTCAGTTTAGTTTTTTTTAGGCCATGTTATTTCCTTTAATAAGTGATGCACCTGCTGTGAGTGCTGTATCATTCTGTATGTGTGTAATAAAGGGTTAGACTTTATTACTTGAAAGTTCCTATGTTTAACCTTTCATGTATGAGGGTATCATACAATAATGTGTCAGCCTGAGAGTATAATGATAAAAGGAATTTACTTGGTTTAAAGAGGTATTACAGATGATAGAAAATAGATAAATACAGCATATTCAGTCCATGGGGAGTTCGCTACTTCTTCATTTGAAGTTCCTGGAGGTGATAGTCCTTGATTCATACTTCTCTTCTGAATCCAACTCCCTTTTGTTTATTAGCCGTACATATACCAGCCCAAAAACCTAGTCAAAATGGTTTGAGCTACACCATAGAATAGAAAAGGTCAGAGGTTTCCAACTTCCCACAGATTGAGACCATGTGTATCAGTATACATGAGACCATATGTTTCAATATACATTAGAGATAGATATATATATATATATATATATATATATATATATATATATATATATATATATATCCTACACTACATTATGGCATCAGGCTGGCTGAGTATTTCTCAGCCATTCAGAGGAAGCCTTGTATTTTTAGCAATGAATCCAAGGCTTCTTCTGATTAGCTGAGGTGGATAGGCTGGTGGATTATATCACAATTTTTAAAAATAATTCAGCTATAATAACATAATTCCCTTTTTTTTTTTACTTTGCAGATCAAAGTTCCATCATTTTCAGAGACTCTTTCGGCTCTCAATGTTGTACAGGTTGCTGGTGGATCTAAAAGTCTATTTGCAGGTGCAGTTTTTATTGCATTACAGTGCTTCAAATTTGTAAATAGTTCTAAGCTGACATAGGTTTTGAGATGTACTGTTACACAACTGTATCTCCTGCTTGCTGTAGTAAAGAGGAAATGAACCCCGAAGGCTGTGCTGAAAAAGGCAAGAAAAGAGCAAAATATTAGTTATCTTCTTCCCCATAGCAGAGCCTCCAGCAAGGAAAAACAGGGTACTCCTTAAACAGAATTAATATTTCTTGATCTTTGTATAATATAGAAAGTCTTCACTTTTTGAGTTCAAGCCTGCTTTGATAAGATATCTACATATATATATTTTTTTTTTAAATGAAAAGGAACAATGTGTAGAAAACTCTAGCAGATTTGTCAGGTTGGATTAGTTTAGTTGAACAAGTGGAACTGATTTTGTTGCTACCATGTAGCTTACTCTCCTTTCCATATTCTACTTTGTATTCAAAGACTAAAATGGCTATGTTGATTTGTGTTCTGGTTCCCTTTTATTACCTTGTAATTTTTGCAGAAATTGAGTGGAACAGGATATTGTGGCAGAGAGATCCCTCCAATTATTTCTCTAAATATTGTCAAAATACACTGCTTTCCAAATAAATGTATTGCCTAGAAACCTATTTCCATTGCCTTAATGAATCATCTGTTATTTTGGCTTCATCTATTTTGCTATTTAGAGCATTTATATAGAGTTGAGCATAAGGTTCAATGCTTACTCTCTGTTATATTTACTATTCACAGTTACTGCAGAAGGTAAAGTGTATGCATGTGGAGAGGCCACCAATGGAAGACTGGGCTTAGGCATTTCAAGTGGCACTGTGCCCATACCTCGACAGATGACTGCACTCAGCAACTATGTGGTGAAGAAAGTAGCTGTTCACTCAGGTACACCTGATCAAGTGTGTCTATTCTGTTTAAAAATAATGTGCAATTGTCTAAACGTTCCAGGGTCATCTGCTGTATATATGTCTATATTTCAGGTGGAAGACACGCAATGGCTTTAACTGTGGATGGAAAAATTTTCTCTTGGGGAGAAGGGGATGATGGCAAGCTTGGACATTTCAGTAGGATGTAAGAATATTTTTATTTTAGTTGTGTAATTATGTATCTGAATTCAAGTTTATTGTGGCATGTCCTGGCAATGAATGATGTTCGTAAACTAGGTTGTTGCCATTTATTTAGGAACTGTGACAAACCTCGTCTGGTGGAAGCACTGAAGAGTAAGCGTATCAGAGACATTGCTTGTGGCAGCTCCCATAGTGCTGCAATCACATCTAGTGGGGAGCTGTATACATGGGGATTGGGAGAATATGGCCGCCTGGGCCATGGTGACAACACAACGCAGCTGAAGCCTAAAATGGTAAGAGTGAAAGTGATTTCTTGCTTAAGACCTAACATGTATGACAATTTGCTTCTACTGATAGGTTGAACTTCTGTTTAGATTTTGCTTCAGGTTTCCTAAATTAAATAATAATAAGTTCACCTTTTGTAACCTGTTGCATTACTCCTATATTCAGGGTGTAACATGTTATAGATGCACCAGACTCCTCTCCCTCCGCTCCCCCATTTTTGACAGCTAGCAGGGGATCTTCTCCCCTGCTGGCTTTCACAATCTGAAAAAAATGCAGCATTTTGGGCTCCACCCTCCCAGCTGCTTCATTCATTCACAGTATTCTGTGAATGGAAAAACTAGAAGTTCGCCAACAGCCTTTGCAGTTGTCTGCTTGTAGTTCTTAATGAACTACTAGGGCGCTGTTGAGCTCTCTAGGTAGTTCATTGAGCTTCCTGTCGTGTAACTGCCTGCCCATATTCGAGGTGTGGGCAGACAGATACACAGACAGTCTGGAGAACTGTTGCCTTTAACCCACAATCTGCTGGTCATGGGTGCAGTGCTTTTCATGTAGGCTCCTAACAAAAAAAAAAAAAAAAATGCTTATTTTTGTTATCTGTAAAAAATGGTCTTTTTTTTTTTTTTTTTTTAAATCTTATTCTTTAGGTTGGTTGTACAAAGAGTAATCACTTAAATTAACTGGAGATCAGATCTTTAAGAGCTACTTGTTCATCATTCCAGTGAACCTTCAGACAGTGGAAATTGCACTTTCAAGACTGAATGCAGTAGTAGATGTGATCCCTGCATTATTCCGTAAACCTTTTTTCCCTGTTGTTGGGCCCCATCACATGTAGCTGAATGCCAAGTTACCTGTAAAAAATAACTTGTCAGAGCTGTCCACATATGGGTAGATTACAAAAGACAGTGACCGCTGTTCATAGTTTTTAGACTTTACCATATTTGTAAAGGACAAACCTTGAGCAAAGTTTTTGGGCTGTATTTGTCTTGAGGGTCACATGAGTACATTTATGTTTTTCTCCTGTAACCCATAGTCAGCTGATATTGTGCTACTGCCCACAATCAGCTGACAGGGCAAAACTGTGCCAGGCTTAGGAATGATCCTGACAATATTGATGGGATCCACTTGGCTGCTTGATTGTCAGATGGCTCTGCCTTTCAGCACAAGGCTGAGAGCTGGAGCCAGCTTTGCCCATCCCCTCACTTGCTTGGTGCTCCCCTGACTGACAGTTACTGCTCTCCGCTTGGAGCAGGCTGTGAGAGCTGAGCGATCAGTGGCCAAGGGATCTCTAAATTCCTGGTCTTCAAGCAATAATCTCACACTTTAATGTTTTTACTGATTGCTTATTATCTGACCAGTTACTAGCAAACATCTGGGATTGTGTTAATCATATAAATACTTTATTATCTCCTGTATGGCCTGCCATTCAGCATAAGCCTATAAATTCAGAATGGCCCCTCCCTCCTGTTGGGTGCCACCACAGCAAGCAGCTTGCTATGGGGGCACCCGCTGCTTCATGTGTCCATTCACACACGGAGCCGTGGCTCGGCCCCATACCCTCTCTCTTCTCATTGGCTTACTGGTTGTTGTTTACAGTAGCGGGAGCCATTGGCTCCCGTTGCTGTCTGAACCAGTGAGGAGAGGGAGTCCCGGGATAGCCGAGATTCCAGTGCACATCGCTCGATTGAGAGGGAGCTTAAGTGAGTATTAGGGTGGCTGCTGCACAAAAAAGGTTTTTTTACTTTCATACATAGAATGAATGGGGCAGAGTAGAGAGCGGTGGCTGGCAGTCATCAGCTTTCTGGGAACTGAGCGATCAAAGACCGCTGGTCTTAGAGCTGGCAGGGGACAGATGCTGATTTTGCATCCACGAAGGTAAGTATCATTTCTAGAAAAAAAAAAACCCCTAAACTTCTCTGTTAACTACATTTTCTGGCAGTCATGTGAAGCCAAACTAACTGCATCCATCAAAAAGCTAGTGCAAGAGATAACTGGTAGTTAGCTGGACATGTTACCATGTTCCCATTTTATTACTTAGATATTAGCAGTTTAAAATACTGTATATGTGAACCCCTTACCTTGTAAAACAACCTATTCAGTCCAAAATAGAAATGCAAGGCAAAACATGTATGTATGTATGTATGCTCTCAGCTGCTTAAGGAGCTTGAAGAGGTGGAGGTAGAGACTGCATGGGTTGATGGCCACACAAATGCACATTTAATTTTAAATATGCTGAACGTAACTGCCTGAGGTTATGTCCACATGTTTTTATTGCAGTTTAGTAGTGGAATTCCTTTTTGGGAACATACATTTGTCTATTTGTTTGCCTGCCTTTTCAGGTGAAAGTACTGCTTGGTCATAGGGTCATACAGGTGGCATGTGGAAGCAGAGATGCTCAGACGCTGGCCTTGACAGATGAAGGTATGTTGCTGTTTATCATTTATCTTGGCAGAAAAGGCTTGAGTCCTTAAAAGTAGGTGTTAACTCAGTTGTCATACAGCTATCTATTTTAAAGCTGGTTTCACCCAGAATGGCCATGCAGTGAAATAATCTTTCACAAAATAAAATGTAAAGCGTTAGTAAGGTAAACACATGTAATAAAATGTGATGCTTTTTCTTGGTCACATTTTTCCCATATTTGTCTTGATTAATAGTAACAGTACACAGCAGTTCTAAATCAAAATCAAACAGAATCTAAGTACCGTATTTTTCACTCCATAAGACGCACTTTTTTCCCCCCAAGTGCGTCTTATGGAGCGAATATGGAGTGGCCGGTCCGGTATTTCCACCGCCGCCGTGTCAGAATTCCGGGCCGGCCGCTCAGCTCTGCAGCGGGACCTTATGGAGATGACTGCTGGCCTTTTGGGGAGGTGGGAAACGCGTACCTGAATTTGACAGGTACCCGCTCTTACTTCCGCGGAGTTGTTCTTTGACCTTACCTGTTCCTCTATCCAGCGGCGCGCTGTCTTCCGGCTTCTGTAGTGTGGGCGCTGGGCTTGACAGCCGGGTGCCAAGTGCGCATGCGCAAGAAGCGGTGCTTTTTGTGAATGGTAAGGCGGTACCTGGGACACATGACAGATCCCAGAAGCCGCCGGACCAATCACAAAGCGCAAGTGCTTCTCGCTCATGTGCACTGGGCACCCGGCTGTCATGCCGAGCGCCCACACTACAGAAGCCGGAAGACAGCGCGGCTGGATAGAGGAACAGGTAAGGTCAAAGAACAACTCTGCGGGTAAGTAAGAGCGGGTACCTGTCAAATTCAGGTACCCGCTCCCCCCCTCCCCAAAGGTCAGCAGTCACCTCCTGTGCTGTCCGCAGTCTCTGGTCATCCCTGTGCTGTCCGCAGTCTCTGGTCATCCCTGTGCTGTCCGCAGTCTCTGGTCATCCCTGTGCTGTCCGCAGTCTCTGGTCATCCCTGTGCTGTCCGCAGTCTCTGGTCATCTCCTGTACTATGTCTGCAGTCCATTAGTTCAGAATTTTTTTTTTCCTGTTTTCTGCCTCTAAAACCTAGGTGCGTCTTATGGTCAGGTGCGTCTTATGGAGCGAAAAATACGGTACTATTCAAACAATGTATAAAAAGGGTTTCAAAGCTGAATCTCCACTTTTACATCCAGTGTATTTTATTTATACTTGTTTCAAGCATCTGGAGATATATCTGAGAGTGATTCCTCATAGAAATCACATATACACAGTAGGTGCACTTTTATGGGATAAATTGCTCAGAGGTAAAAAATTTGTATTCTGTGTGAGCCTCTTGAGTCTGACATTTTTACATCAACCTGAGATTGTCCTGAGGTGTTAACTTTACTGTGCATTCTGTATCAGTGTTTTGCATGTAGATATTTACGGATTTCCTATAACTTGTGTTTCTTTTTCCAGGACTGGTGTTCTCTTGGGGTGATGGAGACTTTGGGAAGCTAGGTCGTGGAGGCAGTGAGGGATGTAATGTCCCCCAGAATATAGAAAGACTGAACGGACAGGGAGTGTGTCAGATTGAGTGTGGAGCCCAGTTTTCCCTCGCACTGACCAAGTCTGGGGTTGTTTGGACATGGTAATGCTAGCCAAAGATTTGAATGCTATTTACCCTCTATATATAAAACCAAGATTGGGGTTCTTCGCTAATGGATTATTATAGTTCTACTTTTAGTCGAGGCTGCTAAACTTTTTAAATGGTTGCGGATTCTGTAAGAGAAGCTTCTGGTCTTTGATCACATTTATGTTCAATTCCCAAGTTCTTAGTTAATTTAGAGTAACACATGTTTTTTTCTTTTTTTTTTTTTAAGAATGTAGAATAAAACCCCTTTGATATAGACCATCTAAAACACTCCAGTTGTACTTACCTTCCAAGTTATGTATGTGTGAGTAATATTGATGATCATGTTTTTGCTCTGCTTTTGGCTATGGACACCGAGTGCACCAAAGTTCCCTTTATTGTTTTAATTTTGGTATTTTCTTTTTTTTACCTCTTTTGATAGACTTACATTTCTGAATACACTGTTGTCCCAAAGTCAGGGCTCAGTGTGTTTAAATCCAACTGAACCTTCTTCTGATGTCTGTAGTATGAGCAGTGTTTAGGTGTTACTACAAATCTAATTTGGATAATCGCATAGGGAGGTTAACTGTGAATGTACAAGTTTTCGAAGCAAAACCAGGTTAATTGTATGAAATGAGTTGTCAAGTGTGCTAAAAAACCCCCCAGTTATTGAATTTAATAGAAAAAATAGAATAATACGCTTGAATAGTATAACCCACCAATCTTGCTGCTCTACATGATGACTTGAAAACGACTGTCATTATTCTGATGGCTTAAAAACCAATAGCAATCAAATGCAGACACAATGAAAATGAATGAACAGTGCTGATCTGTGATCAAAAATGCAGTCCTCTTTATATTTTCTAATTGGATGTTAGACTTTGGTCTCCTGCCATAATATTCACTTATGATATGACTTCTGTCGGATTGATATTTGTCATTTGTCAATCGTTTCAATAAAAATATTGAAATTCAAAATGCAGTCCTCTATGTGGAATCCAAAAGTCCATGTGTTTGTTGTGTCCATGGGCTTTTGAATGCTATTCAAGCCCTGCATTGGCTCCAGCACATATATATTTGGATGCCGCACATAGGGCTGCATTTTGGTCCACTCATTTTATTGTGAGTGCATTTTATTACTAATAGATTTTATTCTATTAAGTAACTTTATTGCATTAGATTAGTATGCTCTTAGCATATTATATCACCCATATTTTATCGGTATGGTTTCATCACAAGACCAGCTTAGCTATACTGTAGTTGATTTCACAAATATTGGCTGCATAGTACATATAGCAAACTGACTCACTAAACACCCATATTTGTGATCGAGTACTACTTTACCGCAGATTAGTTTCTTTAATGTTTAAGCCTGTTAGGGTGGCTATACATGACCCAATTGCTTCCTGATTTAGCATTGGTCATGAAAATCAAGCAATTCAGATTTATCCATAAAAAAAGTGTCTCTTTAGTTTAGTTGACGCCGGAGGCAGGAAGGATTGGCTGATCACTTGGCTACTGTGATTGGCTGTCACAGTGGTCACATGATCGTGACTGGTCCCACCAGCTACCAATCAGCAGAGATTGAGAGCTGTATTTGACAGCTTGGTCTCTGTGCTTGGACTGCACAGTGAGTGCGCTATCCACGCAGAAAGCTTTTCTTACCTTTTGGATGCATATAAGCGGGCGTTAAAGCCCAACTTCTTTGCCACCACACAGCAAGAGGTTAATCTGGTGCCTGTCTAAAAATATTTCAAATATTCTGGTAAGTGGTTTTGCATTGTCTGTTTTTAGGATGTGGTGTAAGTTCTAAATGGTTGCATTTAATTGTTCTCCCACGAGTAACTTGTATGTTGGGTAAGTGTGTGTTCGACTGCTGCTGTTATTTTGTAATACTGGTGTAATCATATGGAATATTGGAAAGTATGTAATGTAAAGTTGTGCTGACATTTTAGGGGGAAAGGAGACTACTTCAGGTTAGGTCATGGCACCGATGTCCATGTAAGAAAACCTCAAGTTGTGGAAGGGCTCAGAGGAAAGAAGATTGTTCATGTAGCTGTTGGAGCTCTCCACTGTCTGGCCGTGACTGACACAGGACAGGTAGGATAAAACAACCTGTTTTTACTTTTTTGTTCAGTCGTTTTTTATTTAAAAGTTTACACTACGATACAAAGATGAATTTTGCACAGGAACACTGTTCTTTATCACGACTGTTGCAAATCCAGGTTTAGAAGATCTTTATAAGACTTGCACATATCTTACAGCATGTTACACATGCTGTGTATTTTTAATACATTGTGACCTGTATGTGCTCATGGAAACCTGTTTTTAAAGGTGAGGATAACATTTAGAAATGTGTACGGTTTTATCATGCTGTCCATGAGAAAGAGTCTGTTCACTTTAGTTAGACACCTATTTCAAAACTGAACAGGAGCTTCGCCTTGAATATGAATTCTTTGTAATAAATTTATTAAAGGATTTTTTCTCTCCTTGTCTTTGCAGGTTTATGCATGGGGAGACAATGATCATGGGCAGCAGGGAAATGGAACTACTACCGTTAACCGGAAGCCTACCCTCGTCCATGGCTTGGAGGGGCAGAAAATAACAACACGTGTGGCTTGTGGGTCCTCTCACAGCGTAGCTTGGACAACAGTGGATGTGGCGACACCATCTGTCCATGAACCTGTTCTTTTCCAAACTGCCAGGGACCCACTTGGAGCTTCCTATCTTGGTAATGAACTTTGGAGATACTGTACATTTAGGGGTTTTCTATTCTAAAATGTAAGATGTTAAATGGATGGACAATCATGATTTTTTCTGAGAACTAGGAATCAATACTTTGCCTGCAGTGCCTTTGCATTTTTTTTTTTTTAAATGTCTAGTCTAATGTAGTATTATGTCTCAACGGAGAGGCATTTTACTTAGATTTGCCCAACTACAAACTGTGAAGTAAATTAAAAAAAGTTTGAAATCGAGATCCTCTCCAATACAAGAGAGTTTATAAACACTGATTTGTTGGAAAAGGTTTGTTTACTAGACTGTCATTATTGCATTGTGATAAGCTTCCCTGCTGTTCCTGTTTGTAGGTGTGCCGTCAGATCCAGAATCTTCATCTTCCTCCAGCAATAAAATCAGTGGAGTGAATAACGCTAAACCGAACCGGCCATCCCTTGCAAAGATTCTCCTCTCTATTGACGGCAACCTAGCCAAGCAACAAGCACTCTCTCACGTTCTAACTGCATTGCAGATTATGTACGCTAGGTAAGAAATATTGCAGGTCTACAGACTTTTTTTTTTTTTTTTTTTTTTTTTTTTTAGGCTAATTTCTTTTCACTGAACTAGTCTTTGGAGAATGTCTATGTACATGAATTTGCATTTAAGTAAGCTTTTATTAGTGACCATACGTTTCCACACTTACTATTTTGCATGGTAATTGTTGCCAGCTGTTCCTAAACACCAAAGCAATTGTACCCTAAAGAAATCTGTTGAGGATGCTGTATCTGAGGTTTGGAGAGGAGGATGAAAATTGTAATCGCCTAAGAAGCAATTTAAATGTTTCTGTTGGAGAGAATTAGATTAATACCTGTTTTGAGAGTAGAATATAATTAAACCCAACTTAAAAGTGTGACTATTATGTGTAGACATTTGAATGTGTTTTAGATGCCGTTGTTCATTGTTTTTAGCAAAGTATGTTTTCATTTAAGCTAAAAGTACCTTCCTGGTAACTGTACATTTTATCTAGTTTTGTCAGGATATTCCAATACAATTAGATTTTTGTTACTCATATAACAGAGGTCTCCAAACTTTCTAAACATAGGGCCAGTTTACTATCCTTCAGACTTTAAAGGGGCTGGACTGTGGCCAGTGGGAGAAAAAATGTCCTGTCATCAATGGGAGGTAACAATGTCCAGTTGTTGGTGTCAGTGAGAGAAATAGTGCACCACTGTTGGTGCCAGAGAGCAGAATAATGCCCCCTCCTTGGTGTCCGTGAGAGTTATAATGCCCCATCATTTTTGCTTGTGAGAGGAATAGATCCCCGTCATTGGGAGGAATATTACCCCATGGCATCGGTGTTAGTGGGAGAAATAGTACACCATCATTGGTGTCAGTGGGAGGGATAATGGTCTATTGTTGGTGTGAGTGGGATGAATAGTGTTCCATCAGTGGTGTATGCGAGAGGAATAGTACCCCATTATTAGTGTCATTAGGAGTAATAGTAACCCATCTTTGGTGTTAGTGGGAGGAATTGTGCCCCAAGGGCTAGATAAAGGCAAGCAAAGGGCTGTGGCCAGCCCTCAAGGCTGCAGTTTGGAGACCACTGCCATATAAGTACCAAGGGCTGGGTATTGCTTTTACGATAATTACATTGTCAGCCTCAGTATTGTAAGCAAGAACATAGCATTATTTAAATGAGTAAAGCAGGGATTCCTGTGCAGTAAGCCTAAGGACACTGTCAGGGATTCCATTTTTCTTGCATCCCATCAAACTTGATTTGACATCAAACTGTAGAGGCTGTCAGACACTCACATGAGCAAGTTGTGGAGACTTCTGCACATTCTTTCCTGGTGCCAAGACTGCTGCAAATAGGGCTCGTTCACACTAGAACACGGTGTGGAAAACCCTCGTTCTATGCACTCTTCCTGCACCACGTTCAAAACACCCTTAGTCTTATGATCTGCTGTGGGTGTCAATGCAGCCTAACGACGCCCCAAATGCATATTGCAAATGCAGTGTGTCTGCCTGCACCAGATCACATGGTACCATCGTATCATACAATCCGATGTAATGCATTTTTGAAAAGTACGGCATGCACTACTTGTGCGATTTCAGCCCATTAAAACGATTGGGCTGAAAAACACACTCTATTGAGTCGCACAGGTATGTGGACCACATTCCTCTGCCATTCTGTTGTGAAACCAGCCATTATGCATGCTGTCTGTGACAAAATTGATGCTAGTTGACAGTATACTCTCAAAATTATCTATAGTCTTAAAAGATTTTTACCTTTTTTTACATTTTAATTTACATAGCTGGACAGTATATTAAAAAAGAAACCTTTTTCTTACAAAAATAAAAAATCAGTAACTCCGCAAAAGTAACAATAAAAAATCAGCTTTTACTGCAAACAGAACCATAGCACAGTGGGGATAGCTAAAAGAATGATTAGAATAATACTGCCAATGAGACCTTTCTAGTTGCATGAATATTTGGTTGTGTGCTATGGGCATGCAGGATTTTAATGTAGTGGGTTGAAAAATCATTTGGCTCTTTATCTTGCATGCACATCCAACTGGCATCTAGTGTCTATTGCCACCATTAAATCATGTACAGCTCATTAATTAGACTCTCCAGTGTGCTGATTAACAACAAAATAATGTGTTGATAAGTTTGTTTACTTTATAAACCCTTTGTGTATACTATATGCAACATGAATTTGGAGATGGAAGTTTGAATTTTGGAAGCAAATGGGATGTTGGTATAGTGAATGACAGATTTATGTTGTCTCTCAGTCAAAATAAGTACACTGCTGTCCTATTCTGCAATTATTTTATTTTAATTTAGGTTTGTGCATATTTATTTTCTCAACTGTAGGGATGCTGTGGTTGGAGCTTTAATGCCAGCCAGTATGATTGCTCCAGTCGAGTGCCCATCCTTGTCCACAACCCCTCCATCTGATGTTTCTGGCACATCTAGTCCTATAAATGGAGACGATGCAGGGCTAGAGTTAGAAGACAGATTAAGTCCCAGCCCTTGGCAAGACAGACGTGGAGAGGTAAAATGTTTGTTTTATTTTTTGTTTCTGTTTTTGTATTTTTCATAGTTTTGATGATTTTCCTTTGAATTAGATAAAAATATATTATTTTTTCTTGTTCATTGGAGTAATACAGAAGACCCCTGTTGTATATTGCCTGCCTACAGGACCAGGACTCAGAATGGAAAAATTGTTTTTATTGTGCCTAATTTATCACTTTTGTTTTTTGGAAAAAAAAAATTGATAATTGATTTTTGGACCGTTTTAGAAGAATATCCAAGCTCTTACTTTGAACAGAAATTTTTTGCATTCCTTGGTTTTAGGTAGCCCCAGCTGAAGATGCTGTCACTCCATCGGCTGTTACTCCTCCTTCAGCTTCTGCTGCCTCCTCTCGACCATTCATTCCAGTTACAGATGATCCTGGGGCAGCTAGTATTATTGCAGAGACAATGACTAAAACCAAAGAGGTGAGTGACAGTTTACGTTATACATTTAATTATTCATGATCCATGATGTGGAAGGTGACCCTGATGTGGTCCTACCCTCCCTCCCTCCCTTTCCCCCACTGTTTTCTCGCCCAACTTGGCAATACTGAATCACTGTCCTGTATTTAGGATGTGGAAAGCCAGAACAAAGTTCCAGGCCCTGAACCCCAGTGCTTGGATGAATTTACGAGTTTGCTTATCCCCGATGACACACGAGTCATGGTTGACCTTCTTAAACTAGCTGTCTCTAACAGAGCTGGAGAAAAGGGCAAGGAAGTCCTGTCTGCTGTATTGTCTGGCATGGGAACTGCCTATCCACAGGTCAGTATAACATTGCTGCTTACATATATCCTTTTCTTTACTTCATCTTTATCTTTGTCTTCAAAACCTGGTTTGTATACAAGGTGCTGGGATTCAGACGTGTTTATACAAGCACTTTCTTTTTTTGTCCATTGAGGGACTAAAGGATTCTTTAGACTGTCAGCATACCTACAGGGGAATTGGACACTGGCAACAAAAAGCTATTGGCCCCCACAGGATAACCTTGCCCACAATCATCATGCAACAGTCTATTGCTAGCATCCTCAGGAGAGTAGCCTTTTTTTTTTTTTTTTTTTCTCCATCTGCTTTTTCACTCACGTTTTACCAAGACCATTATCAGGCCTCATCTGATGCCTTCTTCAGATGTTTGGTCCTTCAAGCGGCTATTAGAGCTACAGGCAGTGCCTGTTGTTTTTTTTTTTTTTTTTTTTTTTTTCTTCGGCTTGTTAGTCTTTGTTGTTCTATTGCTGTCCTCTCTGTTGGATTGCTTTTGGACTTCTTGATGGTCTAAGAATTAATTTGTCCCGCAATGGAGAGAATTTTATGGTAGGTACAAAAATTCATAAAAGTTTGGGAAAATATTCTTATCTGCATACTTAACTTCAAAAAAATAGGTTGCGCTTAAATACATACAAAAGTGTAACAAAAAAATAAATAAAACCATATTTTAAATCAAAATAAAATCCAGCAAAAACGTAAAAGTACAAAAATTCAAATAATCAATAATGCCCAAAATAATTCATCACCAAGTAAATCCACCACCAAAAATGGTTAAATAGAACTCACCAGAGTAATATGCTGATTGTTGAAAAACCAGCGTATAGTACTTGTTGTTCTGGGAGAAATGAATAATATGGTGACAACAACACTGAAGAAATGAGGGATGAACTCCAACAGATGATGTGCTGCAAAGTTGAAAATCAACTCCAAAGGTGATTTAGTATCCAAACTGAGAGATGATCAGGCCGTCACTCAAAAGAAAAAAGCGAACAATCATGGTGCAGTATGTTTTAAAAAGCATCAAACTTTAATGATGAAATGCACTTACAAGCAAGGTGTCCAGACTGACACCAGTATAGACAGCATGTGTAATGAATATAGGCGACTCCGACCCAGCCAATCATGCACATGCTACGTGCTTACAAACCAGGAGTATTCTGAACCGCACATCCAAAGGCACCGCCCTAAGCTTTTCGTCATCAACGTCCTCACGGTCCGCTTGCTGGATTTTATTTTGATTTAAAATATTGTTTCTTATTGTTTTGTTATTTATTTTTTTGTTACACTTTTGTATGTATTTAAGCGCAACCTATTTTTTTAAAGTTTTGTATATCCTATAAGTTTATAGGCTAGGTTTTGCAGCTTACTGTTTTATATAATTTCTGTGGCGCTGGTTATTTATTTATATATTTATCTGCATACTTGTATGAAAGTTATCTCATTACAGCCAGTCCATTAGCATATTTAGAATCCATAAGCAATGTCAGCCTCCAGTTTCTTTCTCATTACATCTTTGCTTTTAAGTAGAACTGTAGGCAAACTAATGGAGACCTGGGAGAGGCATTGATGTGGGCAGTGGGATGCCTTCTGATAAGAGAAAAAAAAAACTTTAGTGAGTAGTGTAAGGAGTTTAGCAATTTTTTTGGTATACACCTATTGTACTTTATTATTGTAGATATTGTATGTAAAAATGGAGGAAATGAAAGAGTATGTAATGCTTGTAGCATAGCGATGAGCTCAACTATCACTTTTTCTTGCCTTCTGTTTATGTATATATCAGTTATACATATTTCCTGTAGTTCCTTTTGGGACAGTCTAAATCTTTTCCATTTAATGTTGTCTCCTTCGTGGCCTGAATCAGTTTTTTTTTCTCAAGTGCGCTTGCTGAAAATGATCTATGGAATGCAGCTGTAGGTTCTGTTGCTCTATATTTTAAAGTATGTGATAGAAGGTATAACATACCATATGACTTAGTTGATGTCAGCAGTTTCTATTTAAAGGCAAAAACTGCTGTATTATGCAGTTATATAGAGGAATCCATGTCAGGTCTGATGATTAATAGTCCACCATATCTCTGGGTGACTGGGGAGCTATTGCTTCTAAAGCTTTGGAAAAACACTGACATAAAAAGCATTAGGGGGATGAATCAAGAGAACTTTGTAAGTAAAGGCTTTATTAGAAGTAATAGTGACACGTATGAATAGTAGCAGCAGTGAGAAATACAGGCTCTCAATCCAGAGAGTCAATGGATGATAAAGGTGGCTGGAAACATATTATGCATAATTCACAGACTAAAATGTCATTGTTGTCTTTTGGAAAATGAGTGAATTACCCCTCCAGAATCACCATGGCCATTGGATCTACTAGCAATAAAATTCAAAGCTGTACCTTGCTGTTGGGCAGTACAAATAGTTTTTAGCACCAGCGCTTTAGGCCTTTTGGGATTGATTGACTAAAGGCTGTTCACTTTGCAAAAGAATCAATTTTCCTTTTGCTTTGTGAATGTGCTAAGACTGCAGTTTGCAAAGAATACTTGATCACATGCAAGGAAGGAAAAAATACATAGGGGTTGATTTACTAAAACTGTAGAGTGCAAAATCTAGTGCAGTTCTGCATGGTAACCAGTCAGCTTCCAACTTCAGCTTGTTCCATTGGGCTTTGACAAAAAAAAAAACCTAGAAGCTGATTGGTATCTATGCACAGTTGCACCAGGTTTTGCACTCTACAGTTTTAGTAAATCAACCCCGTAGAGTTTTACATAATACCTCTAATGGTATTTTAAGGAAACCAAATAGTTCCAAAAATCGAGATATTAGGGATGGTGGCAACCTCATCCAGAACTGAGGGGGGAGGGAATATATATAATTTTTTTTTTTTTTTTTGCACACAGCTGGATAATGGAAGTCAGCAGAGCTTCTCCTCATTCACTAAGCAAAGGGGAAAATCCTGTGGCAAAGTGAACAGCATATATGTGTTTAGTAAATCCGCCCATTTGTGCCTTTGCAGTGTGGACATGTTTTGTAGAAAATAAAATTAAATAGCCAAAACCTGTTATTACAAAAGCTCAACATTTCCTTGAAAGAAACATCTGTGGTCTTGTCACATTAGACAAAATGTAATAGACGTTGGGTTTTTGTTTTAATGTAATATTTATAGTGCAGATTTTATTGTACATGGAGTTATCGTCATGGTGAAAGCTGAAACCTGGGAAAAGCGAATCATGTCTACATTCCAGAGGCATGTGTTCTTGAATCTTGGTGTGCTTTATATATTTCCTGCAGATCTGTGCAGTAATCTAAAGTGAAACTTTGCCTCTGTGTATGATCTTCCTGTAATGGAGGCTGGTCAATTTCTGCTCCCTCTCCTTGTACAGGGTGACTGGTCTTGTATCCGCCCCTCCTATAGTTTTCTGCAGGCAGCCTGTAGTGGGTGGACTTGCTGGGCCCCTCCTCTAGCTCTGCTGTCTGCACCCGGCAATGTGTACTTTTACTAGGTAGCAATGTGGTTTGCTAAGGTATTTGGAACACACAAAATGGATTTTTATTATTTTTGCTGCTAAGGAATATATTTCAAATAGAAAGTTTTTGTGCCTGGAATCTAGCTTTAAGAGCAACCCTAAACAAGAGATTTCTCAATGGGGGGGAAATTTTAATCTTCATAAAACATCCCAGCCAGGGAGGGCTCCTTTCGTTCCTGGCACGGGCAAAAAAAATTTGAAATGGGCTTTTCAGCCAAACAACTTGCCAGTAGTTTGTGCCTTTCATAGGACTGAGAATAAACAGGTGGCACACACACCTAGTGCCTTATCTAAAGTTTATTTACAGGTATAAAGGATAAAAACATACTCACAGACGAAGCATGTATGTAAAAAGCATTTGCATAATAAAGTTGACATGTAGTGGATGGATGATGGGAGCCTTGCTATGCCTCATTACCAGCAAGGCTCCCATCATCCATCCACTACACACATCTGCACAAGAGGCTGGTCAGTAGCTCTGAGGAAAGAGATTCATCCCCGAAACGCGTCAATCATTTGACCGTACTGACAGTTGGAATACCTTTCTTGCCGTTGTGGCCATCTTCATTATGCAAATGCTTTTTAGATACATGCTTTATCTGAGTATGTTTTTTTTATCCTTTATACCTTTGAATAAACCTTGGATAATGCACTAGGTGTATGCGCCACCTGTTTATTCTCTATCCAGTGGCTGATCTCCCCGTCTGAGGAGGGCTGCACCCCTGAAGCATTTCCTTTGGTTGTCGCTGTCCTGGTTCCCTTGGCTTCCCTTTGGCTGTGCATTCCCTGAGGCGCTGGAGAGTACATACGATATCCCTTTCATAGGACTACAAAGAAAATTTGTGCACCAGGGAAAGTAAGTGGTTCTGCTAAAATGCTGTTTGGGAGAAATTCCTTTTAAAGATGTAAACAGCTGAGGAAGATTGACTTGGTATTTGCCACACTTACTGTAATTGTGGTTGCTGAACAGCCGTGCTGAAGCAAAAACAAAAGATAAAGTGCTCTAATTTTATTACTTGATGCAATTCCTTAATAATGGTTATAATCTGCCTTTAGGTAGCCGATATGTTGCTAGAACTATGTGTGACAGAATTGGAAGATGTGGCCACAGATTCCCAGAGTGGCCGCTTGTCCTCGCAGCCTGTCATAGTGGAAAGTAGCCACCCGTATACTGATGACACCTCCACCAGTGGTACAGTTAAAATACCAGGTAGGTACACAGATATTTTGGGAGTAGGTTTTTTACTAAAACCGCTTTACATGATTCACCTGCCTTCGGAATCCTTTGTCAAAAACATGGCCTTTTTGTCCTTATTGAGTACTTTATAAAATTACAGTGCTTTTCAGCAGCAGAGTGTTTGCATAATTGTCTTGCCTGTTGAATATGAATGGGCAAGAGATGCACCTAACTCCCATACATTATGAAACGGTTCACTAATGCTGTTTTGTATTTTTTTTTTAATGCTGCTATTTTGTATAGCTGTTAATGGGAGATTTTATGTTCTTTTTATAATTGTGATAAAAACAAAGTACTCTCTGTGGATGTATAGGTGCTGAAGGCCTTAGAGTAGAATTTGATCGCCAGTGTTCGACAGAGCGCCGCCATGACCCACTCACCATAATGGATGGGGCCAACAGGATGGTGTCAGTCAGATCAGGTGATTTTGCAGTGGTTTATGTTTTGGGTTTTCAGCTCAATTTTTATGTTGCTGTGGTTGGAGTAGTGGGTCCTCATTTGTCATGAAATAGAATATTTTTATTTTGTATTGTTTGCATTAAGTGCTTTAATAAAATGGTTAAGATGCATGACATTTTTTTTTTATTGTATTGCTGGGTTTAAATCCATATAAATATTCTTGGGCAATTTGCAAAAAGCATAATGAGTGCAAATTATTGTTTGTGCAGCATAATAAACATTTATAATAGGTTTTGTCTTTTTAAAAACTAATATGGACAATTTGTTTTCTTATTCCTCAAAGTGCACAGTCTGTCTGTGATTGTAAAATAGTTTTAATGTAAGAAGGGTTTAAGGGTATTATGACGTGGGAAATAGCATGTTTTTCATTGTTAGAGATTGCAAATACCCTTTGTGACCTTCATGCATTCCTGGAACTGGAACAAATAACTCCATGTGGGCTTTATTGTCTGATACTAGAACAGTCTATGCTGCCTCATAACAATCAGTCATATTTCCCTCTTCTTTTACCAGCTGTCATCTTCTAGTGTAGATTTAAACCTGATTGCTTGACCACAACCATTTTTTTTTCATTATTATAAGACTTTGTATGTGTTGTGGGTATAGTAGTTTTATTAGCCCAGACTCCCTACAGCTGTACATTACCAGAGCGTATATATAGTAGAAAACTGTAGGCAGCTGACATGATTATAATTGACAGAATCTGTGCAAAAATCTATTTCCACATTGCGTTTGGTAACCTATTGTTTGGCAAAATCAACACTATCTTGATGACAGTTCATCCTGAATAGGTACATTTCATGGGCACTTTGTTGCTCATCCCCAGCTAACAAGGGCTCAAATGTTCTTTATTAAGAACACATTTTATGACTGGGACATATTAACATGTTGCATCGTCGGGAAACAGTTCTTAGCACACCTAGATTACACCATAAGATGTAGCGAAAACTGTTGATATTCATTATGTATGTGGCCTTCAGGCTCAGGTAGTCACTGTGACAAAAAGTGGTTCAGTAGCAGACTTCAGAGTACATTACTGCTTTTATGTTTTCAATTTTTTGACTTGTATTACTATATTCTGCTTGGCAGGTCGTGAGTGGTCTGACTGGTCCAGTGAACTTCGAATTCCAGGAGATGAACTGAAGTGGAAGTTCATCAGTGATGGGTCAGTCAATGGTTGGGGATGGCGATTCACAGTTTATCCCATCATGCCCGCTGCAGGTAAATTTTGTGTCTTTTTATTATTGCAAATCTACGATATAAAAAAGTAATACACAGTGTTAATTGTGTCTTTCTTCTTTTTTTTTTTTTTCTTTCCTAAAGGTCCAAAAGATCTCCTGTCAGATCGATGCATCCTTTCCTGTCCATCCATGGATCTTGTCACTTGTCTTCTGGATTTCCGGCTAAATTTTGCATCCAATCGTGGAATTGTTCCTCGTCTGGCTGCATCCCTTGCAGCGTGTGCCCAGCTCAGTGCACTTGGTATGTCCATAAGTACAATTTATTAATACTTCTTATAGGAATCCCTGGGGTTGAGCAGTAACATAACTGACAAACTACTGTAAACACAAGTAAAATAACTACACCAAGGTTTTTGTAAATCTGTTCAGCCAGTCCTAGTATTCAGGTTGCTGCTTGGAGAATAAATAACAGCAGTACATTGAAAAGCTGACAAGTTAAACTGACAGCACTTTGTAAAGCAGTAGAGCTCAGGTTGGCTGTCGATTCTGGAAGCTTATGTAAAGAATTTTTTTCTTGTTCATTGAGGAGCATAGGATTCACAGACATTTCTGTTATCCTGCTGCCTACAGGAAGATTTGGACACTAGCAAACCAAAAAATAACCAGACATGCCCATTATAACTCCCCCACTCCCGGCATGTCTCCGCTTTTTCCTAGTGTCCTGGGAAGATGGATGCCTTTTTTCTACTGCAAAATGTTGTATCCATTTTTACTAGCCATTTTCCCATTTTTAAGAATTTGTTTCCTTCATCCAGCGGTTCATCTACACATTGCTTGATCTGGTCTCATGCAGTTATCCGGATCAGTGTATCCTCAGCAATAGCTTTGGAGGTCATACCAGGACCTCGCTAGAGGGCCCTGCCTGGGATGTAAGCTTCAGGCACTGTGTTCCACACTGTGACACTTTTCATATCGTCTAGTGTTATTTAACTGTGGAGTGCTTTCCAGGTCCGGAGCCATGATACAGCCTTTGGTGTGACTAAATAGGCCATGTGGACTAAGCCCTACAAGCTACATAGTTTACTAGAACTGTTGGGTGCCGTTTAAAAGCCCTATTTTCTATTGGCTTTCCACAGATAGGGTTATAGTGCAGAGGGGACTGTGTGCTGCATCGCTATTTTGGAGTGTCACCATAAATTTGCAGTGCATGTACCAGAGCGCAAATGTTGCAGATTGACAGAGAGTATAATTTCTGTCAGTTTGCAACACTTGCTATCTAGTATATGGGCATTGATTAAACTGACAGCACTTTTCAGAGTAGTAGAGCCACTTATTGTCTGGAGTACTAGTCCAGCATGCTATCAAAATTTGCGTTCTGCACCTGGAAGGAGCAGAAAGCTGAAGAGGACCAAGATGGTGGTGCATGACCCGCTGTGTGGTACCCAAATAGCGGATTGCAGTGGCACAGCGCTCGATTCTCTGCAGGTAAGTAGGTGTATGAAAAGAACTGCAGGTGAGTGGGGAAAAAAACATAACTGTACTCAATGGAATATTTCAGTCTACCTAAATGGGGGGGGTTTGAAGGGACTTGTAGTACTTATGCCATATCGTTCCCGAACATGAATGATGTGGCTGTGTGAGTGGAGCCATGCACAATTGTGCAAATTTCAAAATATACCTGAATGACACAAAAGCAGCACCTTGCAGTTCTGGTAAGGGTTCATTTGCAAATAGTTTTTTTGGGGACATCTATGATACCATGCTGATTGTTGCACCCTAAATATAACATGGTGTAACATGATCCAAAAGATGGCCTTAGCCTTTAAGTTTCTATGTATTCTTTTGTGCAGCTGCAGGTCACAGGATGTGGGCGTTACAGAGGCTAAGAAAGCTTCTTACCACTGAATTCGGACAGTCTATTAACATCAATAGGCTCTTGGGAGATGGAGACAGTGAGGCTCGTGCAATGGTATGCCTTATTTGTTTTCTTGCTTGTTAGTATTGTGTCCTATAGTACAGCATGTGAAAATACCTGGGAAATTTTTTATTTATTATTTTAAAGGCTAGCTTCACATGACTGATATTTCAATTTTTTGGTTGCTGAGGTTGTTGGGAATTAAAATTCCATGGCTAGTTCTGCACATTATACTAGTATGCTTTGCCTATTGTGGATCATTTGTAGTCACCCCTTGCATAGACATTTTTTTTCTCAGCAATGTTGTTGTCCTGAGTCTATGTAAGTGTATATATAATACAATTGTGTGTGTGCATATATTAAAAAAAATACGCAGTTGTCCAATCACCCAAACACTACCTGTACTATGGTATTTTACTTTGATACTAACAAATAGCGCTTAGGAAAAAAAAAATGATAATGGGAACATTTATGCTGATTAATTTTCATTTTTATTTGTTTCTCTTAAGAGTTTCACTGGCAGTGCGTTAGCTGCTCTTGTGAAGGGTCTGCCAGAAGCTTTACAAAGACAATTTGAGTATGAAGATCCAATTGTAAGAGGAGGAAAACAATTACTTCACAGCCCTTTCTTCAAGGTTGTGTCAAACTTTTAAATTCTTTTTTTTTCCCAATAAATGGTTGTTACACAGGTTACCCCCCTTCAGTGGAATTGCAGTTCAGAAAACACAATAATATGAAAAACTATGGGTAATATGTACTGATATGTTTCATGTAAATATGTAGTTAAACAATTTCTTGGGGTTTTGTCATCAAAACGTTGACTAGTGCAAACATTGTATGTATAGCTTTTTTATGAGATTTATGGGGCTTGCATAATTGGCAAATACAGTCAGGGTAGGGTCTTAACTTCAGTTTTTACTGTAAGTGTTTTGTGCATTGATAGGTTAGCCGTGGTGAAAGCAGACATTTAAAAAGTGCTCATGTGTTTTAAGAGAGCAAAAAACATAGCTAGTGAAGAGTGGTGAGTAAAGTGAAGTCTTTTGTTCATGAAGAAAATAAATACACATAAAATGTCACTGATAGGAAATGTTAGAGACACACCATAGCGATTATACTGTTGCTTCTCAATGACTGTGTGCTGACTTGATCTTCTAGCTGTTGAACACCACGCAGAGTAATACATTTTAAGTTCATCAAACCTATGTTTTAGATTGTAGATTTAATGTGATTGCGTTTTGTTGTGATCTTGAAGTCTAAAGAGTTTCAGTTTCTTTTGTTAATTCATGTTATTGACCTTCACATTTGTAGGTGCTGGTTGCCCTTGCTTGTGACCTAGAGTTGGATACTCTTCCATGCTGTGCGGAGACTCACAAGTGGGCATGGTTCAGAAGATACTGCATGGCTTCTAGAGTTGCTGTAGCATTAGACAAAAGAACACCACTACCTCGACTCTTTTTGGATGAGGTAAACAGCTTTGATGAATAATAGGAATTATAATGATGAAAACTGTAAGATTACTCCTTTACCTTTCAAAATTTTGTATCAATCTGTTAAGGTTGCAAAGAAGATTCGAGAATTAATGGCAGATAATGAAAGCATGAACACCCTTCATGAGAGTCATGAGATATTCAGGAGGGAACAAGATGAACAGCTTGTTCAGTGGATGAACAGGTTGGTTGTACTGAATGTTCAAAGAGCATCTACAATTAATAATGCTAATGTATTCACCAGATCACTGAAAACTTTTTGGCTTTATGGATCAAAACTGATTTCTTTGTAGACGACCTGATGATTGGACTTTGTCGGCTGGTGGAAGCGGAACCATCTATGGCTGGGGTCATAATCACAGAGGGCAACTTGGAGGAATTGAAGGAGCTAAAGTGAAGGTGCCAACTCCTTGTGAAGCATTGGCAACACTCAGACCAATCCAGCTGATTGGGGGAGAACAAACATTGTTTGCTGTCACAGCCGATGGGAAGGTAACATTCCATGCTTTAAAACTAATTTTATGTTGCTATAACTAGGACTTTGCTTCTTATGCTATTCCCTTTTGTTTAGCTGTATGCTACAGGATATGGGGCTGGTGGAAGGCTTGGCATTGGTGGCACAGAGTCTGTGTCCACACCAACTCTTCTGGAATCCATTCAGCATGTATTTGTGAAAAAGGTGGCAGTAAATTCTGGTGGCAAACATTGCCTTGCTCTGTCTTCTGAAGGAGAGGTGTATTCCTGGGGAGAGGCAGAAGATGGAAAACTGGGCCATGGAAACAGAAGGTACAGTTCAATATATATATACATTCTAGATTTGTTCCAACATCCTTAATACATAAACCATATACTTTGCAGAAAGCAACTCCAACTATGATGTGAGCACAAGAGATCAATAAATGTCATACTTGAAGTTTAGCCCAAAACAATTTTTCACCTTAGATAGTGTTAGAATCTCTCTGTCAAATATTTTGTTTCGGTGCCTACCTTTACAGTTTACAGTGTTAGTAAATGCTCAGTGGTCAATTCCATTCTGAGTTCCAAACATTGTACTCTGTTAGGGTCCTTCCTCCTGTGCAAGTTTCTCACACTGCATTCAAAACGCACTGCAGGTGTCATATTAACTTAATGACACTCCAAATGCAGATTGCAAACACATTGTGTTTGCCTGCACCAGATTGCATGGTACAGAAGCACTATGCAATGCAATTGCAGTGTATTTCAAAAAGTAGTGAATGCACTACTTTTGGTGTGGCACAATTTCAGCCCAATCAGAATGAATGGGCTGAAATCGCACTGCACAGGACTATATGGGAATCTCACACGACTGCGAGTGTGAACCACTTAGAGTATTTGTCAAACATTCCAAGAATGCTGTCTTGCCTGTTTTATCAGTGTTCGATATTTTCCCCATGTGGCTGCTACAGAGGCTTCTTTCCGTTCACTTCTAATGTATGCAAGCAGTGCTCATAACTTGCGGTCACCTGAGCTGCTCATAGGAAACTACAAGTCCCATAAATCTATTTGGCTGCCATTCATACCACAACTATGTATTTCTCCTGGTCTTTAACAAGGTCTGTGGTGCTGAAGGCCAGCATTATCTCTTTGCTTCTATGTGTTGGTGACATGTGCTGAATACGACAGCATGTATTGCTGTCGGGAATGCGCTGAGGGTGGCTTTATTTGCACATACAGTGCATCCATGGAGAGGGCGTATAGCCACCCTAATAAAGGAAGTGTCAGCTCCTCCGAATCAGACTAGGGTTTTAGGAATATGCTGTCCAAAACTGTGCATAGTAGGGGTACAGATGGCTGACAATGATGAAACACTTTGCTGGGTTTAGTGTCACTTTAAGCACAGACTTTTGATAATGACGTCTCTTAAAATGCTTATCAGTTGGACTAAAATACTGAAATTGTCTAAAGTGTAATAATAGGCAAAACTAAGTTTTCTTAATAATACAGTACAAGAACAAGGATCTTAAGTCTTAACCATGGTAGCTACCATCAGGTGATTGGTCAATGGCTAAAAAAAAAGCTGCGGTGACATCCCCCATATAACCCCTCCCACTCCCAGCAAGCCACATTCTTTTGCTAGTGTTCTTGCCTCACTTTGGATGAAGATTTATTTTCTCAGGATTCTTCTATCAAGGTATTGCTCCTCCATAGCCACTATGGCCTTGGGGGGGGGGGGGGGGGGGGGGGCAGAAGCAGCAGGATCTGACCTGTAATGGCTGTATGGTCTTATCCACTGTCCACATCCCAGTTGTGGGAAATTGCCATACTGATGTCATCATTCGTCATCTGGCTCCAGTGGCAGGAGCTCTCCACCTAGAGGTGTTCCAAACCTTTTGCCTCATATACGGGGATTCCAGATGTCAAATCTTGGATGCCAGAAGATCCAGAACAAATTGGCTGGATTTGTCATCAGATCCAAGGACCCTTGGGCCTTCCCAGTAATTGTTATGGAATCTTATGCAGGATAGCATGCATGCTGGTGATCCTTATTGCACTGAACTGGCTCAAGAGGGTGTGGTACTTGGACATATTCATAATTCTTGGCAGATTCTTTGTGGCCCTTTCAGATTGTCTAGACCATTTTGTCCCAAGGGCCACCATTCTGTTTATTGGTTGCTAGCTTCAACAGTATGGCTGCTGAAGCCCAGGTTCTGAGGGACAGGAGACTATTGGATTTGATCATCCCTGTTGGCTAAGACGTAAACTTCATGTAAAGTTTACCACTTCTTCAACTGGAAGGTCTATTTTGTATGGTGCGAGGCTAGGAAGTTCTTAATTGGATGCATCCTGTTCTTATTCCTCTCTGGCCTGGAGTACCATCAAGCAGCATTTTAGAGACTGTTGGCCTGTCTTTCCCTAATTAAGATCACTATGATCAAGCCCGGGGGCAGGGTGAAATGCATCAGAAAGTGTGGTTTCGGGAGGAACTAAGGCCACTCTTCACGTTATACACACCTTAAGCTGTTGGTGTGTAGCATTTTCTATACCGATAGTGTTATGCTTTCTGGCTGAGCACTTACATGCCAGCACCCTTTTAAACAGTGGGTCATTAGAGCAGTGCAATGAGCACTTAGAGTGGCGCTCCAAGTTGTTTATACCGGGCTGCAGTGAACACCTTTGCACAGGGTGTCACACCTATTGCTCCCCTTGTATGTTTTCCACTTACACCATGGGATCTTAACCTGTTTTTTTTTGCCCTTCATGTGGGATTTACGTTGAACCCATTAGGGATATTCCTTCATCCAACATGACTCTCAAGGTGACCTCATAGCTATCACCCCTGTTTCTCCAGTCTTTTGAGTTAGCATGCTTATTCTATAAGTGGCACCGATGGATAAAATTGTTCTGAGACCTAAGATTTCCTTTTTTTCTTAAGGCTATTTCCTCCTACCTTAACCAGGACATTGTTTTTTACTCCCATGTCCAGTTCCAAAGCGAATTTCTCTGCTGTTTGGATGTGGTACACAAAGCCAGAGTCTACCTCTCGTCTACAGCTTCCTTTTGGCAATCAGATTCCCTTTTTGTCCTTCCAGAGGTTCCTGTAGGGGCCTGTGCTATTGCTATGAGGATTAGACAGTCATTATTTCAGCATTTAGATTGATGAATAGATTTTCCACCCTTCCCTGTTGGGGTACACTTTCAGATCTGTTAGTGCTTCATGGACTTTCCAGCATCAGGAATCTGCTTGTCAGATTTGCTAGGCTGCCCCCTGGTATTTTATTCACATGTTTATTTTACCAGGTGGATTTTCAGGCCTTCTAGGATGTCAGTTTCTGACTTCTTCAGGCTTCTTTCTCAGTCTGTTGTGCCCTTACTTGACATGCCTATTAGTGTTTGCTTGCCATGTTGGCCACCCTTCAGTTGGACTGCTATTGGATGTCCCATGGTTAAGACTAAAGATCCTGTGTGCTGTACTGTTACAACTAAGGAAATAGAATTTTTGACTTACCTGTAAGATCTTTTTTTTTTTTTTGGACTACTGTACAGGACAGAGGTCCCCCCCCTCTGTACTTTGTGATCTCCCTATTGTTTTTTTTTTTTAATTGAGTTTCACTGCTAGTGGAAGGGATCGTAAACTGTGTGCATAATTATTAGGCAAGTTGTATTTTTCAGGATTCATTTCATTATTGAACGCAGTGCTCACGGTCAGTCCAAAATGTTAATAAATCTCAAACCTGAATATTTAGGAAAGCAAAAGTGAGGTGAGGTTTTGGCTTTCTTAGGAGAATATCTGTGTTTGCACAATTATTGGGCAACTATTAGTGTGCAGAATTATTATGCAACTAAATGAAAAACATTTTCCCATCTCCCTTATTTTTTAATTATTTTTTAATTATTTTAAATTATTTTAAACTAGCTCATCTTTAATAATACCAGCCCATACCAGTACTCCACCTACACCTTGCTGGCACCTGAGTCAAAGTGGGGCTCTGTGCTCGTCAAGAGTCAGTCTCATCTCATCAGTCCATAAAACCTTTAAAAAAATCTGTCTTCATATATTTCTTTACCCAGTCTTGACCTTTCAACTTATGTGTCTTGTTCAGTGGTGGCCGGGTTTCAGCCCTACTTGCCTTGGCTATGTCTCTGAGCATTTAACACCTTGTACTTCTGGGCACTGTAGGTAGGTGACTGTTCTGCAGTGTGACAGCACTGGAGGATAATGGGTTCCTGATAACTTCACGTTTGATTCTGCTCAAATCTTTATTAATTTGCATGTCTTTATTTTCTCAACATATTTCTTGCGACCTTGTTGACGATTTGCAACAAAACGTTTGATTCTGTTATCACGCCCTGGTAGCTTAGCAGTTTTAAGAGTGCTACATCCCTCTGGAAGACTCTGGGAGTTCCCTTTTTAAACAGTTGCTACCAGAACATGTGTCCCCTATGGAAGATTTACCTCACCTCTTATTCTGGTGACAACTGTAACATTTTGGATGTACCATTACTGTCTTTCTGACTATTGTCTTTATGGCAGATAATGTGAATCTACCTAGTAGGGGCACAGACAGCAATAAAAATGTGACATGAGTTTTAATCCTTGCCTACTCATATTCTAGTTTTGGCGCCACTACACTTACAACACAGTAGAACCATTGCCATCACTGCCACCCAAATAAAGCATTCAGTTTAAGTATAAAATGCCAGCCAGCCAGCTTATAGCTTTGCATCTGTGGTTGTGTAAAACTCTGTTTGTGGTGGTGGGAAGGTTTTGCTACCAAAGTTCCAGGGACATACTAGAAGCCGGTGGGTGATTCAGCAACACAGAAGCACCTACAGAACTGTTTTTTAGTTAGACATGGCATAATATCTGCTTGTATTGTTTGCTGTTTTTGTATTGCTTATGATTTTTCATTAACCTGTGTCCTGTATTTTGCATGTTTTTAGCTAATTGTTATTTTGCCTTTCTAGCCCATGTGATCGTCCTCGTGTAATCGAATCTCTTCGAGGCACAGAAGTAATAGATATTGCTGCTGGAGGAGCTCACAGTGCTTGTATAACTGCAGCTGGAGAACTCTATACTTGGGGAAAAGGACGGTATGGGAGGCTGGGTCATGGTGACAGCGAGGATCAGCTGAAACCCAAATTGGTGGGTCTACAGCAGCATCACTTTTCCTTTTTTTTTACGTGTTGTGTTTTTTTTTTTTTTTTGTCTTTTTTTTGTCTTCTGGTTTCTGATAAAGCTTCAAACAGGCTTAATTGTATTACAACTGCTATCATGTTTTTCTCGAATTTGTGTTTGGTGGGTTCAGGTTATGTGACCAGATTGTGTGGACATACTCTACATTAAAGCCCAGTACTACCTTTTTGTGCTTGAATTCTAAATATAGTTATCCCAGCAGCTCTAAATAATAAAAAAAAATGCAATGCTCACTGTAATACCTCCTCACTGTAATACCTCGTTAAAAACCAGCAGATGGGATGTAGAAGAGACTATGGTGTGTGTAGCCTTTAGTGGCTGTGCACACTTAATGACCATTTTATGTTCCTTCCCTGACACATTCAGATACATTTTGGTAAATGCTCAAATATGCAGTATTTCATATTTACCTGACTAAAAGAAATGGGAAGTCATTAATTTTTTTTTTGTACTGAATAAAAAAGTAGTCAATACATAAAATTTACTATTAAATATTTAATATTTTTTTCTATATCCTCTGACAATCTAATGGGCAGAATAGGCTTTCCTTGCATAAATTGATAAAGTTCCATAAGGCTAATTGGCTGCAGTGGATTTCCTAGGTTTGAAGTGTAAATTGGTAGTTTAACTGAGGCAGCGTCCTATCACTCTTACACCTTCACGCTGTCACTCACCCAATCACTAGCTTTCAAGGTAGAAGTATAAATAGCTTTTTGACTCGCTAGGTTGATAAGGGGTGACGTTAGCAAATCATCCGGCAAGTTTGGGCCTGGCACGTTAAATCCTGGTAGATTTTTTCCTTATATTCTCTTAAGAGATTTATTTTAGTAAAGGAATTGTTATCTGATGGAAATTATAGCGGCTACACTACATGTGTATAGACTGTGTGTTATTGGAATACTAACAGTTCCAATAAGCATGTTTAGATTCATCAACAATTACTGTATAAGTGTATGTGTCTGATTGAATACATACTGAATTATCTGTTTAGATGTACCATTAGTTATAAACTGAGTGTCTAAGGAGTTGTATAGATTGTAATTTGGATGGCTAGCTTAAGTAGGTGACATTAGGCCTCCTAGATCTACAAAGGTAAATCAAATAATTAGTTTCCAGTTAGTTTAATTGTATTGCTTATAGCAGGGGTCAGCAACCAGTAGATCATGATCTACCAGTAGATCTCAGCCAGGTGACTGGTACACAGTCTGGGCTTGTTCACCTGCCATCCCAGAGCAATAAACAGAGTGAAATTCAGAGGTAAAGTTGGAGCTGCAGTAGGGAACAGGAGTCACATAAGCCAATGTCTCCTCTGTAGTGCCGGCTGCTACACCTTACCATGGTTGGTGGGTGTAGCACCTGTCAAGCATGACCCATTCAAGTGAATGAGGCCGCTCTGCAAGTGCCCTTCAACCTTGTGCAGTACAGCAAACAAGGGGTTAAACAGGCAGCTGCGTGCTGCTTTCTCACCACCTGCTTTAACCCCTTGGACCCTACAGAAGCATGCAGTTACGGGGCGCTTGCAGAGTGGCCCCATTTACTTGAAAGAGTCTAGATTGACAGGCGGTAGCACCCACCAAAAGCAGCAGGGGGTTTAATTCCTGCTGCGACATGTGTACACCTTTGGTTGTTGCCTCAGCAGCTAAGAGGGGTAGGGATCCAGGGTGGTAAAACGCTAAGAGTACTGCTGCCGTGTGCAACAAAGAGCTCATTAATGGCTGCTCCTCTGCAAAGTGATCTGAGTGTGTTTGACAGGTGGTGAGGCGATATGTTGCCTCCTCACCACCTGACTTAAACCCATGATTGCCATGCAATGTACACGATTGTGACACAGTATTACAACAACTAGAGGTTTAACTCAGGTGTGAGGAGGTGACACTGACCGGTGATCTTTAACTGCTTCAGGTAGATCTCCACCTCTTTAGGGTTGCCTACCACTACCTTATAGCAACCAGTTTGTTCCAAATCCGTTCTATCTTTTAAATATTAATGTCTTCGTAGAATTTTCTGAGACACATATAGTACTTCTTGATTTTGCGAATAATTAAAGAGCCGGCGAAGTAAAAAATAAAGTGTGATTTTATTTTATCACACAGTGGCTTAAAATAACAATGTAAAGCGTATCATGAACAGTTCCGTGTAGGTAAAACAGAAATATCAAAACAGAAGTTATAAAGATGTGTCATCCTTATTTTCATGGCCATTGTCTCATGTGGTGCTTCTTCTGAGTCATTAGCAAGAAGACGGAAGTGACGAATTCTTGTCTTAGAGAATGCACCTGTTCCAGTCGGTCACTTCTGTGAATATCCATAGCATCTTAATACCATGCTTGCGTATGCGTGTGCGTCTGAAGCGCTCCCCTCACATCTCTTAGGATGCCTTTTTATGACGCTTGTATGCGTCATAATTCGGGATCCTAGAACCTTGTATGGCAAACAATACTGCTTAGCAGAGCAATTTCATTGAAGGGAGGGGACACTACATATATAGTCTTTTGATTGACAGGCCCATATGTAATGACTCCAGTAAGCTGGCAATGTTGCATCAGCCTGCTCATGTTTAAATGATAATATAAACTAAGAATGTATCTTTACAACATAATATCTCAATAATGTTGTATAACCAAAAATCTACATATGTAACACATATTACCAACTTAGAAAACATAAACTAAATACACACAGATACTATTAGAATATATTTTTTCATACTAATTCTATTTTGGTTCACTCCTGACTCCCATGACATTCTACACTAGAGTCCTTTAACCAGCTATGCCCTTCTATAGAATACTCCGCTTTCAGCTGGTTAGTTAGCTGCAAACATATTTTTCTGTCTCAGCTATAACTGAAGAAATTAACACTATCACTGGTTCAAGGCCAATCACACATATTAATATTAATTATGATTAATCATAAAAAACAAACATTTTGCAAGCTTGCCATCAATATAAGTGCAGAATTTTGAATTTGAAATTAATGTTTAGCAGTTTTTAAAACCTAACTCCACCTTTGATGTTCCTTTAAACCCTTCCTTTGTTCCAAGATGGCTAGCAGCTGTGCTTGCTGGGCATTCTGTAATAACTGTCTGTATGCATGTAGCCTCAGCTACATACAGTTTACAGCGCTGTGTTTCTGGCAGTGGGACGGGGACTTTCCATCCCACTCCTGGAACAAAATAGTTGGGCTGAGTGGAGCACAGCTTTTCACAGGAGCATTATATTCTATGAATGAAAACAAAGCTTCCTCTGATTGGCTGAGATGGAGAGGTGGGTGGATGATGTCATGATCTCTGCTTCAGCCAATCAGAGGAAGCTTGGCCCAAACAAACTATTTAAGGGACATTAAGTGTGGAGTTGGTTTTAAATAAGACATTCATTATAATTATATTTTGGTCTATTTTGTTACCAGGTGGAAGCCTTACAGGGATACCGTGTAATTGACATTGCTTGTGGCAGTGGAGATGCTCAAACCCTCTGTCTCACTGATGATGATACAGTCTGGTCTTGGGGTGATGGAGACTATGGAAAGCTTGGAAGGGGTGGCAGTGATGGCTGTAAAGTTCCCATGAAGGTAGGTGTTTTTTCCACTCGTTAAAGTATATTATTATTATTATACAGGATTTATATAGCGCCAATGGTTTGTTCAGTGCTTTACATTGTAGTGGGAGGCAATACAGTAACAATACAGTTCGATACAAGAGGGATTTGAGGGCCCTGCTCCTTGGAGCTTACAATCTAGGAGGGCGGGGTGAATGGTACAGTAGGTAGTCACTGTGGGGGATGGAGTGGTTGGAAGAGTAGAGGATTCCAGAATTAGCAGAGGGCGGGATAGGCTTCCCTGAAGAGAAAAGCTTTCAGTGATCATTGAAAGGCAAGTAGAGTAGGTGATATTCTGATAGATTAAGGTAGGGCGTTCCAGAGGATGGGTGACGCCCTGGAGAAGTCTTGGAGACGAGCGTGGGAGGAGGAGATGAGGGAGCTAGAGAGTAGGAGGTCTTGTGAGGAGCGGAGTGTACGGTTTGGGTGATATTTAGAGATAAGATCGGTTATGTGAGTTGGGGCAGTGTTGTGGACGGCTTTATATGTCATTGTTAGAGTTTTGAATTTTATCCGTTGGGCAACTGGGAGCCAGTGGAGGGATTGGCAGAGAGGGGTGGCAGATACAGAACGGTTAGTAAGGTGGATGAGTCTGGCAGCAGCGTTCATGATAGACTGGAGGGGGGATAGTCTACGATGAGGTAGGCCAATGAGGAGAGAGTTACAATAGTCGAGGCGTGATATGACAAGGGAGTGAATAAGTTGCTTAGTGGTTTCCGGGGTTAGGATAGGTATATGTATTCTGGGGTAGGTATATGTAAAACAACCCATTTAGTTTAAAAGAGAAAAGAAAGGCAAAACATGTATGTATACATATAAAAAAGAAAAATTAAAGGTATTTATAATGTTTTTTTAGAAGTGATCACAATACCCTCTGTTATCAGCTGAAGCAAGATGGGGGGGGGGGGAGGGAAGAAACAGCAGAACAGTGATCTTCCCAGTGAATGGCTGTGCAAGGGGGGAGGGACATGTGAGCACAAGCCTGATCATTGGATTAGTTCCCAGCACAGCTAGAGAACAGATGCTGTGCTTTCATGCTTACTGTGGTCAGTTTTTAATAGGAAAGCAGAGGGACTTGCAGGAACACCATGGATTTTATACAAAGGCAGCAATACAAAGAGAACAGGAGACTTTTTCATACACGTACATGATACAGCAAGCACATATCAGGAATATGAAATGTTGGGTTTACATATTCTGTAACACATATATATGTTATTACAGTCTATAATGCTGGCATGCATATAACCCCTATTCTGAAAGTAGTAAACTCTCCCATTAACCATTTTTACTGGATTTGTCAGCATATATCAGATTGTGGCCTGTAGACCTAGTCTGTCGAGGACTGCACTTTTTTTTTTTTTTTGCACCTGCAGCCTATTTATATAAGCAATAGGATGTCTGTGAGAGATGTTTCTTCTATTTTTGGTGGTGTACACTGTGTAGTAATGAAATAGCAGTGTAAGATAATTTTTCTTCCACTAAATCATCTCCAGGGGAGGGGTCTTAGGGCATTGCTGGGAGCCTGTGACAGCAGGTCAGAAGTACTCATATCTAACAGTTTAACACCTTGAGCTCCCTGGTGCATGAGGCTCTGGCGTTTAGCGGCGGCTGGAGGGCACAGACACACACTCCAGCCCCTGAGAATCTGACAGCTGCTGCAGCAGGATAGGGCTGGGCAGCTCATTCAGCTGTACTTCCATTTACAGCAGTGCTTGCTTTCTGGGCATTTGTCCCTGAGCACATACTGTTCTAAAAGTTCACACCGTTAGGTATTGAGGCTGGCTATTATACCTATCAGATGCTCATAGATTTTTACAGGCTGCCTACAGCAGAGCTGGATGGTGTGCCTGTGTCCTGACGCAGCTGAATGCCAGAACCTCATCACCCATGGCTAAACACGCAATGTGCATGAGGCCTAAAATTGTGAAGGAAAAAATACATGCCATACAGTATATACCACAAAACAGGTACAGAAATCCAACCTTTATTTTAAACACCATTTGAACGCTGTATATGTTTTGGCAAGTAACCATATACATGTGTTTACATTAAATAAAAGCAAAAAAAAAGGTTTCCTGGCACTACCCTGTGCTTTAATGTACAAATTAAAGTTTTTAATAAACCAAAAATAGATAAAAAAACAAAAATCACTTCAAGAAAATGTGTCAAACCTCTCGCAGCCTTGGCTGCAATATCTTTTCTCTCACTGGCCTTGCTTTATGCAGGCTTACCTGGGCTAATGCTGTTATGTATCTGATATTGGTTCCTATATAACACCCAGCCATGATACAGTAGAATGTGTTTCTGTACCTATGTCTGTACGGTGTTGAAACTGTTTCAAATAAAAAAAGAATTCTAAAAAAAGAAAATGTGTCAAGGCCTGCATTAACCCTTTCTGGCACAACCCCAGGTCCCTATAACAGGGTCCTTATGCCTGGGGGGTGGGAAGGACCGGACAATCATGTGACCACAGTGAATGGCTGTCAGGGCAGGACCAGTTCATGATCATTAACAGCTTTGTTACTTTGCTGGGAATGTGCAGAAAGCTTTGCCCATGGACGCATGTGTATGCAGCGTGTGTGAACATTAAAACCCACCCTGTTTGTCACTGCACATATGTGTTACATGGGCAGCAAGAGGTAAATTGGATGGTCTATTTATTATTTTGACACTATAGAAACGCAGTCCAGATGCGTTCCGGATGCGTTTCTGCACGGCGCTTTCCGGTGCATTTTTGATGCTTCCCAGTTCACTTTTTCCCCTCGATTTCTCTTCAGTTTAAATAGGAATGTGCGCCCCAGTGCGTTTTTGGTGTGTTTCTATTGCATTCCAGTGCGTTTTTTATGCTTTTTACCGTGTTCCAATGCAGATCTGTGCAGAAAAAATGCAGCCTGTTCTACTTTTTTTTTGTGCAACTGGAACGCACTGGAATTGACATTGACAACCATATAATCTACTTTCTGTGCATTTTGGATGCAGAAAAACACTGAAACGCATGTAGCGTGAAATGGCCCTAAAGGAGAATTTCACTTTTGTAAAAATAAATAAATGCACGTTATTTTTCAAGTAAGGAAATGTGTATTTATTTCTTCTGCTGAGAGCACCCAGTGAGCGTGCACTCCTCATAGTAGGGTGGCTATACATGTGTATAGCCAGTATAAAGGCCCAACTGTCCTGTGGATGCATATGTATGTTGAGCCAGCAGGATAGTAATTCAATTCTGTTCATTGAAGGACATGGCCGGATCTTTAGATTTTGACCATAGTGTTTTTATGCCACCTGCAGGAGTAAGAGGTTAGGTACAAAAGAAAAAATAAACACACCCTAGGGGCAGCCTTCTGGTAGCCATATCCCCATCTGCAACACATTTTAATTAATGCTTAGGTGTTAGGACCTAGAAATTGTTCTGCTTCTTATTTGCAGATTTTTTTTTTTTTTTTTTTTTTAAACTCCATCAAGTGAAGTGCTGGGTGACTGACAGGATATATAGATTCTGCTAGTCTCCTAGCACTGTCTACCAGCAAATGCAGTTTCCTGCTACAGCAGGATCAGCTGTGGGAACCATGTCTGGGCCTGACCCCCTCGGTGGACGCGTATGATGGTGGTTGGTCCTGTCCATTCTGCCATGCAATAATTGGGTGATGACATCCAGATGAGAATCAGAGGTATTTGTTCGCCCCAACAGGCGAACCTTGCCTTGTGGATGAGTTAATGCTGAGGAGCTACATGTGTCATAATTCCTTTGGTTGACTGAGTGGACCTGCTTTGGGCATGTGCATTGGTTCACTTACAGGTATTCCCTTGCCCCAGATAGTCTCTTTCTGGCTGGTGCTGGTGGCTTTCCTGCTGTGAATTATCAAACCTTTCGTTGATTGCCAGAAGCCCCTGACCCAGGTCCATGTTACGCCAGGAAGTTAATGTTGTACTGTATGTATGGATATGGACAAGGGGATTAGTCATCCTATGTGCTGACTGGTGGAAGTGGACAGTTGACAGACGATCTCCGTGATTAGTGTTTGGATTTTGTGAGTGGTTTCTATACGCAGATATCTTCCACCAGATTTTTCAGTGCTGGAGCAAAACAGACATAGATCTCCTTTCGTCCACACTCAATTGGAAAGTTCCCTGGTTTGTGGCCAGGGTCAGGGATCTCTGGGCTGATGATCTGTATCTGTGATATAGAGGGAGGATAGTCCTGTCATTCTGGTGGCTCTGGATTGGCCTGGGTTTGTTTCCCGAATCTGGTCTAGTTGGTCACCAACGTGCCATGGCTTTTTTTTCTATGCCCTGACCTTCTCTCCCAAGGTCCAATCTTCCACCCTACTTTACTGTCTCTAGCTTTAATAGCATGGCTGTTGAAAACCAACTGCTGGAGGAAAGTGCTTGTCTCATACTGTTATCCCCATGATGCTTCGGGCTTGGAAAATCAACTCCCATTTAATTTATTATTGTTGCTTGAAGGTTTATTTTGCCTATTGCGAATTGCTGGGTTTTCTTCCTTGCAAGCTTTCCCTTGCTCACATTTTGGCTTTCCTTCAGCAGGGTATGAACTAACTGATGGGCTTGAGTACCATGAAGGGTCAGGTGTCCACCTTGGCTATACTCTTCCAACACCATTTGGGCTTGCTTTTCTTTGTTTGTATCGGCATTCAGGAAGTTAACCATGTACAAAACCTCCACTGACTCAGTGAGATCTGAATTTAGCTCTGACAGCACTTCAGAAGCTTCCCCTTAAGAACATATGAAAAATTTCTCTACTGACTCTTTTGCAAAAGGTGGCCTTTCTAGTGACAATCACTTTGGCATGTACAGTATCCAAACTGGCTGCTCATTCTCCTAAGCAACCATTTATAATTTTACACTGGGACAAGGTGATCCCGTCTGCTCTGTGTCCCAGTTTTTCCCACCCCAAGACAGTGGCACCCCAATGGATGTGGTTCAGGCTAACATCTCTTTGAATTCTACTGCCTCTATTTGGAATACAGGGGCATGCAGCCTCGTCATCATGGATTTTGCAGACCATAGCCTAGGCTTCTGCCATTTCAGGTCAAGAACCTCTGTTTCCTGTCTCTCAGGTTTGCAGGGCAGCTATCTGGTCATCTATTCACGCTTTTACCAAGTTCTTTTAAGTTGACATTGCCACCTCTGTGAATGGCAGTTTTGGGTGTATAGTTTTTCAGGCAACATTTAAGTCTTCTGGGGTGTGGTATCACATTTTGTCTGGGTTTTTTAGGAGCCCACCCTTTTGCTCCTGGCATGGTTTGGGACCTCCCTATGGTCACGATCTAAAGATCTTGCTTTGTCTTTTTCTCAGAAGAAAAAAATGGGTTTTTACTACTCACTGTAAAATAATTTTCTCTGTATTCATTAAAGGATACAGTACTTACCCTCTTGAGAAGTTTTATATCTTGGTTGTATTCCTATTTTACTGCTGGCTACTAGCTGTGCTGTGTCACAGAGGGGGTTTGGCTACCAGCCGGGGCTTCCCCTAGGGTTTGTTTCCTTTTTTGTTGTACTCTGGCGTCCTACACCTGCTGGTGGTGTAATAACCCTATGGTCACAATCTAAAGATTTAGCTGTGTCCTTCAATGAACGCAGAGAAGAGATTTTGTACTATGCGTACAAAAATCCAGTTTTTTTCTAGTACACAGTTTGCATTTTTATTGAAGTGCTGTAAATTCTCCTGTTAAAATTTATAAATGTTTCATGCTTCTCCATTTTAAACTTCAGGCAGGTATCATTCAGGATATTGTTTATGGGACCTGTCCTATATACCTAAAACACCTCTCCCATATAGTGCAGCCAGCGCTAGGTCCTAGACTTCTCTATGGAGTACACTGTAGTTGAGCAGTAATACTTGGACTAGGGCCTGCCCCTGGCCTCTGATAAGAAGAAGAATGGTGCAGCAGCCAACTGGTGAGGTCATCACTCTGTCCTTCTGTCAGGAAGTTACACTGTTAGATTGACAGCACAGTGCATTACATTAATGTCTGGCAGGTTGATAGTGCTGCCATCTTTCTACAAGATTACAGGAGGCTGTTGTGAAGGAAAAGTCAGATTGGGTTTCTGATCTGAGTTCAAAAATATTTCTCATCTAGTGAAGGACACAGTCTTTTACTCTTGGGTTATGCTGCCCATTACAGGAGGATTGAACATTAGCAGAGACAAAAAAAAAACCTAAGCCAAACCAGGATAACCCCATCCAGCATGCCTCCAGGTTTTTTTTTGCTGATGTCATAGGATGAATGTCTTTCTTCAGTTACTTTTTAAAGATTTTTTTTTTCTTCTTCAATCAAGGCTCTTTGCTACATTGCTGCAAGAGCTTGTCTCTTACATTAGAACTATCTGGCACGGCAATCCTCTGCTTTTCTTTTGTAGTGTTGTGTCTAAACACAGTGGCCTTCAGGCACTGGGTTCCTGGCAGGCCACTTTCTGGACTCTGTTCTGGTAAAAGTTAGCCACAGAGCACTTTCCAGATCTACAGCTCCACTGGCAATTACCTCAGAGCTTGCCCTGTGCCTGAAGACTCACTTAATGAGTAAGCTGGTTGGGTCAAGTTATCTCACTTACATAGCCAACGTCATCCACTAGGTGGAGTCTTGTGCTCATGCTCTACGCTTTTGTTGCCATACAGCATCAAGGAAGTATCTCCTCACTGCAGCTCCTGCTTGCAAAGTCCAACATGGAGCTTAAATCTTTGATCTGTTCTTGCTGCGTGACTACAATGTCATGGTTACCTCTGGCCACCTGAGATTCACCTGCTACTAGCTGTCTGGGCTTCTTGTCTACCCGACACTTTGTCTCTAACCTTGATCCTTAAGTTGCATTACTGTCCTGCAGTCACAACAGGTCTGATTTAGACAGTCCTGCTGTACTGGGTGCCCCCAGCTCACCATATACTAACTTGCAGTGCACCTACCTTTGTCACCAACATTCACAGCCTGGAATACTTCTGTGCTCTGTCTATTCAGCCATCAGTGTACTCTTAAGCTCCATCCGGTATAGTCAGTTCTTCTGCCTTTTTGGCTAAGTTTTTATCACAGTCATGCACAGTTTTATGGCCCAAACAATTTAGGTATTTGCTGACTCTGGCTGCGCCATCTCTGACCTAATTTTCCCATGGTCTTGCCATCTTTTGTGCCATTAGCCACTGATATTTGATTCCGAGTTGCTCCCGTTTGACTGATCTTGCCCCCCGAGCCTTTCGCAGTCCACTGCTATTTTTCCCAAGTTTAAATATTATTGTGGCTGCTATCGATGTGGAGCATACCACTCTGAAACTGTGAAGGGATCAGCTTGTTGCATCTACCAGTGCTGTTTCCGATTTGTTTGTCCTTTTAGAGCCCTTAATGTTGCAGAGACTTTCCCACTTCACCCATTGTTTCAATTTTTTCTCTATGAAGATTGGAAAATTTATGACAAGCTATTTGCATTCCCTAGGAACCCATGTACAAGAAGCTTCTAATCCACTTAGCCGTCAAGGGACAACATCTCTCTGACTCTACTCTTAATATTATCAAGGATGCAACTGTTGGCAAGTGCACCCATCTTCCACTGTGGAGGAAGCCTAAGGAAAGAGTCTGCAAAGTCTTCTACCTCTTTATTTGTTAAGAAATGTCCTTTTTTGTTTTTCCCACTTCTGCACCCTCCACATCAAGACTACTTTTACCAGAGAAACTTTAGACTCAATCTCTGTGTCAAGCAGTTGTCCAACTCTCCGCTTTAGTCGTGTGCCTGAAAGCTGCCTCCTTCACGGTAGTATCATTTGTCTAGTTTTACTCTAGAACTCTAAAATGCAACATTCTCTCATTTTGGGGCTAGTCAATCAAGTTCCTAGACAGATTGATTTGTTTGGCACTGTGAACCAACAACTGGAATCCTTGACGATTTGTCTGTGCAGCATCTGCTAGAAGGTCATCCAATACAGATTCAGCTGGACAATCCCATGGTGGTGACATACATCTACCATCAGGCAGGAGCCAAAAGTCTCACATCGTCAAGATAGGATCTTGTCCTGGGCAGAACATCACATTCCTGCCTTGTCTGGGATGCACATGACGGACAAAGACAATGAGCAGGCAGACTTCTTACCTAACAGCACCTGGACAAGAGGGGATTGGTCCCTATACCCAGAGGATTTTCGAGACCTGTGTTACAGGTGCTGGGATTCTGATGTAGTTCTCCCCGCTTCCAGTTTCAACAGCAAACTGAGCAAGTTTGTCTTCAGGTACAGGGATCCTTTAGCAGAAGCATAGGATGCTCTGGTGTCTCTGTGGTATCAGTACACACCTTTTGTCTCTGCTAAAGCATTTTCCTCATTTGCTTCACGGGATTGAGATGGAGGGTTTTCAAGTTATTCTAATTGCTCTAGACAGGCCTAGATGGATGTTAAATGCTGACCTGGAAAGACTCAACAGATGCACTGTAGGCTATGCCAGGTCATTAGGATTTTTTGTCTCAACGACTGATTTACTATCTTGGTTTATGATCACAAAATTTACCATCATGTCTGGTGAAGCCCAGATTTTGAAAGACAGAGGCATATTTCTGAATGTCATTTGTACATTGCTAAAAACTAAGAAGGCTTACAGGTGTGAGGCTCGGAACTTCCATTCTTCCATTGCCTCTTTTGGACAAGTCCTTTCTTTCTTGTATCTAGGTCTGGACCAATATTTGGCAATCAGCGCTATTAAAGGTCTGGTTCTTGCCCTAGTTTCAAATGCCATTGGTCTCTCACCTCTAGATTTAAGAGGTTCACCAGAGGAAAATGTCATTCATTGTTTGGATGTAACTTGAGCTGTGACAATCTATGATGGGTGAGTTGTGGTTGTTGGGGAGGGGGTGTCCTGGGTGGGCCCACAGTTTGCTGGTGTGTTTGTGTGTGTTTTTTTTTTTTTTTTTTTTTTTACAGCATCCAGTTCTGTTGGCAGCAGTATAACCTAAAGGTTAAAGTGATTCTGAAGGCTTTTTTTTAAAGCGAAAATAACAAACATGTCTATACTTACCTGCTGTGTGCAGTGGTTTTGCACAGAGAAGCCTGGATACATTTCTTCTTGGGTCCTCTGCAGGCTCTCTTGGCCCCTCCCTCCTGTCAGGTGCCCCACAGCAAGCAGCTTGCTATGGGGGCACCCGCTGCTCCTTATGTCCAATCACACATGGAGCCGTGACTAAGTCCCGCCCCCATTCTCTTCTCATTGGCCTACTGGCTGTGATTGACAGTAGTGGGAGCCAATGAGAAGAGGGAATCCCGGGATAGCCGAAACTCCAATGCACATCTTTGGATCGAGAGGCAGCTTAGGTTTCTGCACACAGAAGGTTTTTTTACCTTCATGCATAAAATGCCATAAAGGTAAAAAAAAAACCTTGAGCTTTTACAACCACTTTAAATATTTTCTGTATCTTTTAATGGACTGCAATAAAAAAAAAAAATTCTGATGAATGCATAACAGGATAAAATGGTAGTTTTAAAATTAAATGAGAACCAGTTTGTTAGTTGTTTTTTCTAACTTTTTGTTAGCTCTGTTTAATTGAATTCGATATGGTATTTAGTTTTTTATATATTTTCAGATTGATTCACTGACTGGGCTTGGTGTTACCAAAGTTGAATGTGGCTCTCAGTTCTCTGTGGCGCTAACAAAGTCTGGTGCTGTCTACACCTGGTATGTTACTTATAGTCTTGCTTGTTACTTCCTAATAATATAGTTTTTGTACACTTAACGCATTAAAAAAAAAAATGTATCCATAGGAGCCATTCAGATTCTAGCTTTTTTCAAGAGCAGGAAACTGCTGTTAGTAGCGGCTGTCATGACCAAAGATGCAGCCTGCTTAGCAGAATGAATATACATAGAGCCCATTGTGATAATTAAATATTATGTTGAAAACATGTTTTCTTTTTTGTTCTTTTATTTGTAATTCATGTACTTTGCTTTACTGGAAAAAATTGCTCCATCTGTGTAGTTGGTGCTATGTGTGTATTTGCTATTGTGACAACAAATCTGATTATATTTAGTAACCCAACCACCTTGAGGATGCATCTTATTGGAGTCCTTTGCTTAACAATATTTATTTACAGGGGAAAAGGAGACTACCATCGTTTAGGTCATGGCTCAGATGATCATGTAAGGAGGCCACGCCAAGTTCAGGGTCTTCAGGGGAAGAAAGTTATTGCAATTGCCACAGGGTCATTACACTGTGTGTGCTGCACAGAAGATGGTAAGCTACATTGTTTTCTTTGCATGGCAATCTCTAAAAGTGTTTGTTTTCCATTGTGTACGAGACTGAGGATGTTTTTAGAAGTAGTAGCTTTCTCACTATAAAATGAGGCCGTCTCTGATCCCGATCTTTATAGCCAATTTCACAGTGGATATGGCTAGTCTTATTACTTGTTCCCTGCGGATATTGTAGTTTTTATTGGTGCTTTAGTCTTCCAGTATTTTGTCAAGGTTTCTCCCTTTGTATAAAATCTCAGTACTGCTTCTGGTAATCAGGCAGGGCTATCCATCTAGTAGTTTTAATGTGCTTGCCACTGTAGCTCACATGGAAACTGGATCTTTACCTTGATCCAAAAGATATTGGAGGATTATATGATAAAGTGTAATATGAGCCACCCAGGTATTTTATCACACCTTTTGTGATTTGAGATCATGTTTGTCTGTGTTGCCATATGCTAGATTAAAATTGTGTCCTCAAAACACTAGATGTAAAATAAATAATTGCTTACATAATTACTATACTGAACTTCAGATGTCCTCCCACAGTCCCATTTTTTTGGATACTTTTTTAGGCGGTAGACTTTTAATAATCCTTATCTTAAAGTACAGCCACTAATGAAGAAGCCAAGACTTGTTTAGATATTAAGAACATTAGCCAGATTATTTGCCAGCAAAGAGAAGCAGTGCAGTGATTTTACCCTACATGTATTCAGTTGCTCATCAGCATTTTTCAGCTGTTCTGAATCTGTTTCATACTGTTATTGGTAAATATAATGCGTGTTGTACATGTGGAATGTATCTTTTGGTCAGATTCACTATATATTCAGATACCCTCAGGGCTCCCCATTTTCATGCAAAGCAATATAGCCAAAAAACATTCAACCTAGCCTGGCGGTCACACAATTCCTCTGGTAATATATTGCCAGGAGTGTGTGGTGTTACCTTCAAATATAATAGTCGCCCTGCTAGAAAGCAATAGACTTGTGTCCTTGGGTTTATCTTTATGTATTGTGTGGTTTTTTTTTTTTTCTTTTGTTTGTTTTTTTTTTTTTTTTTTTTTATGCCCCCATTTTTGCAAAATGCAATATAGATAGGATGGCCCGTACTGGTTAATCGGCTACAATACAGCCTTTTGTATGGAATGAAAAAGGCAAGCTACTGCATAACAAGTTTAGGATGTGGGAGAATGAGTGTGCATGCAGGCTATTCCTTTTTGTCTACAACGGGTATCCTCCCTTTTCTTTTATTTAGGCGTAGTATTATTATTATTATTATTATACAGGATTTATATAGCGCCAACAGTTTGCTCAGCGCTTTGCAATATAACGGGAGACAATACGGCAACAATATTATTATTATACAGTTTTTTATATAGTGCTAAAAGGTTTGCTCAGCGTTGTACATTATAGTGGGGGACAGAACATGAGACAATACAGTAACAATACAATACACGAGGGGTTTGAGGGCCCTGCTCTTTCGCGCTTACAATCTAGGAGGGAGGGGGTAGAGGTACAGGAGGAAGTGGCTGTGGGGGATGGAGTGGTAGGAGGAGTGGAGGATTGAACAATACAGTTCAATACAAGAGGGATAGGAGGGCCCTGCTCCTTGGAGCTTACAATCTAGGAGTACACCAACTAACTTCCCATAGCTCTTGTGCGAACCATCTTACAGGTCAATATGTTGAGTTCCTATAAAGAAAAAAAAAACAAAAAAACACGCAAGTGTACTCAAAGCTACCTTTAAACTGGCCATACACTTTCTGAATTTCCATCAGTGTATGGGCAGTCCTTGCTCAACTGAAGTCGATCATTTAATTGACTTCTGTTGAAGGGACATTCTGGAATACTGTCGTTGATCAGCATCTGATCTGTGTATTATGACAGCAGTGGGAGCCTCTGTCAGAATACAATGTCCTGGTGAGGAGGAGAATTCTCCATCCGTCTCAACCCCATTGGCTGAGTTTAAAAAAAAAAAAAAAAAAAACGAACTGTGTATGACCAGTATTATCCTTTTATCCTGTAAATTGAGATAAATATGTACAGATTTTCCAGATATAAATTTGCGCCATTTTATTCAAAATCATTTATGAAATGCATTGGGCTAACAAAGGGGACTCAAAGTTCTGACGGTTTGCCTATTTTATAAATAAATTTGAGTTAGGCATTGCAGGATATCACACCTGTGATTTGGTCTTCTGTTGAGAACAAAATATGTTTGACTGACTGCTGGCTAACGAGGTATAATTCAGCTTTTTTTTTTTTTTTCTGTAACTTGGAATTTTGATGTAATTTTGGCTGTGTGACATTCTGTGCTGCTGCTATATAGTGTCTGTTCCATTCTCATCAGTTTAAGGATTGGTGACAAGGTATTTAAGACCGTACGGTATTGCTTTAGTAATTTACGCAGTCCATTTACAGCTTCAATATTGTCTTAAAGGTCCATCTGTTTTAAGCAGATGTTCCTAAAATGTTTTTCAGTAAAATGCGTGCTATGGGTGTATCTCTCCATTATTGCAATCACAATGCTTTTATCACAATACATTACTTGGTGTGCATAATGTTATGCTGTATGTTCCTTGGCAGCCTAGATATACAGATATATGGTGAAATCTCAGCTGTGGAACCACCTGGTATGTCTCCTAACCTCCAGTGGTGACAATTCCCCTCATTAGTTTGTGTTTTGACCCGTTCTCACTTTTTTTTAACCTAGTTAATACGTTGCATTCTTTTCATTCTGGAAAATCCATCAGAAAACAAGGAACTTGTATTTAGTTGTAATGCAATCAATATTGAGGTAATAGAAATTCTGGTGGGGATCTCTCACTACTGGAAACCAGGAGACATTAAACAGGCAGCATATGATTCACATTTCCTGCAACTGTGGAAAACCAACTCTGGTGTTTTTATTGAGAATGCGGCATCACATTAACTTGCTAATTGGCTAAACATTTGTCAATGTCTTTGAATTTTCTAAGTAATAAAATAATGTCCCATTGTGCAACACAGAGTTTTGAGTAAGTCAACACTAAGAGCATGTGTAGGATTTTTTGCAGCTTTTTTTTTTTCCTAAAAAGGGTTACTTTCTAAGCTAATAATGAGGCAAGCAGATGTTTTTCAACTGTAATGCATCTAAAAACCCTTGTCAGACAGCACAACCTGGTCCTCACTTCATACGGCAGCAGCAAAGTTTGGTTAAGAACTCTGCCCATCTGCTGACAGGGATTGCAGGTGCAGTACCACTGCACCTTTGCGCCATCACTCTGCTCTCTCCTGCTGTGAGCATGCTTACTGTTAGTATGTGAGCCCTGAAGTGGCCTCTTACCAACATTATGCAATGTTAAAAAATCTTTTTTTGGAGTGTGTGAGCTTGGGGATTTGATGTAACATTTAAGCCTTCCACTCCAGCCAGCAAATGCTGAACATTGTGGTTTAATAATCAGTAAAAAAAAAAAAATATATATTATTACGTAATTGTTAGTTGTTCTTCTCATAACTGTGCTATTTTGCATACTTATTAAGCTCAAGGTGTTTTTAGTTCCCTTTTTGGTCCAAGAAGTACTAATACACAAGCTTTTCACAGCACAGTGGCTAAATGGCTTCCATCTGGCAGTACTAGGGTCGCTGGTTTGAATCCCAACCACGGCACCACATGCCTGGAGTTTGCATGTTCTCTCTGTGCTTGCGTGGGTTTCCTCCAGGTACTTCGGTTTCCTCCCACACTCCCAAAGACATGCTGGTAGGTTAATTGGCTCCTGTCTAAATTGGCCCTAGTATGTGTATGTATGAATGTGAGTTAGGCACCTTTAGATTGTACCCCCCTTGAGGGTTAGGGACTGATGTGAATGTACAATATATATGTAAAGCGCTGTGTAAATTGAGGGCGCTATATATAAGTACCTGAAATAATTAAATTTTTGCAAAATGTTAATAGCAAACTCTCTTTAAAAAAAAAACCCCAAAAAAAACAGTAAGAAAGGTAGTCCGATATGAAGATGGAATGAGAGGAAGCAAAATAAAATTTCAGAAAATATGCCAAGAAAATGCTCTTTGGAAAATGCAACCCCTGCTAAACTGGCCAAATTTCGATTCGTGTATGGCCAGCTTTACCAGAATTCCAAATCAGAATCCTAGGGTACCCCCCCCCCCCCCCGTTTAACATGTTGACTTCACTAAAAGTGTGGATATAACCGAGAGATTGGTAATCAATTTGTCAGATCGCAAACTTTCAGAACCAAAAATATTGGTGCTTTCCAAAGGTCTTACATTCTGCCTTGAGCAAATCTCGGGCCTTGCGGAAAATGTGCTAAAGCTATTAGTCACAAATACTGCTAGTTTCTTGCTAGATACAAATAATTTCTTGAACAAGCTTTACCATATACATCAATTACCACTGAACACCCTTATAGTGGCTGTAAGGCCTTGTGCAGGGCCGTGTTTTGCCAGCATTGGGATTCAAAGGTGTTGCATGCATCCCTGTGTTTGCAGTCCCATAGATGTCCATTGTGACATGCACTAATAATGGCGCTACAATACGTGAAAAAGATATATACAGGTAAATTCAATAAATAACACAAATGAGTGATAGATCCTCCATGGATCTATATAAAGTGAAACAAGTGACTAGGTGTAAAATAAACCAGGTCCCATGCCGGACCCACAATAAAGTGCAAAAATTCCCAATCCCAAAATGGGATAAATACACAAGGTGACACTGTGAATCCCAAAAATGGGATAATCATACATCTAAAGTGACTAATGCTGGACCCCAATGGTGTAAACATATAAAAATACACAGTGATAAATACAAATCAAGTAAAAATCACAGAAAATACATAGTCCTGAGGAAGTCACGTGACGTAACGTGTTGATGCGCGGTGACGTAGTTCCAGCGGACGCCATCTTACTACACCCAGTGTCCTACAGTATACACCCATAACGTGGTAAGACTGCTCGATTTTTATGATCTGTAATGTAAGTGTTCATTTGGCATTTTCATCTCTATATATCGTTCTTAAATAGTGTTGCACTATGGAGGTCTCTCTTGTTCTTTCATGGCCTTAACATGGTATATACGAACAAGTGAGCTGTACTGCGGTGATCTACCTTTTGGAAGGGGAACCTGTGCTATACCAATGAGGGTATATGGCGCCATTGGAGCCTGTTGAATGTGAAGCTGTATAGTGTGGAGCCACCTGTTGTGCAGGATCCAGTGTGATCCACAAGGCATTTTGCCCTATAAGGGTTGCGGTAAGGAGGTGAGGAGGCATTTCTGCTATTTAAGGATATTCATCCACTTGCGGTTGGCACAAGCTCTTTTAAACACCAATTGCTGAAGATTGAAGCACATCCATTTGTGTATTTTTTTTTGTATTTTTGTGTGTTTGCACATATTTTTGTACTATTTGGACTTTTTTTTTTTTTTTTTTTTTTTTTTTTTTTTTTTTTATATACAATTTTTTTTTACGTAATTTTTACTTGATTTGTATTTATCCCTGTGTATTATTATATGTTTACACCATTGGGGACCAGCATTAGTCACTTTAGATGTATGATTATCCCATTTTTGGGATTCACAGTGTCACCTTGTATATTTATCCCTTTTTGGGATTGGGAGTTTTTGCACTTTATTGTGGGTCCGGCGTGGGACCTGGTTTATTTTACACCTAGTCACTTATCGTTTCACTTTATATACCGGTAGATCCCTGGAGGATCTATCACTCATTTGTGTTGTTTATTGAATTTGCCTGTATATACCTTTTTCACTTATTGTAGCACTACACCATTATTATTGTCTATTTCTATTGCACCTTTGGTATAGGTTAGGGTGTTAGCTGCTTGGTTTAGTTTCAACATATTTAGCGCAGGGGGATTTTTTATTAATTATTGTGACATGCAGCTGCATGCAAAACGGCTCTGCACAGGGCACACTCAAGTTTTCTCCCATGTGAACAAGGTCTATAGCAAAATCCCTCACAAGGGTGCAATTGCTGCTTGTCAAGGATTATTATCTTCTCCAAACTACAAACACAATGCAGAAGATGTTGCACAGCTCATTAATTTCATTTTAACACATAACTGTGTTCACTTTCAATAGTGACATTTAACCTCAGTGTAAGGGTACTGCTATTGGAAGCAAAATGGCAGCCCACCACAATATGGTGTCCTATTTATGTCAGACTTAGATGAAACATTCCTTAGCAGCTTATGGAAAAATATATATAAAGTGTGTGTGCGTATATATGCTATACTGATAGTGATATTTTCATCAAAGTTCAAAAATTCACTTGTGTAATATGCGACACCCCTCAATCAAACTAAAAGTTTCCTATTCAAGCACATAGTATGTAAACTTCCTATAAACCACAATATCCATCAAGGATGATAAACTGCACACCTCAATACACAGGAAATCTCTTAATTCTACTATCCATGGTTCCAGCTTCCATTCTAACATATCAAACTAGCCATAATACAAGGGCACTATATACAAAGGCGTATGCTTTGACCCAGAAGACAGAAGTCAACATCCCAGAGTTCTAGCAGAATCCTTCCAAAAGAGAGATTACAGCAGCAGACCCAATAGGAAGAACATAAACTGAAGGAAACAATTTCCTACAATACATGGAGTAAACAAATGGTGCCTCTAGTAACCACATACAGTCCAGCACTACAGGGGAAAAGAAAGATCATCAAACAGCTGCAACCCATCGTAAGAGAATAAAAATGCTGAAAGAAATATTCCTACAACCCTCAGTGCTGGCCTTTAACCACTTCCCGTCCGGCCCATGTATATAAACGGCCGGACAGGGGCAGTGCAGGGGCGGGTGGCCGTTTATAAATGGCTTCCACGCTCCCTGCTTGTGTGTGCTCCCTGAGAGCACGCAGCACCACGATCCGGTGCCTGCTGTGTCCTCCGGACACAGTGGAACACCAATCGTTGTACGGGACCTCAAGGTTCGACATGTTTTGCATTCTGATGTATTCTGCATACCTTGGCTGTAACAAGTGTAACCAGTCTGCCTATTCTCCTCTGACATCAGCAAGGCATTTTTATCCACACAGCTGCTATTCACTGGATATTTTCTCTTTTTCGGACCATTCTCTGTAAACCCTAGAGATGGCAGTGCGTGAAAATCCCAGTGGATCAGCAGTTTTGAATACGCAGACCAGCCTGTCTGGCACCAACAACCATGCCACATTCAAAGTCACTTAAATCCCCTTTCGTTCCCCATTTTGATGCTCGGTTTGAACTTCGGCAAGTCATCTTCACCACATCTAGATGCGTAAATGCACTGAGATGCTGCCATGTGATTGGCTGATTAGCAATTTGTGTTACTAAGCAATTGAACAGGTGTACCTAATAAAAGGCCAGTGAGTGTAAACAGAATGGATGGGCTAGATAATCCCTGTGCCATCCTTATTTCATGCAAACAATATAGCCAAAAAAAAATGTAAGTAGATGAAAAGCTACACTTTTAAATTGAGGTATATATGCACAGATTTTCCATGTAGAATTTTGCACTTTTTTTTTTCAGAATCATTTATGATGTATCAGGCTAACAAAGAGGACTCAGAGTCCTAAAGGTTTGCCATTTTTTATAAATCATTTTGAGTTAGGCATTACAGGATATCACACCTATGACTTGGTCTTCTACTGAGAACAAAATGTGTTTGACTGACTGGGCTAACAAGGTATAACTCTGTTGTTTTTTTTTTTTTTTTCTTCCTCTAACTTGGAATTTTGATGTAATTTTGGTTGTGTGACATTCTGTGCTGCTGGTACATAATGTCTGTTTGTTACCTTCTCATCAATTTAAGGGATGGTGACAAGGTATTTAAACCCGTACGTTATTGCTTTTAGTAATTTACACAGTCCATTTACAGCTTCAATATTGTCTTAAAGGTCCATCTGTCCTAAGCAGATGTTCTTTAAAAAATGTTTTAGTAAAATGCATACTATGAGTGTAACTCTCCATTATTGCAGTCACAATGCTTATTGCAGTAGACACTGTGAGAGGCATCATATGCTGTGTGCTCGTTATTCGCCTATATGTACTGATACACAGTTTTGCTTTTTATGTCCGTAAGACTCCAGAAGTGGGAATTACCTGCATCAGTTTGCTTCCACTTTTTTTTTTTTTTAAACCAGTTTTATATACTCTGTTCTCTTAATTATGTAGTGTCCATCAGCCAAATGCTAATATTTAGTGCTGTAATGCAGTCAGTATTAGAATAATAGAGATTCTGATGGGGATCTCTCACCACAAGAGACCTTTTTAAAAAAAAAAAAAAAAAAAGAAAAAAAAGAAAACGGCACAGGATTCATGTTTGCAGCTGTTTTGGAAAAGCGACAGTGGTGCTTTAGGTTCAATATATTATATTTTCTTTTTTTTCGGTACTTGGCATTTCCAACCTAATAAAAACCTCATGTACACGGGATGGAGGAGTAGGAGTCCAAACCAGAAGGACCCTGGAAGGGTAGGGGGGTAAAGTGACTGGTTACATTATAACAGTGAGTACAGCATACTAATTACAGTATCTCTTGTAAACTTTTGGCACTGAGCAGAGTCCACTTGGCACCGTGTTCCACTCTAAGGACTTGTTCATACCTGATCTGGTGCGGGAATGCACACAAAGCCATGTAGTTTCCTGCTCCACACAAAAAGGCACTGCTTTCTGCAGATGTGCACAGGTGCCTTTAATTCTTAATGGCATCTCCACACATCTAGTGCACAATATTTTAAAAATCATGCCTGCACTTTTTATGCATTTTTCATGCTAGTAGGGCAGCCCTTTAAATTAATGGGCTGCCCTAAAACATGACACATGAAAATGTGCAAAAAGGTGTGCATGCTCAGCCGCACCTCATGGTGTGAACAAAGCTTAAATATGGATGTAACATGATCTTAAAGGTGTAGTTGGCCTTTAAAGAAGCTTTAACCAATTAATAATTTTACCAGCTGAAGGTATGAATGCCGGCTGCATCTAGTGAGTATCGCACTAATGAGTTACTCACTATATTTGTGTTAGCAACTGTCGATTATGTTGCACTATTGGTTAATCATCAACTCTTTCACCTTCCCAGTTGTAGTGTTTTCCTCAGCGGCTACAAAATGTTAGGTATCAGATCGATTCTGACCATGGCTGACTTTAAATGTAAACAGCTTGAAGCCATTTCAAGAGACAACTTGATGGCCAAACAAATTCATCATTAGGACTTTTGACCTTTGGGCCTGGTAAGCACAGTGATGACACCCTTTCACTTTTGCATTTTTTTTTTAACGTTAAAGTGGTTTTAAAGGCAGAAAGATCTTTGGTTTTTTTTACCTTAATTCATTTTATCCTGCTCTTGATCGAGCAATGTGCACAAGAGCAGAGGTTCTCCCGCTCTCTCTCTCTTTGCATTGGCTCAGAGACAGCAGTTGGAGCCATTGGCTCCTGCTACTGTCAGTCATAGCCAGTGCGGAGGTGGTGGCGTTGAGCCATGTTTTGTGTGTCAATGGACTTGGACGGCTTGGAAGGGAGCATGCACTATTGACCCCATAGCAAGCAGCTTTCTATGGGGGCGCTTAGCAGGAAGGAGGGTCCAGAAGTGCTGGTGGGGGACCCAAGAAGTGGATGTCCATGGCTTCTCTGTGCAAAATCATTGCACAAAGCAGGTAGTTATGACATGTTTGTTATGTTTAAAAAATAAAAAGTTTACCTTTTTAGAATCACTTTAAATAATTTATAATGATATGTATATAAAAAGTCATATTGAGGAGTGATATTTATTGCAACAATGATTACGTATATTAAAACCATATTTGTTTCTGTTTTGTGTAGGCGAAGTGTATACATGGGGAGATAATGATGAAGGACAGCTAGGTGATGGAACAACAAATGCAATTCAGCGACCTCGCCTTGTGGCTGCCCTTCAGGGCAAAAAAAAAATAAATAGAGTAGCTTGTGGCTCTGCTCACACACTGGCCTGGTCCACCAGTAAACCTGCTAATGCCGGCAAGCTTCCCACACAGGTAATTAGAGTTTGCATATAACAGTATATAAAGCATTGGTGTTTTGTGCAAATTAATCCTCAACCTTTTCTTTATGGTTTTCTGTTGCATTTTTTTAGGATGGCTTTTTCTGCAAAATATATTTTATTGGCCCTTCCCATTTTTGGATCATAAATTTACCAAATATACCTATATGATCTCAAAAAGTGTTGTAAATATGCAAAATGAAATTTTTTTTAAACGGTTCACCCATGTTCTAATGTAGATGCGTTTCTTGTATTTCTTCCTCGAAGACCGTTAATAATACTTAGTTGACCTCAACCTGTTGTTGCTGGAGCTTTACTCACACATTAATTGGTGCAACTTGATAAATATTAATATATCAAATTCATAATTTGGCACTTATATTATATTGATGGCAAGCTTGCAAAATATTTGGTTTTTATGATTAATCATAATTAATATTAAAAATATGTGAATGGCCTCCTTGAGCCAGTGATAGTGTTAATTTCTTCATTTAAGCTGAGACAGGAGAGCTGAACTAACCAGCTGAGAGCTAAGTATTCTATAATAGGGCATAGCTGGTTAGAAGACTCTAGTGTAGAATGTCATGGAGTAACCAAAAAAGTATTACCGTATTTGCCGGCGTATAAGACGACTGGGCGTATAAGACGACCCCCCTACTTTTCCTGCTAAAATGTAGTGTTTGGGCTATACTCGCCATATAAGACTACCCCTCTTCCAATGCACACCAGTGGGAGGAATAGTGCCCCATCATTGATGTCAGTGGGAGGAATAGTGCCCCATCATTGGTATTAGTGGCAGGAATAGTGCCCCATCATTGGCATTAGTGGCAGGAATAGTGCCCTATCATTAGTATCAGTGGAGGAATAGTGCCCCATCATTGGTGTCAGTGGGAGGAATAGTGCCCCATCATTGGTATCAGTGGCAGGAATAGTGCCCCATCATTGGTATCAGTGGGAGGAATAGTGCCCCATCATTGGTATCAGTGGGGGAATAGGTGCCCCATCATTGGTATCAGTGGCAGGAATGGTGCCCCATCATTGGTATCAGTGGCAGGAATAGTGCCCCATCATTGGTGTCAGTGGGAGGAATAGTGCCCCATCATTGATGTCAGTGGGAGGAATGGTGTCCCATCATTGGTGTCAGTGAGGGGTGGAATAGTGCCCCATCATTGGTGTCAGTGGGGGGTGGAATAGTGCCCCATCATTGGTGTCAGTGGGGGGTGGAATAGTGCCCCATCATTGGTGTCAGTGGGGGGTGGAATAGTGCCCCATCGTTGGTGTCAGTGGGGGGGGAATAGTGCCCCATCATTGGTGTCAGTGGGGGGGAGGAATAGTGCCCCATCGTTGGTGTCAGTGGGAGGAATAGTGCCCCATCATTGGTATCAGTGACACCAATGATGGGGCACTATTCCTCCCACTGAGACTTGCTGACCCTGTTCTCGTATGGTGCTGCTGCAGCCAGCATATATGTGGTTGCAGCAGCACCTCTACACAGAACACTTACCTGCTGCTCCGGCACTCAATTTTCGCGGGGCCGCTCGGCTCCGCCCCCTCGCCGGTGATTGGCCGCCTGTGTGCCTTTCCTGAGCTACAGTTCTGGCGGCCAATCACCGGTGAGGAGGCGGAGCCGAGCAGCTGCACGAACATCCAGTGGCCGAACTGAAGGAGACGCCGCGCTTCCTGGACCGGATCGTCGTGGGACTGGATCCAGGTAAGAGACATCAGCCCCTGCAAACCCCTGTACTTAATGCCGCAGCCCCCCTAAACATGTTTACCGGCGTATAAGACGACCCCCGACTTTTGAGAAGATTTTCAAGGGTCAAAAAGTCGTCTTATACGCCGGCAAATACGGTACATAACGTATTCTAATAGTATCTGTGTGTATTTAGTTTGGTTTATAAGTTGGTAATATTGTTACATACGTAGATTTCTGGTTATACAACATTATTGAGATGTATTTAATTTATATTATTTAATCAGTGACTGCTCAAATGAGCAAGCTGATGTAACATCACCAGCTCATTATGGTCACTACATATGGGCCTGTCAATCAAAAGACCATATATGTAACGTCCCCTCCCTTCAATGAATTGCTCTGCTAAGCAGTATTGATTGCCATACAAGGTTCTAAGATCACAAATTATGACGCTTACTTGCATCATAAAAAGGCATCTTAGGAGATGCAGGGACACACACACACCTGAGAAGCTGGAACAGGTGCATGCTGTAAGACAAGAAATAGTCACTAACGTCCACTTCCGGAAAGACTCTGAAGGACGAACAGAACATGGAAGAAGCATGAGACAATGAACATAAGGGTGACACATCTTTAAACTTCGGCTTTGATATTTCTGAACTGTTCATGATTCGCATTTCATTGTTATTTTAAGCCATTGTGTGATAAAATAAAATCACACTTTATTTTTTATCTCACTGGCTCTTTCATTTGCAAAATTGCCTATAGACACTAAAGAAGTATTATATGTGTCTCAGAAAATTCTACACAACCCAAGAAGGGCATAATCGGCATGGGTGCTTTGCAGTCCTAAATTGTCCACACATATTCTCCCATACATATTTTATAAAATCCTTCTCTATAATAACCATGCAGCAGACAGATTCCCGCTAAAATTTCAGATCAGTCTGGCAGTAGGAATGCCTGCATTGGGTGTTGTCACACATTGATACATCACAGAATCCTATGTAAATTTGCAATATTCAGCTGTAGTAGTGGCATGTTTTTAGGTAAGTAGAATTGGAATGTCAAGGCAGCTTATAGGTTTCAGACGTTTCTAGATAGGTGCAATGTAGGAGCCAAATAGACCTAATTATAGTCTTAGACCTGGTGCAGCAGTATATTATGGCATACACCTGTAGGGAAAAAATTTAAATGATAAGAAGCCAACACTTTTGTTTGTTTTTTTTTTTCATTTTGACTAAGAGTTTCTATTTGAACTGGTATTGTCCCTTTATCATACATTTGACGTTTTTTTTTTTGTTGTTGTTTTTTTAACTGTAACAATGTGTTGAAAAAGCATTTTCCTTTTACAGGTTCCAATGGAATATAACCATCTTCAAGAGATTGCAATTATTGGTCTGAGAAATAGATTGCTGTTACTCCATCACATCTCTGAATTGTTTTGCCCATGCATCCCTATGTTTTTGATTTGGAAGGGCGACTGGAAGAGACTGGCCATGGTCCTTCTGTTGGGTTTGACACTCTCCGTGGAATTCTTATATCGCAAGGAAAGGTACAAATATACCATAAAATATGTAACTCTACAGTTGCACCATAGGATGGGACCAATACCAATGATATACCAAATGGGGCTATAAAGGAAGTCGAATAAGAGAGTGGGGGTGTTAAAAGTAGGTGGGTCACTAGGAGTTCAGGTTGGGGTGAGGAGAGGGGGAGAATATTAATTAGAAAGTAGTGGACCCTAATTTAAGAATAAATAAATGAAGTATAGACTAGACTAGAACATATTTGCATGAGACCAGGGTGCAGGCAGACTAATGGCAATGTGAAAGTAAGAGAATACACATAAATGTGCTCAGGTAGAACGAGAATCATTCTGTCACTAATTTCAAATTTTTTTTTAATTTCTTGATCATACCCCTACTTTGTGGCTTTCTATAAAGGCACCATACTATTTACAAGCTTCCTCCAGGAGTCCACTGAGGGGGAGGTTTAGAGTCATTCCACTGGAGAAATATGCCTTTACGAGCATAATAGAACAGGTGCAGGTAGCAGTAGAGGGAGTTGGAGGTTCTGCCAGGCACTCTAGACATATTTGAGGTGCAGTTTGTACTGGGATACTGTAGGTGGTAAGTCTGTCAGAAACTTGGCAATCAAAAATTCCAGTAGATTTGGATTTGGATGTCCAGAAGACATGGAAAAAGTTGTTTGTAAATGCCAAACCTCTTTCGCATTTGTGCAGATGAGGATGGGAGGATATTTTGCTTTCGGGGTCCTGGGGAGGAACTTGAATTAGAGGAGACAATTTACTAGCTGAGATAAATTCTAACCTGTCATCCTTACTAACGGTTTTATTTTCTCTGGTCTAGAGTTTGGAAAATTTATAGGCAGAATACATTAAAAATGTATTATGATGATTTTTATATATATAGTGACCGCATATTATTCAGTTTAGGAATGACTTTGCTTTAGGCAAAGTTTTGGGACAGGTCTTGGAAACTCGTGCTTGGATCGGGAGGTTGTAGGTTATCTTTCTGAGAAGAAGTGTTTTAAAACACAGCTGTGGGTATTAATATTTGGTAAACGCACCATGTTTTTTTTGGAGTACCCGATGACCCCTGAAACCGAGAGAGCTTTGTGATACAAATACAAACCTGTGCTCAAGGCTCTGTGTCTTAAAAAATGTTTTCTTTAATTCAACACATTTTTTTTTTTTAATTGAATATGAAGGTTATGTGTACAGTATATAATAGAATAAAGTATTTCTTTTTTACATATATTTACATGTACCCATCTTTCAGATCATTTAAAGATCAATGTTCCTTTTACTTTGTGTACAATATGACTAAGATTGCAAGCTGCAAACTGACAAGTATGCCAAAATAGATAACAATGTTGAGCACATTATACATATATGCAGTGCTGATTTAATTACTGATCAATATTTTTTTGAGATCATTGTGTCATTGCTGCATAAAAGCTCTTTTGAATGCAAACCTGAAAATAACTTTTAAACTATGTACCAGTCTATTAGAGCTGTTTTTTATTCCACAAAAAAAGCTTTATTAGGAAAGTATTGACATACAATCAAAATAAAATCATCATGGAAAGGTACAAGTGATAATGCATTCGTATACATAGCATTTGAATAATATCCTATCTACTCCTCTCCTTTAGAAACAGTTTAAAGCTAAAAAAAGAGTAAAGAACCTCCTGCGCTCCTAACGAAGTCCCTACAATATTAAGAAAGGAGGTACAGCTGCCAACATCCAATCATATACCTAATGATCCATAAGTGAATAATACAAAAAAATGATGTGGTGCTAATACCATGTGAAACCCCAGATAAGTGAATAAAACATATAATAAAAAAACATTATGTGGAAAAAAATATATATATAAATCAATCATGAAAAGTGATAATAATGACAGGTGTCAACAACACTCACACAACCATGTGCCAATACAATAAATAAAAGTGTCAAGACAGGGTCCAAATGGGACCAAACAAATCAATAGTACCCAAAAAGATCCTAAATTGGATCTAAAAGTGATGTGGAAGACAAAATGAACCGTATGACCAGGAGTCCAAAAATGGGACTGTACACAAAAGTGCTACAACACCCCCCCCAAAATAATGCACTGAAGGTATAAATCACAATCCGCATATAAACAAAACAATGTGTCACACAAAATAAATAAAACACACCTAAATGGTGCATAAAATCATCATGGAAAGGTACAAGTGATAATACATTCGTATACATAGCATTCGATTAATACCCTATCCGCTCCTCTCCGTTAGAAGCAGCTTAAAGCTACCCATCACACAAATTAGACAAGCTCTTTACATTAGAGCTGTCTTTTATGAGAATGAAGGGGAACAGAGGCTAGACACTAAGAGTGGAGAAGCAAAAACTATTAGACACATTTTTTAGTGGGCGTCGAGGGAGATGAGTACTTAAAGTGAGTATGTTCTTAGCCTATGCAGGGGAACTTGGGGTTCCATCAGCGTCACATACTTGTGTTCCTTTTTTTCTTCTGCCGCTCTGCTTAGATGGTGGGAACAAAGAGATTAAACCCTGTGCAACTTCCAAATAATAACTGAGCCTGCATAAGTTTAGGCCTCTTTCCCTTCCTCCATGGTATAGGGCTGGGTGTCAGAGTAGCCAAGCACCCAGTGCTGCCAATTGGGGGAAAGGACGATAGTACCTGAAGTACCCCATATTCCTCTTTGCTTACTGCAGTTGATGGGACTGCTTTTAAAGCAAACTTGTTGGTTGCCGCATGGGAAAAAACATGGGTGTGCTTTAACTTAAATTAGTCTAAGTGACATCTATGACCATCTGAGTTTGCCAAGTTATACTAATGTAATTATTGAGTTGTGATGTTCAAGGAGTTTGCTATAGAGTACAGTAGAGTTATCTAACTGGATCCATTAGGAGGTAGTTACATGGTGTTGTAAGGTTGAATAAAGACAGCGGTCCATCCAAGTAATCCTGAGAGGGGAGAAAAGCCAGTGTTTGTCAGTGAGCCTGTGGAACAAGTGCAGACTTTTCAGCACAAAGAAGCCAAATTTACAAAGTGGCATGTCTTAATAATAGGTTGGAGTTTGGGGAACTGTAGAGCCTAGAAGGTTTTGCAGAAGATGTAATGTTTGAGTATAATTACTCTGAATTTGAGGGAAGATTCAAAGTAAATATGAAGAAAAAACGGCAAACTGAATTACACATTTAGGAAATTATGAAGAGCATTTTTAAAAAACATCCAAGTTGGTTGCATAGGAGCAGTGTCCCTGGGGCTCTGCAGGAAAGTAGGGTAAAATGCAGTAAAAGATTACTTGATATTTTCTGCAGGCAGGTGCACATTTGGGTACATTTAAAATTTGGATGGTTTTTGTTCGGCTTTTTGGAACATTTGCTTAGTTAAAAATGTGACATTTATTAGGATTTTAACTACTCCTGAAGTAAAATTATAAGTCTGTGAAAGAGCCTCTTTGATGTGGTACTACTTAATGGATCACTGATAATCATAATAGCTTTTAATATATTCCAGCCAGAGGAATTCCTGCTGTAATCAAAAGTAAATTTTTATGAAGCAATGTTACATAAACCATGTATTAGTTAAATTCCTATCGTTCATACTTTTTTTCCACTTAACTTTATTGAAAAAGCAACGTAGCTCATTTTAAGGTTAAATTACTAAACTTACAAAGCTTATCTGTTATATAGCAAAGAAGTATAATCCAGAAGGGAATAAAAGATATCACAGAACTAATAGTCCCACGCTTATGTAAAGTATGCCAATGATAATAACATGCACATAGATCATAATGTCGCTGTCTAGAAGCTTGGCATGGTAAAAAAAGCTAATGAAAAGCACACATTAAAGGGTCAGTCATCTATGAATTTAGCTTGACTTTGAAATCTTAATTTGCTAGGAGGCTGCATTCCGGAAAGTTGTTCAGGCAACAATGGTACGAGACCGCCAGCATGGTCCAGTGGTTGAATTAAACCGGATACAGGTATGTTTCTGTATTGTGTCTGTTTCTGAAGTGCTTTTATGTTTTTGGCTTTCAAAAATTGGAAATGGAAAATGTTTATTTTTTTTAGTGGGCACATATTTGGGGTATTGCTGTGCTTTATCTAAGATGATTGTACACTCACCAGCCACTTTATTAGGTACACCTGTTCAACTACTTGGTAAAACAAATTTCTAATCAGCTAATCAGATGGCAGCAACTCTAGGCATGGTGAAGATGACTTCTGACGTTCAAATCGAACATCAGAATGGGGAAGAAAGGGGTATTTAAAAAACTGCTGATCTACTGGGTGAGCCATCTTTAGGGTTTACAGAGAATGGTAAAAAAAAAAGACTGAATATCCAGTGAGTGGCAGTTGTGTGCACAAAAATGCCTTGTTGATGTCAGAGATCAGAAGAGATGGGCAGACTGGTTGCTGTGACATTCAGATGGTAGGGTCAGAATTTGGCATAAACAACATGAAAGCCTGGATCCATCCTGACTTGTATCAATAGTTCAGGCTGGTGGTGGTGGTGGTGTAATGATGTGGGAGGTAGTTTCTTGGCACTAGCAAAGTGTACATAATAAAGTGGCAGGTGAGTGTTTGTTGGGACAGTCTGGTTTTTGCTGACTTTTTAGATTTTGATTTTAAAGTTATTTGCCTTGCATGTGTCTCTTGTGTACGGCATGGCAACTTTTGTTTTTCAGAGTGGCACAGCCAGTTAGTGATTTTAACACTAGGACCTTTACCGGGCTTGTATGGTCCTTGTGCACTTTTTGTGTTATCCATCCTAGACTACAGTTTCTAGCCCTATGCTTGCTCTACAGCACTAATGTAATGATGTAACTATTAACACTAAACCTTTTTTAGCTCTTGTGGTATCTATTTCAACCACGGTGTTATACCTTGCCATAGCTTCCTTTGTACATGGGTAGAAAGTCAGTTACTCCAGAGGTGTAGGGCATTTTATTGAATGTCTTGTATTTGCTTCACTTCGTGTGGAGTGTTGCAGAACATTTATATTTACAACCCTAAGTTCATTTTCATGTCAGTTGGGTGGTGTCTGTTCTGTACCTCAATGTTCTACTTCTTCCATGACTTCATGTGTAGAGCGTGTAGTAGTTTATTTTTAATGCATTTGTGTAGCGTCTGTCCTTGCACTACAGCATATGCTTTTTAACAGGGGTATAATTATATTTTTCACATGTTGCAGGTTGTGTACTGGTATGGTAATCTTGGGGAATGCCTTTGATATATTGCAGTTCTGTATTTTTGTATCAGTATAGACTTCATAACAAGTTTTGGTCTAACTGCTAGGTGATAATACATCTACTGTTTGTTGATAGTTGTCAGTTACCTTGATGACTTTAGGCACATCTGTACCACTATACTCCCCCCGCCATCCCCCCCGGATAAAAGGTGCATTTGGAGACGTGTTCCAAATTAATTGCCTGAGGTTACCTGTAGGGTTTTATTTGTATCCCCAGGGATGTTTGATACCTATCGCCCGACGCCCAGGACATGTAGTTACGTGCGCCGGGCAGGTAGTTTTTTTTCCTCTTTTAGCCCTGCTGCAGGCAGTGGGCTCACCTGTCCGGTGAAGCAATTGGCAGCAGCACTGCCGCCGATTGCTTTCACATAGTGCCAGCCTCTCCATGCCCCGAACGTGAGGTTTCCTAGGCTTCGCTTGCCCATCTGTGGGCCTGGATCGCCATCGGAGGGAGTGGGGGACAAGTCCGCTCCCCTCCCCTTCTTGTGTTGACCCGGAATTGACGTTACGATGTCACTTCCGGGTCCCGTTGAGATATTAATGAAATCCCCAGGAATGAATGCAATATGGTGCAGATGTGCACCACATTACATTCAGTGGAGCAGAGGGGAGACATGCACAGTTTTTTTAGACCTTTGATGTCTCAAAGAGAATCTGTCACCACTTGTCCCCCATGTGATGTGAAAACAAAAATTTTTTTTTTATTGTAAAAAATGAAAGGTACACCCAAGCACATCCCCCTCCCCCCCTCCCCCCCCCCAAAAAAAATATTGAGGGCTCCACATGTACACACTTACAAACGTAAAAGCACACGCTGGGGCGCCTACGCATGCAACCGTCGATTGCGATACACATGTTACATATCGCCACGCGTGCCAGAATGAGAGCGATAATTATAGCACTAGACTTCCTACGTACACTATACTGGTGACCTAATAAGGAGCTTTAAAAGTGTCGAACTATAGAAATTATAGGGTGCTGAAGTTTGTCGCCATTTCACGAGTGCGCACAAATTTAAGGTTTTACTATTGGATTTATATTTACTCGCTGCAACCTCATCATATTTTATATTTTACAAAAAAATTGGGTAATGTATTGCTTTTTTGTGCCCTAAAACTAACTTACTTGTAATTCTTACTACAATTTTGCGGTAAAATCATGGGACATAAAAAAATTGGAACTATCACTGTTTTTTTTATTTTCTAGGGTCTCTGCTTTCAGAAAATATATCATGTTTGGGAGTTTTTTGTAATCTTCAGGCCTAAAATTATTTTTTAAACGTGTGCAAAAAAACTCAAAAATGGCTCTGGCAGTGAAAGGGATAAAGTATAAGCCCTGCCCCACCCTTTCCTGATGAGCAGCCAATCGTTGTTCATCACACTGCAAGGTCTCTCCCCTTCCTGCTAGTCCCCGGGTGCGGTGCAGGAGAGAGGCGGGGGGGCATAAACAACGCAATAGTAAAAATATTACATGTTTAAGTTGCGATAAAGCCTCTCTTGTTTTTAAAAGCCCACCCAACATTCCTAAAATCACCTGCGATTTAAATACGGTTTTGGTTAAAAAAAAAAAAAAAAAAATTATCAGGACAAGCAGATTGTCATGAGGGACAAGTAGATTGGGGCCCCGATTTAGTCCCTGGACAAATAGTTTTTTCAAGAATTTCCACACCCCTGTATCCCGAATAATTCTGGAAGGTTTGGCTGCAGTCTTTCTTGGTTACCTGTACTTGGATCCCTGAATTTTCCATTTCTTAATTAGTGATTGAACAGTATTGACTGGCATATTCAAGGCTTTGGACATCTTTTTATAACTTTTTCCATCTTTATAAGGATCCGTTACCTTGTTACGCAGGTCTGTTGACAGTTTGTTTTGTTTTTTTTCTGATTCCCATTGCTCAGTGCATCCATGTAAGAGTTAACAAACTGACTATTTATACACAGACACTAATTGCAATTTAAAAAGTCAGATTTGGGAAATTAACCTTTTAATTGGTATTTTAACCTGTGTGTGTGTGTGTGTGTGTGTGTGTGTGTGTCACTTTGTGTTTGTACCAAGGCCAGGATTTGTAAACTTTTCATAAGGGCCATTTGGGGGATTTCTGTTATCAATATGATTTAAAGAGGAGCCACAAAAACTATGTGAAATGGCTTCATATAATCACTATCCTTGAATAAAAGACAGTTTTTTGGCATGATCAATCATATTTTTGATATTTATGCCAAAATTTCAAGATTTCTGCCAAGGTATGCAAACTTTTGAGCACAGCTGTATGTTTTCATTAGGTGAACATCCTACTGCTTAGGTTTTTTCAGTGGAAGTAGGTGCACAATAACTTGGGTTATCAATGGTGCCACCATCAGACAATTTTGTTGGGTAAAGCCTGGTATTCCTGCACAGTGGAAGGCAACAATGGCTCTCAGATTCAGGGCACTGGGCTTTGTCACATTCATGTACAAGGTTTTAAGTGATGGAAAAGTCATTGAACATATGCTTCTGCAGCAGACCCTTATTATTTGCTTATATTTTATAGAGGGTGCTTTTATATCTCCATAACTTGTATGGGAAATCGGGCAGCTGCTGCAGCATTGGGAGCATGTTCCATCCTAAAAACGGATGGAACATGTAACATGTTCCCAAAGGTGGACTTACCCTTTAAGGCAGCATTCAAATACATTTGTATGTTGCAGTACTGCACAGGCATATGCACCAAAATATTAAAAAAAGAGTACACCTGCACTACAGCATGCAGATGTGCATTGTAGTGCACTGTGTAGAGTAAAATATTGCAAATGTGTTTTTTTTTTTTTTTTTTTTTTTTTTTTTGTGCTGTAAGGGTACATTCAAAATGGATGAGCTGCCTTGCTGCAAATGCGCTACAAACTCCTGAACCTACATGCGTGAATGGACCCCAAAACAAAAAACAGGCACCATAATAATAATTAATGATGGCTCTACTTTGAACTTGCTTGGTTCCTTTATGTGTTAAATGGATTTAGAGTCGTATCTCTTTTTTGACAACTGGCTGATCTTGTAAGTGTTCTTTACTTTTGTTTTCCTAGGTCAAACGCTCAAGGAGTAAAGGAGGTTTGGCAGGACCAGATGGTACCAAATCTGTCTTTGGCCAGATGTGTGCAAAAATGACTTCCTTTAGTCCTGACAGCCTTCTGCTACCTCATCGCGTCTGGAAGGTCAAATTTGTTGGTAATGTTTGGATATTGTATTACTAGTAATTATTTAGCATATACAGTAGCTGAAATGTTTTATTATAGTTCATGTGCTGCAAATTATCTGGGGATATGCAGTATGTGTTTGTGTAACAAACATTCAAAATATATTTGTGAGGAATTTTTTTGTCCACAAAATTATGCATTTATTGTAATGCAACATCTTATTTTGTTTGGAAAGCTGCAAAGGCATTCTTCTGTGCAGTCTGTACATATCTTGTGCTTAAAACAAGGAATTCTGTATTCTGATACAAGTATAATTCACATAAACAATGATTCGGTGAAGTGCGGAAGGGAGTAAAAATGCACACACTCACCAGATGCGCATTTAAAATGCGCAATGCATAGTATATGATGAAATCTGCTAGAGGTTCCCCCTTAAGGTGGAATGGATGTACAGCCTGGTAAGGATATCTCTCCTCTTGATACTGGGGCTGCTTATGGCCTGATGTCACCTGGAATTCTGACAGTGAACACTGCAGCACTGCGCCTCTTCTTCAGGTCTGTCTATGTGGAGGACAGGAAGACAGCAGAGTCCCCAGCACCTGACCTGTGCCCTCCTAGCAGCAGGACTCAGTTGGAGGAGGAGAAAACCAGACCTGTGACACAGAAAGGAAGACGAGCACATCAGGCCATAAGCAGCCCCAGTATCCAGAGGAGTGATATCCTTACCAGGCTGTACATCCATTCCACCTTAAAGGGGACCTCTGGCAGATTTCATCATATACTATACATTGCGCATTTTAAATGCACATCTGGTGAGTGTGCATTTTTACCACCTTCCCGCACTTCACCGAATCATTGCTTATATAAATTATACTTGTACTGGAATACAGAATTCCTTTTTCTAAGCACAAGAATTATTCCACAATTAAAGACTATTTGTACTGTTTATGGGACATTCATTCATTGTTTATTGATATTTACCATTTTTAATTACACACAAGTCCGTTTTTCTATATATATCTTTTTATTTCACATATAAATTCCTTGATTCACATGCACTGGGCACTTTATGCATTTATCAGTTGTGTATAGGATTTTATAGTGCTGTACTCCTATGTTACTTATGCTATTCTGAAGGTTACAGGTTCCTTTTTAGTGCATTTTGCTGCTGTATGATTTTCAAGCGCTCGCTGAGTTTCTGTACATAGTCTGCACATATCTGTATGTGCTGTTTACTTAGAAATAGTGGTAGTGTGGAAAAGAATGGAGTGTGGTTAACGAGAACTGGCTAATGTGTATAAGTTACTTTTTTTTTTCTAGGTGAGTCTGTGGATGATTGTGGTGGTGGTTACAGTGAATCCATTGCAGAAATGTGTGAAGAACTTCAGAATGGCCTCACTCCTCTTCTTATTGTGACACCTAATGGACGGGATGAGTCTGGAGCCAATCGAGACTGCTTCCTATTAAATCCAGCAGCCAAGACACCTCTGCACATGAACATGTTTAGATTTTTAGGTAAGTAAATTATTTCATATTCCTTCTTGTTTTCCTAATTTGTGCTTATTGTTCTTGCAGTTTATCTGACAGTTTAATGGGCCTAAGAAGACACTGTCACCTTACCCATTGAGGAATATGTTCGTGTCTTTGTAAACCCATCCCTTCCCCAATCCTATGATACGCACTTTGCCTCTCCATTTCCGTTCCTGCTTTTATTGCCACCAGCCCTAAAATCCCTAGTGTCATACTCCTAAGAGAAAGCAGAAAAGTTCCTTCCTTGATCATGTGACAGGTTCAGGTCTGGAGATTGGCTGTTAGACTCAAGCACTGTCACACAGGAAGAGATTGCATGTTTCCCCTTACATAGAAGCACTTGTTATTGTTGCCAGCTTCAATGAAGGCAGGAGAAATGACAGAACACTGTCAAGGTGAGTATCGGTTCAGGAAGGGGGGTGTATGTGCATTTGTGCCTCCCTTGTTGCATAGTTACATACATAGTCTGTCTGAAAAAAGACAAAAGTCCATCCACTTCAACCATAAAAAAAAAAAAAAAGTTCTAATCCTACACCCACAGTTGATCCAGAGAAAGGCAAAAATACTCTGCAAAGCACAATCTAATTTGCTCCTGCAGGGGAAAAAAATTCCTTCCTGATCCCCCGAGAGGCAATCAGATATTCCCTGGATGTGTTTATTTAAGGGGACCAATAAGCCATGCCTCGCTTCTACCACCAATTCCAAGAAATTATAGGATTCATGTAGTTACCGGAAAATTGGAGTCCATTGAGGGACACGGGGAGTCTTAAACTTTGGCCTGCACTTCTACCTACAGGAACCTTGTGAAAGCAAAATACTGAGGCCTACCCAGGGTAAAACCCTTCCTACTACCAGTGTGCCTCAGTTTTGAAGGAAAGCATTACCAAAAGCATGATCATAAAGTCTAAGGAAGTGGGACCTGTGTGCCTCAATTCTCATTCTCGTTGAATGACACAGGATTATACCTTCGAGAAGCTTAAAGCAGTCCAAATGAAGGGTGGGTAACGCAGCAAATAACTGCAAACAGGCCCAACATAACAGGAACCAGGACTTGAAATTCAGAGAAAAGAAGGTATAGGCATCATTACCACCTTTCGCCTATGTAGGACCAAAAAGGGTTCCTTGAATGATAGTGATTAGTTCAGACTCTTATATAACTGAGGTGACAGTAAAAGGGAAAATTACCTTGTGTCAGAGCAAAAAGAGTGATGCCAATGATAGCAGCTTGTGAAGTGCCAAAAGTACCAAGTTCAAATTCCAACACAGGCAGAGGGGATTTGGCCAGATGGCCACATAGGTCATTTTCACAAAAGTCTTGGGGAATGCAGCAGAGCCAGTCCAACGCTGCCTGGACCAGGAATAGTTCCCCACTGACCAGGCCTGTAGAAGGAGCTAGAGGCTCCAAGAATGTAGCCTGTGTTCTTTGTGTCTACTGTGTTCCACATCTGGCCATCTGCCTCTTCTGGTGATGTCACTTCTGCCGGTGCAGACTTTTCCTGGTCCAGGTGGCGTTGGACTGGCTCTGCTGCATCCATATGACATCTGGGGGTCTCTTGACCAGCTCACACGGCTCCACACTTCTCCAGCTTTACACCTATGGCACCCTAAGTGATTGACGGGCAGTACCTGCAGGATGCAGAGGAGTGGCCTTATACCCCTACACAGATGAGCTTGTCATTTTTTTGCCTTTTATGAGTGTTTTTAATCCTATATTATTAAATACAGCATCCAATTATTGCACTTATATGGCGCCTCCTGTTCTTTTCTTTTTTTGTCTACACTAATGGGCAGCATACTTTGTGTGTCTGCACTATCAAGGGGCGTGCATCAGGCAGATTTTCCAGGCTTTTTTGCCCTTCACTAACTCTCCGAGAAGGAGCTGTCATTCTCCCCACAGCTAAAGGAAATAAAGGGGTGGGGTCACCAGTGAGATTACGTGGTGACCCCACCCCTTAGTTTCTTTTAGTGGTGGGGAGAATGACAACTCCTTCTTGGAGCTATACTAAAGGGAAAAAAAAGCCAGTAGTTACACTTAAAAACTGTCCGTGACATTTAACGGTAGCTCACTATATACACTGCTTCTCTCCTGCCTTTCTCAGCTACCCCCACCCCCCCCCACACACACACATCTGCAGTACACACAGCCCCCAATCAACACCTGCATTGGCTAAAATTTTCCTATCGGCAGAATACCGATAGGGCTATTTTCGGCCGATATGTTTTGGCCGCTGAAATATTCGTGTATCCCTACTTTTTAAGTAATGGCTATGTCTTACTTGTTGAAGATTGTACACATTTTGTATGTTCTTAAAATGTTAACAAAAACATTATGCAAGGAAAAATTACTGATCTAGGGAAAAAAAAAAAAAAAGATTCCTCCTGCCTTACAAACAAGGTGAATGGAGAAATTGCCTCCCCCCCCCGCTGAGACATGGTATTCTGGTAGTACACATGCACAGCTGTCAGAATACACTAATCAGGGGTTGTAGGCACTCATTGATGGAACATTTTCCAATATGTCCCGTTAATAGAAGTGGATTAAACAATTGATTTCTGTTACATGTAGAGTCTAGACACTGATGAAAATCTGGATGGTTCTCACTGGCCCAGCTGAATTATAATTGGCGTATGGCCAGCTTAAGTTTTAAATCAGTGGAACAAAAGAAAAAATGTCCATCCTCCTAGGGCACTAGCAAAAGAAATGAGGCAGACAGGCATTGGGTATTAGGCTGGCATACAGGTTTTTTTTTTTTTTTTTTTTTTTTTTGCTGGGGTCCATTCTTCCTGTAAGCTGAAGGTTTAAGACTTCTTGTGTCTGCCAGTGGACTCCAAGAAAAGCATTTAACAACAAACACTGTCATCCTATTTTTGGGGTTAGTGATGTAAGTGAGGTGACACCACTTATTGGTCCCTGTAATGTGGGACAGTTCAGGATAAAGTAACCATGTCTTTGCAAAGGGCATGAACTTTTATGGTATGTACAGAAATCCTACTATTATTTGGATTTGTGATGGAAGTGAACCAAATAGTTGGTGGAAACATGCAAATCATGCCTTTATGCCTGCCTCTGGGCCTTTAATGCACCCAGAAGCACCAGTTTACAGCTCCAACACATTCTAATATTATAGAGCCACCTATTTTCCAACTGCATACAGCCTTTTCAGGCTTGTTGGCCATCATAAGTGCAGTGTAAAGAAAAAATGGATTTTACAGAGGACGTTTTTCTGATCACGTTCTCGATTGACATTTATTAAGCTCATGAACTGCATTAACACGATACATATTTTTGATGAGTGTTAGTGATGGATTGGGATACTGGGGGCAGAAGAATTGAAAGAAACTGGGTGATTTTAATGCTTATAGATGATGAACATCCCAAATACTAATATACTTTGGCTGTCATGTATGGCGTATCAGACTTTGTTTCCTTCAAGTTTTTCCTTTCCTGTGTTCAAGGTAGCATAAAGCAGGTTAGAGGAAGAAAACATACTGAAGTCAGACACTTTGCATTTAAAGCCTGGTATAATTTTAGTTAGACCAGTTCGTTTCTGTATGCGTCTTGATCACTGGTAAGAGAAAATGTCAGTGTTACATTGGTTGATTTCCCTGTAGTAGATTTCTTCCCAGATGCACAAGCTGGCAGCTTTTCACCTTCGTCTAGTGACCCTGCATACCTTTCATGATTATCTGTGATGCAGCAGAACTAACTTTGTGAAGCTCAGACCCTTTCAGGCCTGCTACTATGTAGATCACATGCGAGAAAGACTGACATAATGCAGAATTGTTTTCTCTCTGTTCAATCTTCATTTCCCTCCTCTCTCTTCATGTCTTAGTTTGTGTTTGAGAAAACATTTGTGATTATCAGACTTTGCACACTACCAGCTTCAGATTGCAAAATGCTTACAATGTTTTGTCATGGAAAAACTGAGCTGGTTAAACTTGAGTGGCTCATCCACCATTAAATTATGTGTCCTTTTACATTCTAGGAGTGCTTCTAGGAATTGCAATTCGAACAGGGAGTCCGCTAAGTCTTAATCTGGCCGAACCAGTGTGGAAGCAGCTAGCAGGCATGAATCTGACAATTGCAGACCTCAGTGAGGTAATTCTATACATGTCTGTGAGGGTTCTCATTTATCCAGGTCATGATATATCTAATAGAAGATAGTCACATTCAACTGGATTTATACTCTAATGTAGAAGATCTTTTGAAGCCTATCCAAGAGCCGGATGAGGGGGTCGATATGGTAGCCGGAAGCTTGCATAAGTGTTCGTTTCTATATAGGCTTTCTGACAATTGGGTCAAACAACTAGGACAGGATGGCACCACAACTTTCACATCTCTCATCTTTTGGACAGCTGACATTTACAAGTTCCATGATGGTTGGATTAAGATGTCCTGTGATGTAACCATAAATGCTGGGGTATCTTTCTGACACCCTAGGATCTGAAGAAGTGGCTCAGTAAGTTAGAAAACCTCTTCAACATTATAGAACAAGTCCAGTTGATTGTGACTAACTACTACTAGATCATTCTATACATGCATATTAGAAGATGGTCTCTTATTTATGCAGTAAAATATTGCTGTTGAATGTTAATAGGTGCAAGGGTGGCAATATATGACCTGATCCAACAACTGAACCACAAACTTCTTTATTCAGTAAAAGGTGCCAATTCTTAAGGGCAATAGTTTATGGAAACTGAAATAAATAGGGGTGGTTGGTTTTTTGGATTTTCCCCTACTTATATTAGAAATATGTACTATCTTGTTGGTCCCTATAATTAGCTAATACATCCAAGCTCTAAGAATATTGATGGTAGTAATATATTACAATATTAGCTGTAATAATAAACACAGTTCTCAAAGAAGCAAAGTCGTATTTATTTATAAAGTAATAAAAACACGAACAGAGAAATCTAAACGAATATTGTATAGCATATGGAAATAAAAGAGCAGAGATGATGCGTTAAGCAACTCCATCCTCAGTGTCTCGTATTCTAGTTGGGCTCAAGGAGAAAGAGAAGGAGGCCATGGCTGATCCTTACAGGTATACCACTCTCAAGCAATACCCATTCAATGCGCATGGCCTGGCCTATATAGTCCTCTGTTCAATGAGTTGCCATCCATAAATTATAAGGGGCTGTCATTGCCAATCACCAGGAAGTAATGTGGTACCTTGAATCCTCCAAGAAGTATGTTGTCCCCACCAGGGGGCACTGCTATATTGGCATGAATTGTCTTGACCTAGGTCAGCATCACAGCCCACATCTGGCCTCCTTTGATGTTGTTAGAAGTTAGGAAATCGATCTTTTTGATTTTTCACATCACCAGGAGGTCAGGGCTGATGCTTCTCTACCCCCACATGTCACATTGGGTGGGGGCCTATGCGAGAACATCTTTCGGGAGGTGAATTCCCATTTGTGACCCCTTGTTACAAACACCCCCTGCTCTGTCAACTGATTCACTTGGTGCTCCATGATGCAGGCCAGATGGCCCTTTGATAGCTAGACAGTAAAAATCCATAAATGTCCGAAGAACAATGTTGCCTTCCAACAGCAACCAATCAGATATTACTCTATGAAGTAAGACCTGCACAAAATTAATTGGATGTTATTATTTTCTGTGGTAAAACTCTATCCAATAAAAATAAATTTTGGCTGGAATTAGAGTGGGCTTCCATCCCTCCTTCCCTATCAGTGACATAGCTGGGAAATGTTCCAGCTTGTCCAACACTTCCATGTTGTCATATAAAAGCTGCAGTAGAGGTTGATGGTAAGCAACAAGTTTGAGGATGGACTTATAGTTTAGTCCCCATCATTCTCAATGAGCTAACTGGCCATCTTTTTAGCTACTCATGGGGAATATTTGGCTGATAGGATCCTGTCATTAGCCCTTCGGATGTGTGGTACGCAAAGGATATTTAGGCATTCAAATGCGAAGTAGAGAACTAAAAAAGACCAGTTCATGATTTAACTGGATTATAGTCTTTTACATGAATACTGTAAAGAGAATCAGAATGAACTTCTGTTTGATACAGTTCACAATATCTGAATACTATTAAAGGTGAACAGCAATACTAGTCCACTTTGTTTAATCCCTGAATTTGTACATGTTTTTGTAAATGATGTTCCCATGTTTTAAGGTGGATAAGGATTTTATCCCTGGACTGATGTACATAAGGGACAATGAGGCCACCTCCGAGGAGTTCGAAGCTATGATTCTCCCCTTTACAGTGCCAAGTGCAAGTGGTCAAGATATCCAGCTAAGCTCCAAGCACACTCACATTACACTTGAGAATCGAGCAGAATATGTGAGACTTGCAATCAGCTACAGGTAGGTATCTTACAACTTTAAACTGTACACTGTCCATAACATTCGGCCAGTATGAAGAGTTCTAGTGTATAGTGTGAACACCAAAGAGCAGAGGTTAAGAGAGTCCTAATTATAATAACCAGTTCATCAGCATGCATTCTTCCAGAAATGTTCAGCAACAGTCATATAGGAATACACATTCAGGTAACCAAACAAAAAAGGCTCCTTCATCCCAAGTAAGAATGCAGTCTATGGTGCACTTGCAAAGAACAGAATATGCAGGAGTTTCATAGAAGATGATAATGAGCATTTGTGGCTGTCCAAAACTATTGTACTCACAGATTCTTCAGCTTAATGAAATGTGACTTTTATCTGCACTCTTTTCCAGGAGCAGCAATGCCTTTTTAAAAGACAGCATTCACATATTCGTTCCTTCAGAAATTTTTTGTTGGTTTTATTTTATATTTTAGGACAATATATAGTGAAAAGTCCTAATTCATAATTATTTCATGCTCCAGTGATCTACTGAACTGCAATTACAGAGCCATTTATCTATTTTGCATGCAAATGTTTTCATTTTTACAGTTCTCATGGAAGCAACACATGGAAGCCATAGTTCTGTGTAAAAGGGCTTGGGAACAAATGGGACTATTGTGAAGCACATCATTGTCTTTCTAAGCAGAAAGGTGTTCACTCATCACCCTTTCCATCATTAATAAAAAAAGTGATTTAATTTAATTCCCACCTATTATCTCTGAAATGAATCATTTTAACATATCATTAAGTTGTAAAGTTGTGATTTGAAGTTTCTGAAATAAAATTGATATTTTAACATGTCCGGTTCTGATTGATATGGCTGAATGAACGCTTGCCTTTAAAAATAAATAAATAAAATAAAATTCTCGTCCATTGAGGGACACAGAGTCCTAAATCTTTGGGGTATATTGCTGCCTATGAGAGGATTGGACACAAACATCAGTTTTATGCTAGTGTCCTTGAAGGATGAAAAGCCTCTCTTCATCTCTTCTACTGTAAAGACTATCCTATTATTTGGCCAGCCCTTTTTTTCTTTAGATTTTAAATTCAATCAAGACTTTTCTATACTGCTGATGGTTCCCTTCCTAATCAGCAACTGTTTGGGTTGGCCACCCACAACCTGGATTTTGGAGTGTTGAACCACATCCCTGATGAACTGGATGTTGCAGGGATAGCATAGAAGTCACTGTGGGGAACTTCCCAGACTCAGTTTGATAAACATTCGTTGTTCCAGGACCAGAGGTGCCTGCATTGCATCAGTGCTTTCCTTGTCTTTGAAATCTCACTCAGTATTTAGGCTGATCAAGCTGAACATTAGGAGTTACCTCATGTTAATCTGTTACTGAGGCCTTGATTCCCCATTCTCATGGGTTTTTACTTCCAAAAAGGTTGACTCTGTGGGACTGAGCAGCGACGTACTCCACTCAGTGGAGTATCTTGCACATCCTTTGCGATCTCTTTTCCATCATATTGCATCAAGGAAGAATATGCCTACTGCTGCTCTTGCTTACAAAGAGCCACGTGGAACTCTTCGATCTGCTGGCCACCTACAGTGACTTGGGTCATTTAAAAACTTCTAAGCCTGCAAAAGACGTTCCCTTTTCACCTGCTTTTCTAACTTTTTTCTGTGTAGACTGGAAGCATCTAAATAATTTTTTTGCTCCCCCAAATGCTTGTTAAGAATTTGGTTCGAAATGGTTAGTTTTCACTGTGGATCTGGCCATATCTCACCTAAACAAGGTGCTTACTATGCTGGTGGGGGATGCATCTGTCTTTAGGACACAACTGACAAGTTTTTGGAAAACCCTGTCTTGCCTGGCGGGTCCTGCTCTATATCTGGTCCTAGCTGTGAGTTTACTTTGTCACACCATGTCTGACTTCTCTAAATCCCTTAAAAAAAAACCAAGAACCTACCCTCTGCTGCAGTTGCGCATGGAAAGTATTACAGTTTAGCTGTGATGATGGTTTGCTGGAAGCCTCCAATCTCAGTTCTTGCATGTTTCTCATGTATGTGAATATACCTGAGACACCTTGGCTAAAGTACATGACTGCGGAACCTTTGTGCAGGAAATATGTCATCTCCATGGCCTTTAATGGATGTTCCTTCAGACCAGCTGTCGATGACATTATTAAAGATGCTATTGGTAGCAAGAGAACCCATCTTTTTCAATGTACAGCCCAGTAAACACGTAGAAAAAGTCTGCTGTTTCAGCAGGAACCTGCCATCTTTTTGGTACGTGTGTACCACTATCTGTTCAACAAAAGCCGGTCTAACAACCTGCTTCTTTCGAACAGTCCTGCTGGACTAGTCCCAGTCCCACTGTCCGAATACAGTAGCACAATGGGAGACATCCCTGCATCACTCATCGTTTGTGTTCATGTGGGGATCTGTCAGTTTTTGGCATTTTTTTTTTTTTTCCCCCACTTAACCTGCTGGCAGAATGATAGAAAGTGTACATGTATACCCAGCTTTAGAATCCTAAGGAGCAGATTGTTCCTGAACTCTCCTGTGTTCTCATAGCATCTCCATTGTAGGACACTAATGCTGGCCATACACAAAGTGAGTTTGTTTCTGGCCCGGTTATGAAATTCGCTCTGTGGTTTGCCATGCCAGATCCAGGAACTGTTTAGGTATTTTAACAACTGGCAGTTCCGGCTGTCAAAATACAGTTGGCACAGCGGAACAGTCGTCCATCCGCACTGTGTAGCAGGCATAGAAAAATCTGTTAGATTTTTTTTTCTATTCAGCCTGCAGACTGAACAGAAAAAAAAAATCTATGTGTATGGCCAGACATCCTGTGTTGGGAACAGTCCGTGAGAGCTTTGTCAGACAAAATGTATCTCTAATTGCATTAGAGGTTTTGGTGAACACTGACTGGTCCTGAACATTTCTGAAGCCAAGGTCTTCATTACCCAGGAGAAACTGTAGATTCTGTGGCCTCATGTTCAAACTTCTCATTCCAGAAGCCACACGGATCACTGCTTCTTCATGAGAATCCTGGGGCAGATGGTAGCCTCATTCTTAAGGTAGTTTCTGTCTTTCACCTCAATCAGAACATTATTCTGTCAAAATTAAACTTTCCTCCATTGTCTGGATAAAGCCATTGCTTCGTTCAGAAAGACTAATTCCCTTTTTGTCATCCCAGATGGACCCCAAAAGAGTACCCTGGTTTCTTGTTCCCTAATCTTTAGATGGCTCAGATAGGCCATCATTCAAGCTTATGGTCGCAAGGATCCGGTTACACCCGTCACTGGCCAGGCGCACACTACTAAATCTGTGAGCACTTCTTGGGGATTTTCGGGCATTAAGCAACTGTTTCCTAGATTGCAAGGCTACCACCTGGTCTTCTATTCAAACATTCTTTGAGTTCTATCAGGTGGATTTTTCTGCCTCATTTGAAGCCCGCTTTGGATGCAAGGTCCTTTAGGGGGCTCCTTGAGCTGCAGGCAGTCCCCAATTCTCTGTTGTTTTTTAATTTTTTTCTTGGGCCTGTTGCCTCCTTAGTTAGTTGGACTGCTTTTAGCAGCTCTCAAAATGTTTTTGTACTGATCATAAAATTAATTTTCATGGGGTCCATTGAGGTCTCACCATTTGTTCTTAGCTCTCGGCTATGTGTGCTACAAAATTAATGCATGCTGGTCGTAGGAGGGGTTATCCTGGGCTGGGAGACATCCTACGTCCTTCACTATACCCAAAGAAAAGGATTTTACAGTGAGTACAAACATTTCCAAGTGTAATATTTTGGAAGGTTTAATAATTACCTTTTAAACTAAACAGAACCAACAACATAAAAAGCATCTTGTGATTTAATTAGGAAGGTAACAGGTTGCAGGTTTACCAGCAGACACAACACCCTGCCAGTGTATGTGTATGACCCATAAGAGAGGAGAATTTACTTTGAATGTTATTTTATTACATGCAAGAATTTTAGGGTTGACAATCTGAAAGGTTTATTGAAGTGAATGCAGAACAAAGGAATTAAAATTTTTTTTAACAGGACTATCTCTGTTTTTATAAATTGAAATCTTTTAATGTTTGGGGTTCATTGGGGTTCTTTGTTTATGATGCTGGGTGGTTAAATAATGTTTTTCTGGGTTTTTTTAAAGACTCGTGTCAGAGTGCCAACAGCCTCTCAGTGGGCAGTTTTCCATATTAGGCATATTGACTTTAAAGAGCAGTGGTGCCCTGGCCTAGTGTAAATCAAAGGCTTTTCAGATGAGCCTTTTTTATTAAATGTTTTAATGGCAAACTTGGTTAATCCTTTCCTTGTAGTAGTCTTAAAATTTGCAGAGGGTTTCTCTTCATTTCCTGCCAACTCTGTCTGCATCTTTTACCATCTTTCTTTTTATCAGACTGCTACACAAACCGATGTTGGCAAGTGACATTGGGATGAAAGAGGCTATGCATTGGTCCTGGGTAGCATTTGAGACCAGATGCATTTTAATAGCACTGTCACTGGATGGAGACAAAAGTACATAATCACAGTAGAAGCTTAGAATGATTGCTGCTTTGTGTATTGCTTCAAGGCATTTTCATTAGAGTGTTCATAAAAACAACCAAAAAAATCATAGTAATTTGTGCATCTGTACAGCATAATGTGGACCATACTGAATCAACACTTTTGTATTATTTAATAAAGAAATATACAAAATGGATTATGTTGGTTTCCGCATTCAGAATGCATCTGACTACAATAAACTAAATTCTAGTTGGTTGCTATGGGTTGGTGCACTTTTTAACTAACCTGCTTTGTCACTTCGATAACCCCTGTTAAAGCAAATATATTTAACCTTACCTAGTTTGCTCCGCATATGTCATTGGTTAGATATTTCATTTATTGGAAAATACAAAAGCTACTGTTTACAATACATCTATATTTTGCTTTAAAATAAATTTTTCAAAACATAATGTTGCACATTTTCCTATTTCAGGTTGCATGAGTTTGATGAACAGGTTGCAGCAGTCCGTGAAGGGATGGCACGTGTTGTTCCTGTGCCCCTTCTTTCTCTCTTTACGGGTTATGAACTTGAAACTATGGTATGCATGTTTCTTCCCATTGTTATGGCATGGTTGTGGTACTTATTAAGTTAGTAATTTGAAAACAGCACTTTGCTTGCTTATCCCAAGCCATAGCTAGTGTACTTCTGTTTGTTTAGCATTAAAACAAATAAAAAGTAATGACATATTTCAGTCTAGTAATATTTTTTGGACATACATCACCACTTTAATAATGTATCCCATTTTCTGCTTGCTACTGCTTAGTGTAATAGTCATCCCTTCAGTGAAACCAGATACTCCCCACAGTCGTGATCTTTCAGCACTGTGGGGATGAGAGGCTGTGACTGTGAAGAATTATGAAACTCTCTCTCCCTTTTCATATCCTCTTTGGCATTCACAGTATTATCATAGAATGTGTAAAATAAAATAAAAAAGAGGGGGTCCTCTCATTCATCTATCCTTTTCTCCATTTGCAGAATGCACTGTGGTCTAAGAGTAATACTAGCAGTTTTGTGAATGATCTAGGGGACAGAATTAGAATTAAGGGGGGGGGGGGGGGGGGGGTTGTGGGGCCTGATCCTTTGGAGCCTCTTATCACTACAGTGCTGGAAGATCACAGTCATGGCATGTATGTGGTATCACTGAAGGCAGGATTAGTACACCAACCAGCAGGTCATGGGATACACATCAGAGGTACAGTATTAGATTGGTGTTGTATGCTCAAAAAAGTGTTTTCTAGTCTTCAGCTTTGTGTCATTCAGCATTGATATTGATGGCAGCTGACTAAACTTCTAGCAACTTTATTATCCACATATAGAAGGATAGAATAAGGATCTGGTATTCTGATATAGATTAAGGGGATATTTGGAATAACCAAGTTGTTTATAACCTTTTTAAATGAACAAGGCTACAGATCATTTATATTAAAATCTCTGAGATTGGTAAGTGGACATATTGGTGAATTGGTAGGTTAAATTAGGCCCTGTCAATGCTGTGAAAGCCATGCCTGTTTTTATAAAGGTTTACCCCCTTTCAGTGACTGGGGTTTTGGCTACAGTAGGTGGCTTAACCAACATGATGGGTAAACCTTACTGTACCAGTGGATAGGGCCGTAACAGACAGCTGTCAGACTGTATAAGCAGAATGTGAATGTGAGAATGTGCTTACATAGTATGTTCATATTATTGTATTGTAATATGTGTAGGTCACCAAATATCTACAACCATCTTCTAATCAAATTACCATTATATGCTGAAATTATCAATTGGGAACTCATTGAAAGCAAGATGGTTGTCAGGCTGCAAAATGCATTTGTAGCCTGCACTTTTGTGGGCAAGTAATCTTGTGTAATATGAAATCTTGTGCTTGACAGTTCGGTACTGTGCAAGCCCCCTCCTAAACATTTCTACTTGTTGCTGTTGTTTTTGGTCTTTTTAAAAAAAAAAAAAAAAAAAAATTAAATATTTCCCTTGTTTTTTTTAGGTGTGTGGCAGTCCAGATATTCCTCTCCACCTTCTGAAATCAGTAGCCACATACAAGGGGATTGAGCCCACTGCCTCTCTTATTCAGTGGTTTTGGGAGGTAATGGAGTCCTTTTCCAATACAGAGCGCTCCCTGTTTCTTCGCTTTGTTTGGGGTAGGACAAGGCTTCCAAGGACAATAGCTGACTTTAGAGGTCGAGACTTTGTCATTCAGGTAATGCTGGATTTGTTTTTACATCATGTTAATGTTCTTTGGCCATTCTTATCTATTTCTTACCATTAGGTCCATGTAAAAAGAAATTACATAGTTATATAGTTAGTCTGGCTGGAAAAAGACAAAGGTTCATCCAGGTCAACCATTAAAAAAAAAAAAAGTTATAATCCTATACCCACAGTTGATCCAGAGGAAGGCAAAAACCCCAGCAAAGCATGATCCAATTTGCTCCTGCAGGGAAAACAAATTCCTTCCTGATCCCCCGAGAAGCAATGGGATATTCCCTGGATCAACTTTACCTATAAAATGTTAGTATCCAGTTATATTCTGTGTATCTAGGAAAGAATCCATGCCTTTTTTAAAGCAATCCACTGAGCTGGCCAAAACCAACTCTTGAGGGAGTCTATTCCACATTTTCACAGCTCTCACTGTGAAGAAACCTTTCCGTGTTTGGAGATTAAATCTCTTTTCTTTCAGACGTAAAGAGTGCCCCCTTGTTCTCTGTGATGATCTTAGGGTGAATAATTCTAAACCGAGTTCACTATATGAACCACTGATGTATTTATACATGTTAATCATATCCCCCTTAATCTCCTCTGGAGTCTATACCTCTTAATACAAGAGAGGATTTAGAAACCTCAGCTTGGCATTGCATGACATTCTTAAGCTTGTGATCTACCAGAACCCCCAGATCCTTCTCCACCATTGATTCCCCCAGTTGTATCCCCTCTAGTATGTATGATGCATGCATATTCTTAGCCCCCAAGTGCATAACCTTACATTTATCAACATTAAACCTCATTTGCCACATAGTTGCCCAATTACACAGCGCATTGAGGTCGGCTTGTAAGTTGAAGACATCCTGTAAGGACGTTATTCCACTGCACAGCTTGGTGTCATCTGCAAAGACTGAAATGGTATTTTTAATCCCAGACCCTATATTGTTTATAAATATATTAAAAAGTAAGGGTCCCAACACTGAACCTTGAGGTACACCACTGATGACCCCAGACCATTCAGAGTATGAATCATTAACCACTACTCTTTGAATATGATCTTTTAGCCAGTTTTCTATCCATTTACATACATATTTTTTCCGTTTTGGGTGAACTGTGGCTACTTTGAAGACTATTAACAAGCTGATCTGTGATTAAAGCATAAACTATTATATACCATACTACTAATAAAGTTTTATATATATTATTTATATATATTTTATATTCTAAAGTGCTGAGCAAACTGTTGGTGCTATATAAAGCCTGTATAATAATAATACTAATAATAATATTCTTACCGAGTATTGACCTTTTTAAAGCAAGCCTTCAGTAACCTCTGTAGCTGCAAGCACTGTAGAGTTATTCATCCTCAATGTAAATAAAAGAAGCTGTCAAGTTTAAGACCAGTCTGTGGGAGGCTATATCTCCCTCTGCTCCTACCACCCAGATCACATGCTATGTGCTTACATGAGAGATTAAATAGCTGGAATGCTGTGTAGTCATTGCTGCAAGGGTAGAGCATGGTGAGCTGAAGTGCTGCAAGACTTTCCAGCTTCTGCGAAAGTTTAGAAAAAAATTGTTCCACAGTGCCCACGGCTACAGAGGTCAGTGATGGCACATTTAAAATCACTTTTTTGCTTGTCTGCTTGTCTGTTGCTTTATGGTGCTTGTTGAATATGTGAATACTTTAATGTGCATGTCATGGCCTCAGGCACACTTCAAAGTGAACTTATTGCAATGCAGTTCACAGCACTGTGCGATGTGTACAATGGGAGAGTTAAAAATTTGTGAATTAATTAAATATTTTGAATTCACTTAGTGAAAAGTGTACAAATGTTGATTTTCAGTTTCATTGTGTTTCCTTTTTTTGACAGGTTTTAGATAAGTACAATCCTCCAGATCATTTCCTTCCAGAATCATACACATGCTTCTTTCTGCTGAAGCTTCCTAGATATTCCTGCAAGCAGGTTCTTGAGGAGAAACTAAAATATGCTATTCACTTCTGCAAATCCATAGACACGGACGACTATGCACGGATTGCACTAACTGGCGAACCAGCCGCAGATGACAGCAGTGATGACTCTGATAATGAAGATGCAGATTCTTTTGCTTCTGACTCTACGCAGGACTACCTTACAGGTCACTAAGGGAGTGTAGCCAAAAAAACTGCCTCTCCCAATGCACTGAGGATCAAGGGAACCAGAAAGCCCAAAGCTTAGCAGTAGACCTTATGAAACTATGAAGAGACTTATCTGAACTTTTACATTGTGAGTAGGTGCCTATTCCTAAATACACTGCACTTCTATTGTGTTTTATTAAACGTGTTGTAAATGTTTATTACAAAAAATAGTGCAGTGTCAAACGTATGGGGCCACATGGCCTTTTACACGTGAGTGCAATAGATTTTTTTTTTTTTTTTATTTAGAGTTGTATTCCTGTGTACGTTTTTGATGGTTGTGGAGAACATGAAAGTATTAATCATTTTCATTTCCCTCTCCTTGCAACCTGCTTATTAAAATGTTTTCAGGAGCGACTAATCAGTATTCCATAGCGTTACATGTAAATTAGACAAAAGAGGGATGTCCCTTTTCCTAACACTAGTTCTCTTTGTATATTGAAACTCGCACATTATGCATTCAGTGGACTCTTGCAACAGTCATTATGTTTCATGAAAAGTGTGTGTATATAACTGAATAGTGCCACTACATATGCAAACTGTTTCCCTCTGAATAAAATATGTCACAACTATTGTGCTTTTTTTTCGTGATGTCTGAAATTTTTTTATTGGTTGTTTGATCAAACATATGTATTACTTTTTTGTGCTTTTTTTTTTTTTTTTTTTAACATGTACTGAAAAACCATTATCTCAATTGATCCACATGTAGCCACCTACAGAGTGCAGATGGCTCTCAATATGTTAAATGGTAGCTGATTGGCCATACACATTTTGACCTATTTCTGCTTAAAGTGGAACTTTACCCATACCAAATTGATAAAAAATAATGTTCTTTAGCAAGGAACATACCTTTCACATTATAATTATGCTACAAATGCTGTAAATTGCCTGTTTTTTCTTGCTGGAGGCTGCCATTTTCCTCAAGGCCAGAGCCACGGAGCAGCAGTAAATCTTTAGTCTGTCAGCAGATTGCCAAAAATAGAGAGCAACTGGGTATGTGCATAGCAAGGTGAGACAATGTAAAGCTGGATTTTAACTGCCTCCCCCCCGCCATATTGGAAAATGACAGACAGACGGGAGCTCTCTTTTTCTGGGAGGACGTCATATGATGTCCTCCCACTCTAGCTGCGCATGTGCATCCCCTATGGGAGTGCGACGGTCCCTCGTATACAGCAGATCACAGTAAAGAGCCGATGATGTAGGCTCTTTACCATGTGATCAGTGTGTCCAGTCACAGCTGATCACATGTAAACAGGAAATGCCAGTTATCGGCAGTCCGCTGCTCACGCTGACAGCACGTGAGGAGAGGAGAGTGCCGATGAGCAGTAATCCTCAGAGGGGATATCTACACTGATAATCAGGGCACTGATCATCAGTGCAGTCCCATCAGTGCTGCCTTTGTGTGCCACATATCAATGCTGCCTCTCAATGCCCATCCGTGCAGCCAATCAGTGCAGTCTATCAGTACACATCAGCGCCACATATCAGTGCTGCCTTTCAGTATCCTGCAGTGATGCCACTCAGTACCCATCAGTGCAGCCTATCAGTGCCCATCTGTGCCACCTATCAGTGCAGCTTTATCAGCGTACATCAGTGAAGAAGAAAAATTACTTGTTTACAAAATTGTATAACAGAAACTAAAACTTTCTTCTTTCAAAATATTTGGTTGTTTGTTTAGCAAAAAAAAAAAATCCCAGTAATAATTACCTACCACAAAAAAAAAAACTCTGTCTCAAAAAACTATAAAAATTTTTGTTTAGGTACAGTGTTGCATGACTGCTCAATTGTCATTCAAAGTGCGACAGCGCTGAAAGCTGAAAACTGGCCTGGGCAGGAAGGGGGTGAAAGTGCCCCAGTAGGCAAGTGGTTAAACCGTATAGGCACTTATTTTTAGTTTTACATAGCTATGCCTGCAAAAGGTGCCAGCCTGAAGTGATCTAGCAGGACTTTATTTTCTGACTAAAGTTTCACTAATCAGCTGAGTTTTGAGCAGTGTGCAGCTGTGTTGGCACCACCAGGCTCCACAAACTTTGATCCAAAAATCGAAGGAGCTGGGCAGAAAATGCTTAGCCAAATGATGACTGCAGCCCATCAAGTGCAGCTCATTGTTCTAAGTTTTCTGACAGCTGCAGCACCAGCAGCTGTCAGAATAATAGCTGTCAGGGGAGTCTCTTCCATCCTTGTTTTTTTTAGCATGGATGGGCCTGTTATTATACAAAGCCCCAAATGGGACTTTATTGGCACTGCATTGCAAATATTGAATAAAAAAAAATTATAATACAAAAATTCTGTAAACCACTTACTATTCAGAGAGCATTTTTGACCAAGCAAAGCTGTTGAAATAAAAACAAATGGTCGTTTGCTAACCAACACTAAACACAGATATTGCAGTGTCCCCTATACAAAAAAACTCCCAGAAGGGATCTGCTGAAGAGTGCCCTGATGGCCGCTGATGCCCGTGGGAGTCATCCCTGCAAATGAAATATATATAGCTAATACAGACCTGACACAAAAAAGCTCTTGATAATTGTAAATAACGTAAAAGTATATGTACAAACAAGGTTGGTCTTTCTCTAATAGTATAATCATGTAATCATACCCGTCTGTGCAATTAGATGGTGGTACAGATTTCCAAGAGATAAAGAAGTAGCCTGTAAGTAACAATGTAAGAGGGAATTAATATGGAGGTAAAGCTGTTTGCATACAGTGCATCCAGAAAGTATTCACAGCGCTTAACTTTTGCCACATTTTATGTTACCGCCTTATTCCAAAATGGATTAAACTTGATTTTTTTTTCATCAGTATTCTACAAACAATACCCCATAATGACAACGTGAAAGAAGTTTTTTTGAAATCTTTGCAATTTATTAAAAATATATGAAAAAACTCACATGTACATAAGTATTCACAGCCTTTGTTCAATACTTTGTTGAAGCACCTTTAGCACCAATTACAGCCTCAAGTTGTTTTAAGTATGATGCTACAAGCTTGGCACAGCTTGGCACATCTATTTTTGGGCAATTTCTCCCATTCTTCTTTGCAGTACCTCTCAAGCGCCATCAGGTTGGATGGGGAGAGTCGGTGCACAGCCATTTTCAGATCTCTCCAGAGATGTTCAATCGGGTTCAAGTCTGGGCTCTGGCTGGGACACTCCAGGACATTCAGAGTTGGCCCGTAGCCACTCCTTTTGTTATGTGAGGCTGTGTGCTTAGGGTTGTTCTATTGAAAGAAGAACCGTCACCCCAGTCTAAGGTCCAGAGCACTCTGGAACAGGTTTTCATCAAGGATGTCTGTACGTTGCTGCATTCATCTTTCCTTCGATCCTGACTAGTCTCCCAGTTCCTGCTGTTGAAAAACATCCCCACAGCATGATGCTGCCACCACCATGCTTCAGTGTAGGGATGGTAATTGGCCAGGTGGTGAGCGGTTGGTTTCCTCCAGACATTACACTTGGCATTCAGGCCAAAGAGTTCAATCTTTGTTTCATCAGACCAGAAAGTTTTGTTTCTCATGGTCTGAGAGCCCCTCAGGTGCCTTTTGGCAACACCAGGCTGGCTGCCATTTACTGAGGAGTGGCTTCTGTCTGGCCACTCTACCATACAGGCCTGATTGGTGGAGTGCTGCAGAGATGGTTGTTTTTCTGAAAGGTTCTCTCTCTCTACAGAGAAATGCTGGAGCTCTTCAGAGTGACCATCGGGTGCTTGGTTACTTCCCTAGCTAAGGCCCTTCTAAGACCGGGTGGCCCTCTCTAGGAAGATTCCTGGTGGTTCCAAACTTCTTACATTTATGGATGATGGAGGTCACTGTGCTCATTGGGACCTTCAATGCTGCAGAAATTTTTCTGTACCCTTCCCCAGATCTGTGCCTTGATACAATCCTGTCTCAGAGGTCTACGGACAATTCCTTAGACTTCATGGCTTGTTTTGTACATGCACTGTTAACTGTGGGACCTTATATAGACAGGTTTATGTCTTTCCTAATTATGTTTAATCAATTGAATTTCCCACAAGTGGACTCCAATCAAGTTGTGGAAACATCTCAAGGATGATCAGTAGGAACAGGATGCACCAGAGCTCAATTTTGAGTGTCATGGCAAAGGTAGTAAATACTTAGGTACTTTTTTTTTTTTTTTTTTTTTTTAATTTTTAATAAATTGCAAATATTTCAAAACTGACTTCTTTCACGTTGTCATTATGGGGTATTGTTTGTAGAATGTTGAGGAAAAAAATGAATTTAATCCATTTTGGAATAAGGCTGTAACAAAACAAAATGTGGCAAAAGTTAAGCTCTGTGAATACTTTCTGGATGCACTGTATGTGCGTGTATCAGAGGCAAAGCCACAGTAATTGCTAATGCATTGTGATGACATAAACCCAGTCACTACATCTGTGATGCGGAATGATGTCACGCACAGGATGCCCACTGGCACGCACCATCTCCGCTCATCAGATGACGCAGTAGAAGGGAAGAGGAAGCGGGCCATACAAAGCCCACAATTACCACCATTCCCATTGGTTCCCAAGGCAAAAACACCCAGGCAGCCTGTGCATGGGGGGAATGACGCAACACAAGCTTTAAAAAAGAGGGGAGAGATGTGGGAATGCCACAAAAGCCACAACATACACATAAAAAGAAAAACAAATGGGTAAGATAAGAGAACCCTATATACCAGAAATATTGCATATATAAGCAATACACAAAAAATAATAAACATTGTCTAAGTCGGCAAAACAAAAGCCCCCTGATTGTTATTTTTCCATACCCCGTGACACAAAACCCTCCAGAAGGTTTTAAAAACCTATAGCTTCAATTAGACCTGGAAGTTGCGTGGCCTTTTGAAGGTAGATCCATTTTAGTTCCCCTTGTAAAAGTTTTTTATTTCAAACCCTCCTATGATTTGGGTGAATTCGATCAAGAATCAAAAATTTTACTTTTGGGTAAATACCACCATGAACAATGAGTTAGTCGAGA